TTTCATGAATAAAAACCTTTCAAAAAGGAAATAATTTAAAACCAATTCAAAAAATACAAAAATAAAATAAATATTTAAAGCGAATTTTACTTGCTTGAATAATATATAAATTTTAATACTTCAAAGAAAGAATTTAACTTCAAAGACATTATTATATTCTTAAATTAATGATAATACTTCTAATAAAAACTGATTTAATTACATTTAAAACAGTTGAATCTATTTTTTACAAATTTTATATTGATTATTTTACAATACATGTAGATTTTGCAGATTATTATTTGCTAATTAGAATGATTAAATTTATTTATTCAATTGAAACCCAAATCTTATTATAAATTAATTTTTTGTTTCCTCTAAAAAGATAAATATTAATATAATGTGAAAAGGTTTGAATGAAGTATTTAAAAATAGTTTGACTAGATTGATTTCAAATATAAAATAATTTGTCATACTTTTGTATTAGGTTACAATTGATTTTTATTACATTTAAATGTTAGTGCGAAAAATATTAAATTTCATTTTTAAGTTTTTGTTAGAAAAGTTATTGGGATGTGTTGGTAATATTAAATTAAAAGATTAGGCTTATTTTTTCAAATTAAATTTTGTCCACTCAAATTTTGCGAAAAGAGTAATCACAATAAGGGTTTGAAAAAATGGATAATTTAGCTAATGATTCTTAAATTAGCAATCATACTAAATGAAATTTCTTTATCTCCCTCAAGTTTTTTTTGTATAAACTTTCTAAGGAGTTCAATTGAGACAAATAATTAGAATTTTTAGATAAGTTTAAGATGAAATAAGAATTTTATTACAATTTGTGACTCATGAAAAGAAGACTGTTTGGAATGTTTACAGATATGTTTTGTAATCTAAAAAAACAAAGAAAAATCAATATTTTTGCATTAACATACTGCACATAAATTAATACTAATTAAATTAAATAATATATTGATTTCATTACATTATTCATAAGTAATTCTTAGAAAAAATGTAATAAATAACTCAATTTGTTAAATTGAAGCTAGTCTTAATCTTAGAAAAAGAAAAACATTGAAAATATTTATTAAAAATTAAATATTAAAATATATTTTAAGTATTTTTAAAAAGCCTCTCCTCACTTATATCTTGTTTTTTCTTACTGATTAGTTTTATTTAGCAAAAGATTAATTTAATTAAGTATTCTTTAAGCGTAAAAATATTTTTCTTTATTTATAAAAAGATTACTCCACCATAAATATGCTTAATCGTCAAATTAAATTAGCTTAGCTTAAATGAATTTGATTCAAATAGGTTGAAGATATACAAGTAAGTCAATATATAGAAAATTAAAATGAAAAAATTTATAAATATATGTAATCTTATAGTAAATATTCAGATTTTATATTTGTAAACTCGTTGGCTTTCTAATCCTATACTATTCTTTTTTTCTTAGCCACGAAAAAACACTTAAAATACTGGCCATTTAATGATAATTGAAAGTAAAGAGTGATTCTGTAAAATGTAAATTGTAATGAAATGATAATATTTTGAAATTATTTATTTGTAGATTTACTGTGACGATCACTTACTCTAAATTGTGTAGATCTAAAAAATATTAGTTTGCTTGATGCTCTTATTCAAGTATCACTTAATTTAACTCAAACCAGTGTTTATTCTTTTTTAATTTTTAATTTTTATCTATATCAATTTTTAGAATTCTATTTAGGTTATATGCTCGCTCCAAATCTAAAAACTTTGACTTCACAATTAATTTTAGTAAACTAAGACTAGATTTTTATCACTTATTTTTTTAAGAATAGTAACTTCGATCATTTTTCTTGTTTTTATGAGCAATAAGAAATCTGCAATTGTGTTACCTGCTGAAAAAATTTACTTAGGAGGATTTTTAGAATATTTGAATTCAGTATTTTGGATTTCATTTGAAGTCAGTCAATCGTGAATGAATACATAATTTTTATACTTACTGCATATTATGAGGTAAAATCTTAGTTCTAATTATTTATAAGCAAATTAATAACAAAAGATAGATATATAGATGAAAGTGATTTGTATTTTGTATTTGTAATTTATTCGAATAATGTATAAATTAATTAATTATATGCATGCACTTGTAAAGTAAAAAAAAGTGAGGGAAATAATTCAGTTGAATAATTAATGTAATTTGTCTAATTAGACTTATTTATATTAGCTCATTGACTCAAATCTAAGGAAAATTGATTTCAACTAGATAAGTGGGAGTCGATTTAAGAAATTTGATAAACAATATAAATCAATAAAAATTTATTTTAGAGAAAGAAAAGAGAAGTACTTAAGTAAAATACTAAATAGGTTATCTATCTATCTGCCTATCAATCAATCTATCTATCACTGCTAAAAATATTTTATCATAAAAAACAAAGTTTTTACTCTAAATTCTAAATTTAGCTCTTATCCCAAATTTAAGTTAATTATTATATTATCTTCTTACTTCTACATCCTTAGTCGAAACTATAATTTAAGCTATCTTTACGAACTAATTACGCAGAAAATTCATAGAATAATTTGTTGGTATTATAATAATCATAACAGTAATAATAGAAATTTTATTTAAGGTAAAATAAATAATAAATATATTACTCAATAACTATTATTAGTTATAAGATAACTAGCAGATTGACTGACTGACTGCTATTTTATTAATATTAAAACAAAAAAATTCAAATACTGATAAAAAATCTTATTAAATGAATAAAAAAGACTCTTTGATAACATAATACTCTATGAATGTCGAACTAAATTAAAAAAAGTTATAAAATAATGAAAATTAAGCTGATCTTTCTTCTGTATAAAAGAAGATTCGCAAGAGAAAGAATAAAAACAATGACCACCTTCTCGTTCGCAAGAAGGAATATTAATTAAAGCCTATAATGATGTGTATGCCATAGTAGTATCAATACCATCTTTTCAATGATATTGTGATAGATTTTGATTTGATTCGTGATGCTTAATCTGAATAATCATTCAATAGAGGTCTTCTATGGCACTCTTTCAAGTCAATTTCCTAAGTAAATATCTTGAATGATGGATCTATGATGGAGTGGATTTAAGAAAACTTAAATTAACCTATTCTCAGCGCTAATTCAATGATTTACATGCTTCAATCTATCAGCTCTCAGACTGCTTACAGGTTAGCAGCTGACTTGAATATAGTCAACGATTACAGAAATTTACTAACAAGATACCTCTGTTAAATGAACCCTCAGTAGAGAATTGATTTATTTTAGAAGCGTCGCGAATTTTCTGTTTAAAAATCCCATCAATATGTCAAGAATATAAGTCGTAATTCTATCAGTATTTTCTATGAGTATTTATATAATGATAAATAGTAAACTCATGAGTATCGCCGTATGGGTTTTAGTAAAAAATTACTCTCTTTAGTAGGCATAGACATAAAGGATGCTCCTGGAATCTTACTGCGTAGAGGATTCATCGATATTTGTAGTAAATAACTTCAAGCTTTGTATATATTGAAGAGAAATGTTCTCCCCCAGTTTAGTCGCACTATGCCAGAAATTACTGAATTCTAAGTAGAAGGAGAACATCATACTTTAGAAGGAATCCCTTTCAAATGCAAAATGCATGTAAGAGTTTACAACACAACTCATCAATACGATCATTAATACTGCCTAGAACTTCCTATTAAGCCAGATACTCTCACCGAAATCAGTATAGAAGTACCAGAAGAAGAACTAAGAAAGATATATGAAATTAGACACAATATGAACATCCTAACTAAATATTCACTTGATGATTTTGTGAATGGAGAATTTTAGTACTTAGTTTAAGTTGAAAATTTCCTTGAAAAGTATTACAGCTCTCCATACTCTTACAGAAAAAGCAATAGAACTAAAAATATCTAAAATGACTCAACTATGAGTTAACATGTAATAATTAATAGCAACGAACATAATACTATTTTAGACAATGATTCTTCTTGCAGTATCGAAAATATTGTAGAAAACCAATAAAATCAATCAAATAACTCTAACTCACTACAATTTTTTGATAGTAAAAATCCTACATAAAAAAATATTCAAAAGTCAATGATCCACCCATCAATTAAAGACATTAAACTGCAATAAAACCCCAATTACCTTGAAGCATACTGCCCTGACCGTGAAAAAATTTATTCTAGCGAAATAAATTTTGCCACCGTAGATAACTTCATAAATGAGTATAAATACAACCAATACGAATCAAGAATGTTCTCATCAGAAATTCTCAATCTTGGAAGTTACTGAGAGAAAGGTATTTCCAAAAAAAAAAACATATTACTTATTCATAATATTTGAAAAAATAACAAAACAGAATTTGCTCAATCAGCTTCTTACTGTAAAAAAAACTCAATTAATACTTACTATAAAATTCTACTTCATAACAACTTGAAAAAAAATACATGCAAAAATTAGAAATCGATTACTTTAAAACAATAATTTATTGAACAAAAAATTTAAAATGAGCTTGAATCTATCTGATTTCATCCTAATTTAATTGAATGAATAAATGAAGGATTAATAAGCTCTACCCTTTTAATTTTTACAAATAATTTAATATTAAAAAAAACATCTTCATAATTTCTCATTAATATCTTATATCCTATTTATTATTAGTTCTTGTTTGTTTATATCTTCCAAAATATTCTATTCCCTTTTTATCTATTTTATTTTATATTTTTTTATTTAATTCTACTTAATTAGTTATTAATTATGTTGTTACTGTATATTTTTCTAATTTTTTTATTAAAATTAAATTATTTTTTAAATATTAAAAGGCAATTTATTTCATTTATTTTACTTTATCATTTTTTAATTTATTTTTGAGTATTTATATAAAAATTCAATCTTTTTTTATGATTTTTTTACATTTTGTTTAATATTTTTAAACTCATTTACTATGCTTCTTAAGCTCTTCCACTCTACCTTGTAATATTTACAGAAAACCAAAAATATTATCATGCAATATATTTTACTTAATTTCTTTATTAGCTCTTATATAATTATTCCAAAAATATTCTATTCGTTTTTTATTTCATTTGTCTAATTTTATTCTTGTTATATCGATTGTATTATTGGCAATTAATAATGCTGTTACAGTTTCTTTTAAGACATTTATTTATTTTCTTTTATATTTTCTTTGTATAGTAAGTAAGATGCAATTCTGCTAAAATTCCAATCCCTTTAATTCATTTACTTTAATTTTTTTACTTTATCCTATTAAATGAAAAATTATCCTAGCAATATTTTAAACATATTTTATCTTATTTAAAGCATTATTCTATCTTTAAATTTTCTTTTACTTATTAATTTTGCTAATACTCATTTTATTATGAAAATTTATAAAATTGCAATAAATAATGTTTTATATGAAAATTTAAAAAATCAAATTTTATCTATTATTTTCGAGAATGAATAAATAAATTTTACGCATTAAATTATAAAAGAAAATACAAAACATAAGATTAAGATTATGAGGAAGTGTTTTATCATATACAATTAATTATATTAAATTACATAATTTGATAAGGAAAAATATAAAATTATTGATTAGAAAAGCATAGCTAATTAACATCAAAATAGATCATATTATTACTTTTTTCTAAGATTTATCTTTCGATAGTTAGATAAAAATTGCTATTTATTAAAGATTTTGCTTTGATAATTATTAAGCAATTAAGAAGGATCTTCAATTTTGAATTGTACCATAACAATTTCATCTTTTGTGTACTTTTTATAGTTTTTATTTAAATATTTTGAAAAAGCACACTAAAATAAGAAATATGCTTGATGCAATAACATAATTATTATTTATAGGCCATTAAAAGCTACTATAGCTATAAAGTAAACTATTTCAAAATTATTAAATGAATAAATAAATAATTATTTTTATTCTAAAAATTAATTTACTTTTATAAAATATTGCAACTAGGTCTTTGTTACTATCACTACTGCTATACATTGAAATTAAACCTAGTAAGACTGACTATATTATGTTCAAAAATATGAATAGTATATATGTTAAATTAACCAACTTATTTGAAAATAGCTAGAAAATGGCTGAATAAATTAAAAAGAAAAGCAGCTAAAATCCATACAAAAATTATGATTATTAAAATTAAGAAAAAATTATTATTATAGCTGTTGAAGCTATTTTTCTCAGTTCGAAGATAATCCAATAATATCTACTTATAAAGTTATTACAATTAAGTCCTAGCAGTAAGAATGAGCTGAAGCTTGACTTATTTTTGTCTTGACTTAGTGAGTTTAAGTTATGGTTATATAGACTCTTAACAAATAAAAATTAAAAGAATATGTACCAAGCAGCAATTACCATTAAAAAACATATATCAATAGTTCCATTAATATTATATTTTTTTGTTGCTACTGCTATGCTAACTATTATCATATTTGAACTCAATGAAGAAACTAAAAATATAATTCTTAAATCTAGAAAAGCTAAATTATTCTTTAGAAATTCAATTTTAGATTTGAGTAAAGTTATTACTATCAAAAATGCAGACGCTCCAAAGCAAATTAAAGATTAAAAGAAACAATTGTCAGAAAATAAATAATAAATGCTATTCACATTTAAAGAGGAATTTACACCATTTTTTAAATCTATGTAAATGGTGTCATTATTTGTCAAATTAGCTTTCTATTATCTGAAAGGATTTTAAAACTCAAATTAATTAAATATATTAAAAGAAAAATCTGATTTGAGAAAACTAAAATCCAATAAATTATAGCTGAGATTTTCTGTAAATAAAAAATTTCCTGTTTCTTATTTCATCAAAATAAAGCTCCAATAAACAATCCATTAATCTTGTAAAACTAAACAAGAAAATAAACTTAAAGCCAAAGCAGTAATCTAAAGTTTATCATAAATTTAAGTATTTTCAGCTATATTATTTAATTTTGTCTAGCATTCTTCTGCAGAAAGAGTACCTATAAAAGATTTTAAAATATATTTCAGTAAATAATTTATTATTAAAAATATTAATACAATTCATGTGTAAATATAAATTTTCGGTGAGATTGCTATCTTAAGCTTATGAAGCTGTTTCACATTCTTTTGTTTTGCTGTTGTAAATGAACCCATTGTAGCAAGAAAGGCAATTATTCTTCAATGGCCCATCACAATTAGCACAGTAAGCATCACATTGCTAACATTATTTAGCTTGTTTGTCATAATATTAACTAATTTAGCATAATTCACATTAGAATTTATCATTTAAAACTAAACCATTTGAACAAGAAGTGCATTAGTTAGAACTTTTAATGCATGTTTTACATGGTGATTAGCAAGGCAAACAAACATAAACATCTGAATTTATACTACCATCAGGGTAATATCCATAATTGCAGTTTAACTAACAAATACCATCTTGAATATAGCATTTTTGGCACACACTACCTTAATTAAGAATCTGTATCTTTGGTTTGCACTCTATAACACATTTCATATCGTTAGTTTAATCGTAAAGACAAGGAACACATTAATCTTTACTTTCATCATAAATTGTATTAGAACTGCAAATCAGTTATTTCTAACAGTTTGAGCTATCACTGCATTTAAGACATTTCTTAGGACAGTATTAACACTAATAATTTTCACTTTTAAAATAAAAAAAATAATAATTTTTATTGAATCACCATAAAAAAAATTTCAAAATTTATTATTAATTTTAATTTCGCATTGTAAACTAGAAATTTTTAATCAATTTATTTCTTTTCAAATAATTTTGAGAATGATTAAAAATAGATTTATTTATTTTTTTATACTAATTAAATTAAATGAAAATAATGTAAACTCTCTTTTTTAACTTCCTCCTTAATTTGAGATACCTCCAATAAATAAGGTCTTATTTCAAAAGCTATATTTTAAAAATTTACTTTTTTACTTAAGTTCTTAAATTAAAGAGTTTACATTGTTTAAAAATTGAATTTTTTGTTGATTTAGAATTAATTTTATAAATTACTCTATGAATTGACCATTATCTATTAGACATTTGATGCATGAATTTTATTTAGTCAATATGCTATTTTAATTACATTTTAAGCAGCTCTAAGGACCAGGATTGTTACAAGTTTAACATGATTCGTCACATGGTTAGCAATAAAATTAATTATCAGGATAAAAACCTTAATTACAAGTTTTTTAACATTAATAGAACATTTTGTTAAATTAATAATAGCATTAACTGCAAGTCATAGCATTAGAATCAAAGAATTGATTGTATTAGCATGCTAAAACACATTAATTATTATTTTATAAATCTTAAATACAATTTTAACATTTTTTTATTGAAGGATTGTAAATTTAATTTGGGTTACATATTAATTGTTTAATACAAGTATTTTAATCTATGCATTATAAGCATTAATCTTAACAGGCTATGCATTTGTTATCCCTTATATTTTAAAATATTTATTTTCTTTACTATTAATTTTTAAATTTATTTATAAAATGCTTACTTTATAAAATACCCATTATCAGTTTAGCAGACTCCACATAAAGAAAATTAACCAAGACTTAGTCCAGAATAACACTAAATACAATCTGAGTCAAGAGGACCCTTACATTTCTGACAGAAAGGAGAGCTGCACTTAACACAGTTAGTAGATTTTTGATCTTGATAGTAATTATCTGGGCAAATCTCAACACAATTACCATTTAAATAAAAGCATTAACTGCACGTTAATTTCAGAGAGTCAAAATATTATCCCGTCTAGCACTTATAAACACAGTCTATATTATTTTGTAAATCTTTTATGCATGGTACACAAATACCTAGATCTAAATCGATTATTTATCCTTTAGGGCACACTTTGTATTGAACACAATTAGTCAAACTCGTGCATATTTCACAATAATTCTTGCATTAACCGCAGGTAGTTGAATCACTTTTTTAAAGTAGAAATTATTATTTACCAAAAATTTTTTGAAAAAATGAATAAAATTACACTTTGAAAGTCCCATCTTTGCAACTCTAGCATTAATTACTATAAAATTTTAATTTTTTTTAAAAAAAATTGATTTATTTTGATATTTAACTTACTTTTAAAAGACTTAATCTTGGAGACAGCAAAAACTTTTATTAAAAAAAAATATTAAAATTAAATAGAATTTTATGTTGTATTAAACTTGGAATTGCAAGGAAATAAATAAATGAAATACTATTTTTAAAATTGAAAATTAAATAAAATAAATTTACTTATTTATCATATAATAGCCATCATTGCATTAACACTATGAACTAATATTTATATATTAATTTTAAATAACAACAATAAATAGATTTAATAATATTTACACTCCATTTATGACTGCCTCCTTGGAATTAGAATCACATTTGCAAGCTTATTAAATAATTTAGTAAGTATTTGGGCATGATTAACTGCAAGATAATTTATCTGGTTATAAATTATAACCACTTAAACACTAGCAAAATTTTCTAGAGTAAAAAAAATTAGTAAAAAGCAATTTCACAAAAATAAAATTATACTTTCCTGATGAAATATTGAATTATTCACTGGAGTTAGGTGGACAATTACATATTCTGCTTGTTTTGTCTGCAACATATGTATCATAGCAAGTATTAGTACAATTAAAGCTATTTATATAATAAATGTTATCTTTTAATAAGATTATCAATAGATTACTCGTATTGCATGTAATATCCTAAACTACAGACACATTTCTTTGTCCTATTTATTTATATTCAATCATAAAAAGATTTTTTTAAAAATCAAATACAAATAAAAAAATACGTTGAATCAACTGTAGCATATTAACTGCAATTACAAGTATTGTTTGATTAATTTTGTAAGTAAGTAGAAGGGCACGTGATTCCACAGTTAGAACTTTTTTATTTAAAATTTTAACTTACTTTAGTATTTGCTTTTGTTTTTTGGAAAATTACTCTATGTCCATGAAGTAACCTTTGTTGCATTAGCATATAAAAGCTCTTGTAAAAAATGAATTAAATTATTGGAGTGCAAATAAAAATAATTTTAGTTTACTATGAATTTTATGGATCTGTTATTTAAACGGAATTTTAATCACAAAAACAAACTTAATTTGCAGTATCTGATTTATAAGTTGCTGGGCATTTTTAGCTGCATTTATTACTTTTATTAAAAATTTTTAGTAAAATATTTCTATTTTATTAATATTTAATTACTTGTATGTTAAAAAATAGCCGTTGTTGCATTAGCACATGTATCTATTTTAAAAATTAAAAATTAAAAACATTTGAAATATTTATAATTCTATCTACACAGAATTAATTTAGATCTCTTGAGCATTTGAATCACAAAAGCAAGCAGGTGGATTACTGCTTTAGATGTAAGTGCTAGGGCAATTCTAAATGCATTAGCTAATAAATATTCATTTTTATGAGGAATAGTTATTTATAAAAATGAAAATTACCTCTTATATCTATAGTAAGAACTATTACAGATACATTGCTTTTAGCTAAATTTTTTGGATAAATATTTCATAAAATATAATTTTATAAAGATTTGAACTAAATTAATTACGTTGAATTCTAAATAACAACTTCTGAAGAATATAGAGGACAAACACACGTTTTATTTGAAGTATCTATTAAATAGGTTGTTGGGCAGCTACTTGAACATTGACTAAAAAATATAAAAAAAGTTAAAGTAATCTTTTAAAAATAATGTTTTTACAAGCTGTTCATATTCATATAATACCCTGATTTGCACTAACAAATTTATCTAATATAAAAATAATAGTATCTTTATTATATTATTTATCAAAATTTTACTGTTATGAATTATTAGGATTAGCTATCAAAGATGCATTCGAATCACAAATACACATTTATTTGCTAGAATCTACTTAAAATGTGGATTGGCATTAAGACACACAAGAGTAATCGTAATTTAAGAAGTATGAAGAAAAGCAAGTTTAGCATTTATTTTTGTTAGAAATTTAGCAAATGCTACAATAATTTACTAAACAAGGTGGAAAATATAAGCCATATAATCCGACAAAATTTGCTAAATAATAAACACTATTTTGCTTTGAGTAAACAGCAAAAGTTTGGTTCTTGTTATAATATTTTGAAAAAATATTAAGGTAATTAATTAAACTTGTAAAAGAGTAAAAGTAAAGACTTTGGTTTAAATAAATAATTTACTAATGAAGGAACAAAGCCATATTTTGAAGAATCAGGAACAAAACCAGATCCATCAGTATTGCAATCATAATTATAGTATTAAGAGTTAATTACTGTTTTACTCTATAAATTAACTTATATTCCCCCGCTAGCCTCAGTTATTATATAATAATTAACTCCAATTACTATATTATTCTATGCATACATACTTATATTAGAAATGAAAAAAATTAATAAAATTTACTTAATATTAAACGATATATGAATAATCAATAAACTGAAGGCTATCTCCTGACATTTAAATGCTATTTAAATTCATAATATTCCATGCTTACCATGTAACACAGTTACTAGAACAAGTAAGAATCACCTTAAGCTATTAAAAATATTTATTAATTAATTTAAGTAATTTATAAAAGATAAATAATTACACCACTCTGAAAGTAAATAGGCTTAGAAAAAGTAGGAGTAGTTTTTTCAAAATTTACATTTTATTTATAAGCAATTGTAGCTTGGTATGTACTATTATTCAAGCTTAAAACTAGAAGATAAGAGTCACACTAAAACAAATTATTTTATTGCTTAAAAGTTATAAAAATTTTTAAAAAATTTGTCTCTAGCTTTAATATAAAATGCTTACATCTATATACAAAAAATAAGTGCAACCATATGTGATATACCATGAAACTTCATAGGTGTTATCATTCCATAAAATATAATACTTTGATTTGTTTATGTCCTTATACAAGAACACATTAATATATACTTATTTAACGATAGAAATGGTATTTCCTGTTTATTGTACTAATTAGGTAAAAGAATTGGCAAATTATAATATATTATCAGCAATTAGATAAGTGCAATAAACCTAATACTTGTTTGGCTTTATATTTTTATAATTATTTAATTGATTAATGTAAATATTAATTTAATAAAAAACAAACATATAAAATTTGTTTTTTTACATATTTTATAAGCAAGAAAGTATAACATTATGTTTAGATTGATGTGAAACTAGAAATTGAAGTTATATAAAATGTGCTATTGAACTTCAATTGAATGTAATCATAGCTATCAAATATAATTGAAATTACATCTAGCTAATTAATTTTTAAAAATTTATTGATGATGATCATCATAAAATTATAAATTTACCTCTATTATATAGTCAAATCTTTAATAAGAGCCACTTGTAGACATTTAATTTAGGGTTTATATTTAAATAGGATTTCCTGCTATATCAAATACGCAATAGTACCAGCTAGTAGAGTTTTAAAATAGGATCGCATTATGTTCCTTTTAGTTTCATCAAATAGTTTCATTTAAATTAGAAAAATAACAAGAATAGATCAATCTTTTAAAGATGCAATTATTTATTTTGAAAGAAAATAAAAGGATTAAATATATTTAGTTAGTTAGTTACCTTAATCTATAGGTATTATGTAATTTAAGTTTTAAAAGGGGTTTGAGAGTTGCAGCAAGATATGAAAAAGTATTCAAACAGAATAATGAATAATGCTCTAATCTAAAAAATCTTAATTGACTTTTCTTCTCTTACTTTATTGAAACCAAATAATATCAACATTCTTTAAATATTCTTTCTTGAAATTTTAATTTACAAGCAAAACTTGCAAGTTTATGTAATTAACAAAATGCTTAAAAATATTTGATTTGATAATAGCAAGAGTATCTGAAATTTTAATTTACTATTTTTTTATCTTACTATCAACTATTAGAACGAATGTGTTATTTTAATCAACCTTTATTCTTTTATAAGCAATTTTTTTAATGATTTTTTGTAAGTTATAATGTAAAAAATGAATGGATTTAAATTTTCCTAAAATGCAAATTATTTGAATATAGTTTTTTAATTAATTTTTACTGCTTTCAAAAACTTATAAATGCTCCTAAGACTTATTGCTAATTTAGTTATATCTATGATGCAATATTTTTTTATTAGAATATTGATTATTAAAATAAACTATAAATTTTTTAGCAGAAGTGCTAAATAAAATGCAATTTCGTTTTATAATTTAAATTTTGTTTATAATATCTTTTTTTGAATAAAAAATTGTGCATTAAAGTGAATTAAGTCCATTTTTTAAGACTAATAAAATACAAACCATATAATATCAAATACATATTTTTAAAGATATTAAATGTCAAAAATTAAATTCATTGGTATTATCTTCAAAATTTAAAGCCGTAAGTGAGATGTCTAAACTGAAATTGAGGAGGTATTTATATATGAATTTTTACCTTATATACGTTTAGAGATATATTAATAAAACCGCTCTTTATTTTTAGAGTCTGTTATTTAATTGAAGATTAAATCCTAAAAATTTAAAAATAAATCGATAAAATACTCTGTTATTTTTCAATTATATCTTTATTCTTATAAATCAATATTTTATTTCTTATTAAACTTCTTATGCATGGGATTTTATTTCCATCTTATTTATTTATCCCTTACTTCCTAGATTATTTTGGTTAATGAACCATCATTTTATATTTGAGAGATTGAGATGGACTCAATCATAGATTCGTTTTAAGAAGGATTTTCTTTTTTTCTCTTTAATATTTTAGAAATTATAAATCTTGATATTATATAAATGCACACTATCATTTATGTAAAAGCAAAAAGTATCATCAGAATTATAAGCATATATCCAAAAAATTATAAAGATGCTTAATCACTTTGTTGAAAAGGTAATTTAGAATTGAATGGTTAAGTATTCAAAATCAAAATAAAAGAGATAGCTAGTGTTATAAGCAAATGAAATAATTAAAAGATAATTATTATTTTGTTGCAAAAATCATATACCAGAGGTTTTTTTGTTATTAAATATACCAAAAAAATAAGATTAATAGAAAAGTGTAACCAAGGAACTGATTTGTATTTATCAGAAATTAAAGTAATTCCTTAAATCATTATGATTATAAACTTTTTAAACTCAAATAGCATCCAAAAAGCTCTTGTGCTCAGATTTTATTATTGAATATTAGTAATCGCTAAAGATATTAAATATGTTTCTTAATTAAGTATATCTATTTTTTTCATTTTATAAAGCTTTGTTGTGAGCATGCAATTGAATAAAGAATAGATAAGAATAATCAAGAAAATAAGACACCCATCTTTAATGCTCACAGATTTATTTAATCCTAACACGATAGTAATACTCATTAATAGGAAATTATATGCTATTCTGATCAGTACTATCATGTAATTCCAATTGATATATTTAATTAGACATGATCTTTTTTTGAAAAATTTGTATTTTCTGAAAAAAACCAGAATACTCATCAAAGATACTATTAAAAGGAAAACTATTTGATACAAGCAATTACTTAATAGATCAGTTGAATAATTTTATATGAATATCAAAGTATTCAGCAAATTAAAGTTATACTTTACTTCAAATTATTGATTCAAATAATTAGGTATCACATTTAAAATATTGTGCATGTAGCTAAATTTCAAATGAAGCTAATTGATCCAAAATATATTCATCTGTTTAGAGAATATATAATTGCCAATCAGTTGTTGAGTTTAAAGGTAAAACCAGAAAAGAGGTCCATATAAAGGCTGAACACATATCATTAAAATAGATAGAAAGAAACAAGAAAAAGTGAAAAATTGAAGTATTGTTGAAGTTTATTTGGCAAATTTGTAATTTTCAAAGCAGCTAATGAAGGTATCCTCACTATATTCTTATATATCAATACAAATATCATCATCAATAATCGCTTTGCAGGCATTAGTAGCCTTATCTAAAATGTAATTTTAAGTACATTCTAAACAGTCTAGTTCTGAATTTCCAATACATTTCTTGCAAGAATCTTTACATTTTTAACACTTAGATAATTCTTTTTCAAAATAAAATCCTTCTTGACAACTATAACAACTATTTTTATGTAAAATAATTCCTTCATTGCAAGAATTACATTGGTTATCTCTAGGACCTCTGCATGTTTGGCAATTTTAATGGCACTAACTACAAGTCTATTCTTTCTCGTTCATATAATATCCTACTGGACAAACCAAACAGTTGTTTATTTTTTGCATATCTTAAGAACATTTAATACATGATTAGGTAGAATTCTCATAAAAATAACCTGAATCGCATGGAATACAAACGCTTTAAGAGCTTTAATTTTAAAAATAAAATTCAACAAATGACATTAGTTACAATTATTTACTTTAATTTAAAACCCTCAGAGCATCTTAAGCATATGCTTTGATTTTAGCAATTAAGACAATGAATATCACATTTTTAGCACTCTTAATTATGATTTAAAAAATAACCATCTACGCATTAATTGCACTACCCTTTATCACATTTTTTGCAATTTTAGCTACAGACTTAATCTTGATGACATCTAAAAAGAATGATTTTATAAAAAAATATTAATCCATTTTTAAAAATAAAATAATATACTTATCACTATTCAAATTGTATCCTTTAATGCAGACCTCACATTTTGTTGATGTTAGACATTTATCACAGTAAGGGTCACATTGCACACATTAGTTATTAGAGTCTTAAATATACCCTTGTTAAGAAGAACAATCGACACATTAATTTTCTTTGTGTAAAAATCCTTAATTGCATAATTTACATGTTAAGGAATCAGTGCATTCAGTACAATTCATCATACATTGAATGCATTAATTGCTATTTTATAATAATATTCATTAGTTTATTTATTGATATTAAAATTGGATAGAAATAGGAAAAATATTTTTTACCTTTTATCTAAGTAATATCTTGCTTAGCAAGATTAGCATTTTTTTGGGCTTATTATACAAGTTTAACAATTAGAATCACACTTTGAGCATTAGTTGTTAGTTTAATCTAAAAAGTATCCAGATTTTTGTTCACATATTATGCATTCAGTACCAAAAAGATTATACCCACTTGTACACTAAGAACAAGATTTAGCATCTGAGCATTAGACACAAAAATCTTAGCATTTACTACAATTTTAACTTTATAAAAATGTTGAGCTTAAACATTAAAAATCTTTTAAATAAATTACTTTGAATCTAAAAAGTATCCAGACTAACAATTCAAACATTTTTTAGAAGATTATTCACATTTCTAACAGTTTTGATCACATTATTATTATTAACACATATTGCTTTTGTCTAAATAATATCCATCGTTACATTTTAGGCAATATGATTGAGGATTACAGCTTTAACAATTTTAGCTACATTGCTACTGTATTTAACATGTATTTCTAATATTTTATATATATAATATTAAAAAAATAAAATATTAAAATTGTATATACTTAGTGTCTAAAGCGTAACCTTATTTGCAACCTTTGCATTGATTTGATGTCAAACATGTTTCACAATAATTATCACATTAAACGCATTTTTTAACATTTGGATCGAAAAATTATCCTGGCTAAGCAATACACTCGATACATTAATTGTCTTTGAATTCAAATCCTTCTTTACATTCATTGCATGTTTTTGAATCGCTGCATAAGTTACAATTATTTAAGCATTTTAAGCATTTACTTTGGCTGTTAAAAATTATTTTAAAAGCATTATAACTAAAATTGAATTAAGTTATTTATTAACATTTTATCTAGGTAATAATAATTTAACACAAAATTATAAAATAAATTTTAAAGTATTGCTTACTTTTAATCTAAGTAAAAACCTACATTGCATTCTTTACAAGATTGGCTTTCTTAGCAAACACTGCAATTCTCTGAACAGGAATAACAAGTGTTATTTCTTTTTTTTTTATAAAAAATGAGTTAACAAAAACTAGTTTGATAGTCGTTAGTTGTTAGTTAAAAGTTTACTTTTTGAAAAATTGTTTTTGACAATCTTAGCACTAATTGCTTTTATTAAAATTTTAAATTATGTTAGCTAAATTAAATAAATTAATTAATTTACTCTTTGAAAATCTAATTTGAACCACATTACAAACATTGATTGCTTTTAAATTAATAAGTGAAATATTTAAAATTAACTTTTTATATAGTATATATTTACCTAGCATTTAAATATTAATCTTAATCACAGACAATAGAATCCATAGTTAAATAATAATAATTTTCAGATTTTTATAGAATTTGAGATTTAGCCTAAAATATTAAATTTTATAAATTTAAAAACATGTAAGTTTGTTTTGATATTTTACAGCTTGAAATAATCTTCTATAAAGTTTATCAGTCGATGGTAATTTATAAGAATTCTTATCTTTGATATCTCTTTTTTCAATTTAAATATTTCCATTTTTGTAGCTTAGGCCATATCCTTAGTCTTCTACAATTAAAAAGCTCTATTTAATAATAAAAATTATATTTAGATTAGGGGTAGGATAGAGTCAAAAATTTATTTGATTAGATAAAAATACTTTTTAAAAAAATTTTAATTATTTTTCTCACAAGAATGATAAATAAATTAATTCATTACCCCATAAGTTAAAATAGAATTATAATTAGCATTTTTTGAAAGCTATTAAAATTCCCCATTCGTTTTTTACAACTGAAGAGAAGCAGCATCATATAACTTAAGTCTATTATCATCAAGGGAAGCAGCTATAAATTGTTAATTCTAAAATTCAAACGATTTTAAAAATGAAATGATATTAAAAAGTTTTACGTTTCCATCAATAGAGAATACTTATGAAAATATACCACCACTACCTATAATCAACTTATTTTTTTGTTTTGCCTTATAGTTAGTTTTATCAAACTCAAAAGTGCAAATAATAGAATTATCTTTACCCATGTTATAAAATAGTAGTAAGCTTTTCTAATTATTTATTATTTAAAGACTTTATAAGAAAAGTAAAGATAAATTAATTTGTTTAAAATACATCTATCAAATAGTATGAATAATTTTCATCAGGTAATTAATACTATTATCCTTCCCAATATATGTAGGATTGATTCGATAATTTATAAGTTATACATTGACTATTGTTTTCAGAAAAGTTATCAACTTCTTTGTTCAAAATATCACTTTTATCAGGCTTGTTTTATGATTTACTATTAACCTATATAAAATCCTTTCTTATAATTAGCTATTGGGTTTTACCAACTCTATAATTAATTATAAACTATTCATTCTTTTTTTATTATTATAAAAATAATTTTAATATTTAATATGAATATTAACATTTTTTTACATAATAGATATATCTGACTTAGTTAATATTGTTATTTACATTTTCACAATTCACTGATGAATTATCTGCAACTTTTTATAAGTCACTAGATTTTACTTTATAATATCCATTTTCATGATAGATAAAAATATATAAATATTCTTTATACTTTTTGTTTATTTTTAAAAATAAAGTTATTAAAAATATAATAACAATAAAAATAAATACTTCAAAAGATTTATCTTGAGTATCTTATGTAACCCCGCATTTATCTAGGATAATTGATTTTTAAATATATCCTTAGGAGTCAAGTTTCCAATATACAACATTATTATCTTTCAAAGTTTGTACAATTAGGGCATTAGATTCCTTTTTAAAATATATTGTTCAATAACATAAAAAATTTTTTTAAATTTACTGGTAAATAGAACCAATATTTATTTATCTCTATTTATTCACTCTTTAAATATCTCATCTAAATTATTAGCAGTAATAGCTGTAAAGAAATCCAATAAAAAAAAGGTATTTAGTTCATTGTCTGGTTTAGTTCACCTTGGTTGGAGTCTAGATTTTTAATTTATTTTTTTATTAATTAATAATAAATTGCTTTAGAAAGTATCAGATCAATCTTATTTAATAAATAATTATTAAGAAGCTATGATTGATCACTATAAAAAATTTAATTACAGCTTAACTTTTTGGGGTTTAAAAGAATTGATAGATTTACTCACTTAATAGCAATTCTATGGTAAACTCAATCTAGTTAAGTCTTATTCACTAAAAATAAGTACTACTTAACTATATTCAAATTTAATTATCTTGTAATTAATTAATTAATACATAACATTCTAGCTGATGAAGTTGAGATAGATTATTTTTTCTTATCAAAACTAAATAAATTTTATTTCTAAATGCTTATTTTTGTATTTTATAATTATATTCAGCAGATCATTTCCTCTTTTAATTATTTCTCTTAAGAAATAATATTTTTTTTACATTTTAATACATATTTAAGTTATATTGGTATATTGAACTTCAATAATATATTTATTAAGTATTGGCATTAATTAATTTTTATTTTTCTGATTTATTTTAGCTAAATAATATCTAAATTTCCTTTAAAACAAGTTTTTGATATTCTATTTGTAAGATATCTGTATTGATAGATATAAATAAAATAATGCCAATCCTCATTAATTATGGTATTAAGTTAAAAGTAAAATTTAATTAATTTTTTAAGTTAAATATAATTTTCTTTTTAAAAAAGATATTACTAATTTTTAAAAATAAGATATATTTTATAGGTATATTATATTTCCAAAATAATTTAATAAAATTCAAATTAAATAAATAAAAATAATTGTTAAAAAGATATATAATCAATCAATCAAAAATCAAATGATCTAATGGTAATAGTTCATACAGCTTAAGTAAAAAAAGAAAAGTGATATAAAAAGAGTTATTAATTCACTTCATCATAGATTTTTAATTTTATCAGTGGTTATAGTGAGTGAAAAATTTAAAAAGATATATTATAATTTGATTAAATTTTAAATAGAAAATTTAAACTATTTAATTATTTAATTTCAATAAATTCATTTTTTTAGCAAAATTTTTAATTTTTTTAAAAATAAACTACATAAAATTTACTGAATTTAAATTAACCTTAAATATATATTTTTTTATTATTTTTTATGGATATCAAAATTATTAAATTGATGATAACTCAACAACTTATTTGTCATCTTTTAGCTTAAAATTTTTATTTAACGGGTTCCTTGTCCATTATATCTCTTTTTATTCTAAGTGATTTATATCAAAATTTTATGACACTGTTTTACTCATATTAGAAGAGGATAATTATTAGTTGATTGTTATATTTAAATCGCTTTTTGTTTTCATTTAGCGTCTCTTACATGTATTTTAGAGTATGTGTTTGATTAATATGTAAATGCAAAATAGCATATAAGAAATTACAAAGAGTGATATCAAAGCTATGAAGATATAACCAAATAAAACTTAAGAGTTTTTATTATTTTATAAAAATGGTTATTCCAAAGTTTATGGCTCATTATTTGTATTAGTTATCATTGAAATCTAAAATATCAAAAGTATATGAAAAATCTCCATTAGAGTTAGCATTAGATTATTATTTTTATCAACAAAAGGTCTGTATTTTAATATTAAAAGCAAATAAAAAATATTTATTACAAAATGAATCCATGGAACTGATTTATACTAGTTACTAGAAAGCAGTAGAGCTCCTTAGATAATTGCAATTATAAGCTTCCTAAATTCAAAACCTATCCAAAATATTCTTTATAGAAAATTGGTTCTCCCAGTGCCTACATAAGCAAGGGATATTAATTATAAGTTAGAATTTTGGCTGTATTAATCTATTGTTTTAAGTTTAGAGAAAAGTAGAAAATGAAATAATGAGTAAATGATAGCAAAGGCTGAAAAAAAGCAATAATCAATAATAGATAAGGAAGATAATTAGCTAAGAAGTAAAAAGAAATTAAAGATAATAAAGTTTGAAATTAATCTTAATGCTCCTATCATGTAATTCCAGTTAATGTAACGATCTACCCAATTAATAGCCTTTGAGAAGTATCTTTATTTTATAAGTAAGACAATACTTATAAAAGTAGCAAGCAAAAATATAATTATTTAGTAAAAGCAATTGCTAGAGTAACTATCAGAAATATTTTATACGTTTATAAAAGTATTTAACAAATTTAAGTTAAACTAAGTTGAAGAGTTTTAACTAAAAATGTTAGGGATAATATTGAAAATATTATTCATATAGATATATTTTAAGTGATAATGGTTTATCAATAATATATTTATGTACGGAGTAAATATGTAATTTCCAATTAATTGCTAAATTTGTAAGTAACACCAGTTCACTGGACTGGAAGCTGGAGAAATATAAATTAGCAAAAAAGAAAGTAAGATTGAACTCAAAATTAAAAACTAAAGACAAATAGAAGTAAGCTGAGCAAATTTATAGCCCTAGAAACACTCCTCAAATACATATTCATCATAAGTTGTTATATTTTAACATTGCTCATAACCTTAATTAACTTTACAATGATTTGTGTCTAGATTAAAATTAGTTTCACATGATAAGCAATCGTTATTACTTCCACCTTTACAAGTTTTACAGCTTTTATCGCACTAAAAGCAATCTAATTAATTTAGATCATAATAAAATCCATCTTAGCAATATTAACAAAATCCACTAGTTAAAGTTGCATCTTAAAAGCATGATGTGCATTAGTTTATACCAGTTCCTTCACAAGTTTTACATGAAACATCACACTTCAAGCAATTATTGCTTCCCTTATCATAAAAACTTCCTATTTAGCATTATGTGCATTGGCTATAATTAACAAATAAGAAGTTAAATTATATTTATTTTTATCATTATTTTATTTTGAAAATATTCAATCTTTAATTATAAAAATCTTTTTGTGTGAAAAAATGTATTACAAAATTTTTAAATCATTAAAATTTATTCGAAATTTAAGAAGTCTATTTATTAAACATTAAATTTATCTACTGTCTAACTTTTATAAATATATAATGTAAATTGAATTAAACTAAAAAAATAATATTAAAATGCTTCAAATATAAAATTAAAATATTCTTAGTTTTAAAATACAAATTACTTTTCTTAACTTAAAACATATCCTAAATCACATACTGAGCATTAACCATTAGTTTAATAAGCTTAACAGTTAGTTATTTGTTGAAAGCATAGACCATTGATTTAAATATATCCTGAAACACATACTGAGCATTAACCATTTACTTAATAATTTTAACAATTAGCTATTTGTTGGAAGCATTGATTATTAACTAAAGTATATCCTGAGATACACACTGAGCATTAACCATTTGCTTAATAATTTTAACATTTTGCTATTTGTTGGAAGCATTGATTATTAACTAAACTATATCCTGAGATACACACTGAGCATTAACCATTTTATTAATAATTTTAACAATTAGCTATTTGTTGGAAGCATTGATTATTAACTAAAGTATATCCTGAGATACACACTGAGCATTAACCATTTTATAAATAATTTTAACAATTAGCTATTTGTTGAAGGCATTAATTATGATTTATAATATATCCTGTAACGCATTCTACGCATTAAGTAGCAGATAAGTAAGTTTTACAATTAGCTATTAATTGAAAGCATTGAGCATTTATTAAATTAAATCCTGTCACACAATTTAAACATTACTGAGTATTCAAGCATTTAGTGCAGTTTTATGGACATGGTGAGCAGGTTTAATTACTATTATAATAAATTGATATCAAAATAAATAATAAATAATGAAATTTCAAATGCAAAAATATTACTTTGAATCCAAGTATTAACCTGGTGTACAAACTATATCGTCCATTGTTATAAAGTAGTAATTAATTTAATCAGATAATATCTAAGATTTTGTCTAAAAAAGTAATTAATTATTAAATTATTACCAAACATAAAAATCTTACGCTTAAAAAAATTTTTCTGTAGAGTATATCTGTGGATGGAAGTTGATAAATATTGTTTATTTACATATTTTAGGATGAAAAAACATTACTTTGATACGCTAAAGTATATTTATTTGTACCAAAAATTAATATATTCTAGATATTTAAAAAAAAAATTAGATGTAAATATTTTAAATCACTATTAGATTTATATTTTATATTGAAACAAATAAAGATAAATATTGTTTTTATTAACTTAATAAGAGATAGCTAATTTTATTTGCCATTATTAAATTTACAATTAAGATTCAAAATTATTTATTTTTTTTAAATTCATCAAGCAATTAAATTGTGTTTATATTTAAATTTCTTACATTATATGTTAGGATTAAGTCAAAAGGGTAATTTGCTAAAGATGTGTCAATTTAAGAATTTTCAATAGAATAAAGATAATATTCTGTTTATGTATCATATAATTAGAGTTATTGGTTAGTGTAAGTGACAATTACTTAATTTGGCTTTTATTAAAGGTATTTTTACTTAGTTTATAAAATAAAAACTTACATATCCTGGAATTTTAAAAACCTGAGAAAAAATAGACCCCTAATCAAGATTAATAATTTTTTTCTTAATTAAATTTTTATTAGTAACATCAAATTCAAATTTGTAGATTGATTATAAACTATCAAAGAATAATTGACTGTTTTCCTAATAATTAAATAATTTAATAATAAATAATTAATATTAAATTTAAACAATATACATCTATGAGATAATATAGTAAATTAGACATAGGAATATTAGAAATTAAATACTCAACTCCTTTCCAAAAAATATAATTATAAATCCCATCAAGATAAGTTATACATTTACTATCATTTTCATTAAAATATGTGACTGCTTTGTAAATTATTACATTGCTATCAGTAGTAGGATCACCCATATTATTAATCAAAACAAAATTTTTTCTAACTATTAACCATATTCTAGCAGATTGTTAGGCTATTATATAAAATCCATTCTTTTTTAATAATAATAATTGTTAGGTCTTTTTTAAATAAATCTATTGATTACATAAAAAAAATATCTTGTAAATGGTTATCCTTAATTTTATAAGCACTATACTGATGATTTATCTAAAGCATTTACAATATCGCTAAATTAAGCAGTATAGTAAATACCACTTTAATAAATAAATATGTATAATACATTCTAATCCTTTTTATAAAATTTAAATTTAAAATAATTCTATTAAAATTATATTACCACAAAAGATTTATCTGATGCTCTTGTTTAACATGAACAGCCAATTAGGTTTACTTATTTTTAAATATATCCTTATGAATCAAGTTACCAATAAACTGTGTTTTTATCAGGAAGTGTACTTACAATCAAAGCATTTTATTCCTATTAAAATAATATGTATATATTTTTAAAAGTAAAATATGTTTTAAGTTTCTTACTTTTAATTCAAACCAGTTGTTATCGATTTGAATTTAATCTGAGAGCACAATATCAATTATCTAAATAAAGAAGTATAAAAAAACCTATAACAGCAATTTTTTTTAGACCATTTTGAGTTTGCTTTAAATTAGAATACTTACCTTTAATTTTCTTATTTCTTTTTCAAATTAACGATTTATTTGTTTTTAAATATAAGATATTTGTTATAACTTCTTAATCTAACTATTTGAATAAAATTAGATGGTTTTAATTAATTTAAGGATTCTTAATTATTCACTTACATTTTTATTCATGTTAAAATGTTCAAGATTAATTAGTGAGGGGTTTTTATTCTTTCAATTCAAGTAATTAAAGCTGTCCTTTTAATTCCTAAAAAAATTGTGGCTCAATTTATTAAAAAATTTTTCACTTCTATTTTCTTTAAATAAAAGTATAAATTTATTTTTATGTTTTAATACAGAGAAACTAATATCTTTTTCTATTTTTAAATCTACTTTATTTATCACAGTGCAGAAATAAAAAAATAATATTAATAATTAAATAATTATTATTAATAAACAATTTATCATATTTTAAAATGGTTGCAGAAGCTTATATTAGATTTTTAGGCAATTAATAAAAAAACAAACATTAATTAATTTTCAACCTTTTCTTTAAATAAGATTTTTTATATTCAAGATATTTTTGTATGTTTATTTTCTTCAAAAAAATATTCATTAAACTTAAAAATAAATAAATTAAAAGAAATCATTTTTTTTTGATAATAGAATTATGTTATTTTTGATTAAACTACTATAGAAACAATTTAAATATTTTTGTATTTCAAAGGATATAAAAATTTTGAGGTTTATACCTGACCAATTAAATCACATTTTACTCAATAAAAACAATATATTTGATTTTTATTTTAGTTACTCAAAAAACATACAAATTAAACACTTAAATCCTAATTTAATATTTATGTTATTTAATTAAAATGCGTAATATGACATAACAAAAATATACAAATAATTTAATTAGCTTAGCTTAACCACATATTTGCTATAGAAATGAGGGATCAAAGTAAGATACTTAATATGTAAAGCAAAAGAATTAAATATGGTAGATCATATAAATTTAGATATGATAGATCATATAAATTAGATTTAAACCAATATGCAGCCAAAAAAAAATCAGTTATTTATCTTTATTTAAGTAAAAAAATACCTATAAAAGATCTATAATTATTTTTTTCCATTTAAATATCATCCAAAAAAACATTTTTAAGTTATGTAATAATTTGTATAACTTTATGAGATTATATAATTATTTTGATATAAAATTTTTTATCTTTTATCCATTTTAAGGTTTTATTTTATTGATTTACTTTTTAATATTTTTAATATTAAATCTTAAATTAAATTTATGTATTAATAATATTATTTATTGAACACTATTCTTCTAAGAGCAGAGAATGCATTTTTAGATTAGTAAGTAGAAAAAATCTTTTACTATTTTTTCGCTTTCCAAGTATTTTACTTGGAGGGCTACATTTTCAGACTTTTTTAAAAACTTTTTGAACAAATTTTTAATAATTTAAAAAATAAAATTCAATAATAAATAAAATTTTCTTTTCAAAAAAGATATTACTAATTTTTAAAAATAAGATATATTTTATAGGTATATTATATTTCCAAAATAATTTAATAAAATTGGATTTAAATAAAGAAAAATAATTGTTAAAAAGATATAATATCAATCAATCAAAAATCCAAATATCTAATAGTAATAGTTCATACAGCTTAAGTAAAAAAAGAAAAGTGATATAAAGAGTTATTAATTCACTTCATCATAGATTTTTAATTTTATCAGTGGTTATAGAGAATGAAAAATTTAAAAAGATATATTATAATTTGATTAATAATTTAATTTCAATAAATTCATTTTTTTAGATAAATTTTTAATTTTTTTTAAAGAGTAAAATAAACTACAGAAAGTTTACTGAACTCAAATGAACCTTAAATATATATATTTATATTATTTTTTATGGATATCAAAATTATTAAATTGATGATAACTCAACAACTTATTTGCCATCTTTTAGCTTAAAATTTTTATTTAACGGGTTCCTTGTCCATTATATCTCTTTTTATTCTAAGTGATTTATATTAAAATTTTATGAGACTGCTTTACTCATATTAGAAGAGGATAATTATTAGTTGATTGTTATATTTAGATCGCTTTTTGTTTTGATTTAGCGTCTCTTACATATATTTTAGAGTATGTGTTTGATTAATATGTAAATGCAAAATAGCATATAAGAAATTACAAAGAGTAATATCAAAGCTATGAAGATATAACCAAAAAAAACTTAAGAGTTTTTATTATTTTATAAAAATGGTTATTCCAAAGTCTATGGCTCATTATTTGTATTAGTTATCATTGAAATCTAAAATATCAGAAGTATATGAAAAATCTCCATTAGAGTTAGCATTAGATTATTATTTTTATCAACAAAAGGTCTGTATTTTAATATTAAAAGCAAATAAAAAATATTTATTACAAAATGAATCCATGGAACTGATTTATACTAGTTACTAGAAAGCAGTAGAGCTCCTTAGATAATTGCAATTATAAGCTTCCTAAATTCAAAACCTATCCAAAATATTCTTTATAGAAAATGGATTCTCTGAGTGCCTACATAAGCAAGGGATATTAATTATAAGTTAGAATTTTGGCTGTATTAATCTATTCTTTTAAGTTTAGAGAAAAGTAGAAAATGAAATAATGAGTAAATGATAGCAAAGGCAGAAAAAAAGCAATAATCAATAATAGATAAGGAAGATAATTAGCTAAGAAGTAAAAAGAAATTAAAGATAATAAAGTTTGAAATTAATCTTAATGCTCCTATCATGTAATTCCAGTTAATATAACGATCTACCCAATTAATAGCCTTTGAGAAGAATCTTTATTTTATCAGTAAGACAATACTTATAAAAGTAGCAAGCAAAAATATAATTATTTAGTAAAAGCAATTGCGAGAGTAACTATCAGAAATATTTTATACGTTTATAAAAGTATTTAACAAATTTAAGTTAAACTAAGTTGAAGAGTTTTAACTAAAAATGTTAGGGATAATATTGAAAACATTATTCATATAGCTATATTTTAAGTGATAATGGTTTATCAATAATATATTTATGTACGGAGTAAATATGTAATTTCCAATTAATTGCTAAATTTGTAAGTAACACCAGCTCACTGGACTGGAAGCTGGAGAAATATAAATTAGCAAAAAAGAAAGTAAGATTGAACTCAAAATTAAAAACTAAAGACAAATAGAAGTAAGCTGAGCAAATTTATAGCCTTAGAAGCACTCATCAAATATAAATTCATTGTAAGTTGTTATATTTTAACATTACTCATCACTTTAATAGATTGTACATTGATTTTTGTTTAGATTAAAATTAGTTTCACAAGATAAGCAATCATTATTACTTCCACCTTTACAAGTTTTACAACTTTTATCGCACTAAAAGCAATCTAATTATTTTGGATCATAATAAAATCCATCTTAGCAATATTAACAAAATCCACTGATTAAAATTTAATCTTAAAAGCATGATGTGCATTAGTTTATACCAGTTCCTTCACAAGTTTTACATGAAGCATCACACTTCAAGCAATTATTGCTTCCCTTATCATAAAAACTTCCTATTTAGCATTATTTGCATTGACTATTAAAATAATGTAAATTGAATTAAACTAAAAAATAATATTAAAATGCTTCAAATATAAGATTAAAATATTCTTAGTTTTAAAATTTAAATTACTTTTCTGAACTTAAAGTATATCCTAAAGCACACACTGAGCATTAACCATTTGCTTAATAAGCTTAACAATTAGCTATTTTTTGAAAGCATTGACCATTAATCTAAATATTTGGACATGGTAAGCAGGTTTAATTACTATTAATCATAAAAATAATTTTATAGAAAAATTAAAAAATGTTAAAAATACCTTTTAACTTATGCTGGTTGGCAATAATCTGAACATTAATCACTTGATGAAATAAAAAAAATTTTTAATTATTAATAAAAATAAAAAGAAAATTACTTAATAAGAACTTGATTATCTGTACATATTTGGCACTAATTACTTATGATATCAAAATAAATAATAAATAATAAAATTTCAAATACAAAAACCTTACTTTGAATCCATGTATTAACTTGGTCTACAAACTAAATCGTCCATAGTTATAAAGTAGTAATTAGTTGAATCAAATAATATCAAAGATATTTACTAAAAAAATAGTTATTAAATTATGAACTAAAGTTAAAAATCTTACACTTTAAAATAATTTTCTTAAGACTTTATCTCTGCATGGAAGTTGATACATATTTTTTATTAAGATCTTTTAGGATGAAAAAGCATTATTTTGATATGCTAAAGTATATTTATTTGTACCAACAACTAATACATTCTATATATTTATTAATCAAATTAGATTTAAATATTTTAAATGGTAACTTTCTCTTAATGCGCACGTAAAAATTAAAAAATTTAAATTTTATTTTTAATATTAAAGAATTCTTAATATTTAATTTTTAAAAAAATTTTACAATTTTTAATTAATGCGTACCTAGTGCGTGCGCTTTTTTTAATTTTCATTTTTTTTAGCGCCAAGTGCACATTTCAAAATAAATGCTCAGAGAGATTCAAAATTATTTATTTTTTTTAATTAACTAAGATTAAATTGTGTTTATATTTTAAATTTTTTACTTGATATGTTAGGATTAAGTCGAAAGGTCTTTACACAGAAGATGTGTCAATAAAGGAATTTTCAATAGAATAAAGCAAATTTACAGTTTGTGTATCATATAATTTGAGTTATTAGTTTATATAGACCACAATTACTTAATTTTGCTTTTATTAAATTTATTTTTATTTAGCTTATAAAATAAAAACTTACATATCCTGGAATTGTAAAAAGCTGAGAAAAAATAGACCCTTAATCGAGAGTAATAATTCCATTAATTAATATTTGATTAGTATTATTATCAAATTTTAATTTGTAGATTGAATTTAAACCATCAAAGAATAATTGACTGTTTTCCTAATAATTAAAAAATTTTTTAATAAATTAAGATTAAATTTAAACAATATACATCTATGAGATAGTATTAATAATTAGAAAATTGACCAGAACCAGGGATTAAATATTAGACTCCTTTCCAATAAGCATAATTTTTAAGCGCGCCATCAGAATAAATAATCCATTTACTATTATTTTCATAAAATCTATAGACTCGTTACTTAATTTTAACATTTCTATCAAAACCAATATAATCATAATTAATATTCAAAACAAAGTTTAATCTAACTATAAACCATTTACTAGATTAGTATATAATATAAAATCCATTCTTTTTTAATAATAATAATATTTATTATGAAGTCGTTTTTAAATAAATGTTTTATTACATAAAAAAAATATTTTGTATATGATTATCCTTAATGTTATAAGCACGTTACTGATGATTTATCTAAAGCATTTACAATATCGCTAAATTAAGCAGTATAGTAAATACCACTTTAATAAAAAAATATGTGTAACACATTCTGAACCTTTTTATAAAATTAAAATTTAAAATAATTCAATTAAAATTATTTTACCACAAAAGATTTATCTGATTCATTTGTTGGACATTAACAGCCAATTAGGTTTACTTATTTTTAAATATATCCTTATGAATCAAGTTACCAATAAACTGTATTTTTATCAGGAAGTGTACTTACAATCAAAGCATTTTATTCCTATTAAAATAATATGCATATATTTTTAAAAGTAAAATATGTTTTAAGTTTCTTACTTTTAATTCAAACCAAAGAGAATCGATTTAAATTTAATCTGAGAGCACAATATCAATTATCTAGATAAAGAAGTATAAAAAAACCTACCAACCAAGCAACAATTTTTTTAAGACCATTTTGAATTTGCTTTAAATTTGAATGTTTGCCTTTAATTTTCTTATTTCTTTTTCAAACTAACTATTTATTTGTTTTTAAATCTAAATTACTTGTTATAAATTCTTAATCTAACTATTTGAATAAAATTAGATGGTTTTAATTAATTTAAGGATTCTTAATTTTACACTTACATTTTTATTCATGTTAAAATGTTCAAGATTAATTTGTGAGGGGTTTTGATTCTTTCGATTCAAGTAATTAAAATTGTCCTTTAAATTCCTAAAAAAATACGAGCTTAATTTTTAAAATAACTTTTACTTTAATATATACAAATGTTTAATGAAGAGAAACTAATATTTTTTTTTTTTTAAATCTACTTTGTTTATTACATTCCATCCAGATATTAAAAAAATAGTTTTAATAATTTAAAAAGTATTTAAAATAAACAATTTATCTGGTTTAAAATTGTTGCAGAAGCTTCTATAAGATGGGTAGGAAATAAAAAAAAATAGTAAAAAAAGAAAGATTAAAAAGACAAACATAATTTTCCAACTTTTTCTTTAAATAAGATTTTTATAATCAAGAGACTTTTTTAAGTTTATTTATTTAAAAAATATTTATTAAACTTAAAATAAAAAAATGATTGAAATCATTTTTTGATAATAGAATTATGCTATTTTTCATTATCTATTATACATAAAATTTAAATATTTTTGTATTTTAAAGGATATGAAAATTGTGAGATTTATACATAATCAATTAAACCAAATTTTACTTAATAAAAACAATAAATTTGATTTTTATTTTTAGTTACTCAAAAACCCTTCAAATTAAACACTCAAATCCTAATTTAATATTTAAGCGATTTAATTAAAATGTGTATTATACCATAACATAATAATACAAATAATTAAATTATCTTAGCTTAACCACATATTTGTTATTGAAATGAGAGATGAAAGAAATATACTTAAAATTAAAACAAAAGAATTAAATATTATTGATAATATAAATTAAATTTAAATCAACATGCAGCCAAAAATCAATCAGATTTTTATCTTTATTTAAGTAAACTAAAAAATAGCTATATGACTTTATTTCATTCAAATACCATTCAAAAAAAAAACATTTTTAAGTTATGCAATACTTACTTCTATTTTTTTAATTAGATTTTCAAAATATTAAATATAGCAATTCTAGGTATTAAATTCTTCTGGATGTGGAAAATTAAGAATTTAATTCCTGCATTTGCTATAAAATAGATTAATAAATTTAATAATTTTATTTTGCTTTATATTAAAAAATATTTATTTTATTATATTTTTAATTTAATTATTTTAAAATATACATGTTTATTTATTTTAAAAGAAAATATTAATTATTTATTTAATAATCAAAATTTCTTTTTAAAAAAGATATTAATAATTTTTAAAAATAAGATATATTTAAAAGGTATATTATATTTCCAAAATAATTTAATAAAATTCGAATTAAATAAAGAAAAATAATTGTTAAAAAGATATATAATCAATCAATCAAAAATCAAATGATCTAATGATAATAGTTCATACAGCTTAAGTAAAAAAAGTCGTATAAAGAGTTATTAATTCACTTCATGATAGATCTTAAATTTTATCAGTGGTTATAGTGAATGAAAAATTTAAAAAGATATATTATAATTTGATTAAATTTTAAATAGCAAATTTAAATAGTAAAATTATCTATTTAATAATTTAATTTCAATAAATAAATTCATTTTTTTAGCAAAATTTTTTATTTTTTATAAAGAATAAAATAAATACAGAAAATTTATTTACTTGAACTCAAATTAACCTTAAATATATATTTTTATATTATTTTTTATGGATATCAAAATTATTAAATTGATTATAACTCAACAACTTATTAGCTATCTTTTAGCTTAAAATTTTTATTTAAAGGGTTCTTTGTCCATTATATCTCTTTTTATTCTAAGTGATTAATATCAATATTTTATGAGACGGTTTAACTCATATTAGAAGAGGATAATTTTTAATTGATTGTTATATTTAGATCGCTTTTTGTTTTGATTTAGCGTCTCTTAGAGATATTTTAGAGTATGTGTTTGGTTATTATATAAATGCAAAATAGCATATAAGAAATTACAAAGAGTAACATCAAAGTTATGAAGATATAACCAAATGAAACTTAAGAGTTTTTATTATTTTATAAAAACGGTTATTCCAAAGTCTATGGCTCATTATTTTTAATAGTTACCATTGAAATCTAAAATATCAAAAGCATATGAAAAATCTCCATTAGAGTTAGCATTAGATTATTATTTTTATCAACAAAAGGTCTGTATTTTAAAATCAAAAACAAGTATAAAATATTTATTACAAAATGAATCCAAGGAACTGATTTATACTAGTTACTAGAAAGTAGTAGAGCTCCTTAGATAATTGTAATAATGAGCTTCCTAAATTCATAACTTATCCAAAATATTCTTTATAGAAAATTAGTTCTCTCAGTGCCTGCAGAAGCAAAGGATATTAATTATAAGTTAGAATTTTGGCTGGATTAATCTATTGATTTAAGTTTAGAGAAAAGTAGAAAATGAAATAATGAGTAAATGATAGCAAAGGCTGTAAAAAAGCAATAATCAATAATTTATAAGGAAGATAATTAGCTAAGAAGTAAAAAGAAATTAAAGATAATAAAGTTTGAAATTAATCTTAATGCTCCTATCATGTAATTCCAGTTAATGTAACGATCTACCCAATTAATAGTCTTTGAGAAGTATCTTTATTTTATAAGTAAGACAACACTTATAAAAGTAGCAAGCAAAAATATAATTATTTAGTAAAAGCAATTGCTAGAGTAACTATCAGAAATATTTTATACGTTTATAAAAGTATTTAACAAATTTAAGTTAAACTAAGTTGAAGAGTTTTAACTAAAAATGTTAGGGATAATATTGAAAACATTATTCATATAGCTATATTTTAAGTGATAATGGTTTATCAATAATATATTTATGTACGGAGTAAATATGTAATTTCCAATTAATTGCTAAATTTGTAAGTAACACCAGCTTACTGGACTGGAAGCTGGAGAAATATAAATTAGCAAAAAAGAAAGTAAGATTGAACTCAAAATTAAAAACTAAAGACAAATAGAAGTAAGCTGAGCAAATTTATAGCCTTAGAAACACTCATCAAATATATATTCATCGTAAGTTGTTATATTTTAACATTGCTCATCACTTTAATAGATTGTGCATTGATTTTTGTTTAGATTAAAATTAGTTTCACATGATAAGCAATCGTTTTTACTTCCACCTTTACAAGTTTTACAGCTTTTATCGCACTAAAAGCAAGCTAATTATTTTGGATCATAATAAAGTCCATCTTAGCAATATTAACAAAATCCACTGATTAAAATTTAATCTTAAAAGCATGATGTGCATTAATTTATACCAGTTCCTTCACACGTTTTACATGAAGCATCACACTTTAAGCAATTATTGCTTCCCTTATCATAAAAACTTCCTATTTAGCAATATGTGCATTGGCTGTTACTATTCCCATTACAAATTTTACAACTCTAGCTACCCTCATCAAAATATTAGCCAATTTCACAGTTCATAATACATTTACCCTCTATAAATATATATTATTTCTAACATTACTTACAATCTGAACTGAGAGGACCTAAGCATGTTAAGCAAGATTTATCACAAGAGATACATTACATTTAGTCTTAATCGTAATATTATTAGTCGCTACAAGGAATGCTTGGCTTACATTAATATTAAACAGAACATTTTTAACATTATTGGTTAACCTAGTCATAGTATTGATTTGCTGCACATTAAGCAACACACAAACCCCCATTAGTCATATCTTTAATGCATGCAATACACTTTTAGGAAATAGTATCAAAGAATTGATTTATACCACAAGATATACATTACTTTTATAAACTTTTAAATTAGAATTAAATATTTTATTAAAATAGACAAAAAAATAAAATTTACTTTAAATTGTAGTTTTAATTGCAAGTTAAACATATTGTAGAAGATGAACAAGTTTTACAATTCTAATTGCAAGCCTAGCATTACTATTAGCTATCTAAGAATTATCCTTCTTAACATTACCTTTAGCAAGTTCTAATTTATAATTGTTAATAAATAAGAATTTAAATTGCATTTATTTTTATCATTTTATTTTATTTTGAAGATATTCAATCTTTAATTATAAAAATCTTTTTATGTGAAAAAATGTTTGACAAGATTTTCAAATCATTAAAATTTATTTTAAATTTTTTAAATCTATCTATTAAACATTAAATTTATCTACTGTCTAACTTTTAAAAATAAATAATGTAAATTGAATTAAACTAAAAAATACTATTAAAATGCTTCAAATATAAGATTAAAATATTCTTAGTTTTAAATTTCAAATTACTTTTCTTAACTTAAAGCATATCCTAAAGCACATACTGAGCATTAACCATTTACTTAATAAGCTTAACAATTAGCTATTTATTGAAAGCATTGGCCATTAATCTAAATATATTCTGAAATGCATACTGAGCATTAACCATTTGCTTAATAAGCTTAACAATTAGCTATATTTTTAAAGCATTGATTATTATTTAAAAAATATCCTGAGTCACATAATGAGCATTAATTAGGAGTTGATTAGGTTGTACAATTAGGTATTTGTTGAAAACATTGACTATTTATTAGAGTAAATCCTGTTATACAAATTTAACATTATTGAGTATTCAAGCATTTAGAGCAGTTTTATGGACATGGTGAGCAGGTTTAATTGCTATTAATCATAAAAATCATTTTATAGAAAAATTAAAAAATGTTAAAAAGTACATTTTAACTTATGTTGGTTGGCAATCTGAACATTAATCACTTGATGAAATAAAAAATTTTTAATTATTAATAAAAATAAAAAGAAAATTACTTAATAAAAACTTGACTATCTGAACATGTTCGACATTAATTACTTTTGATATCAAAATAAATAATAAATAATGAAATTTCAAATACAAAAACCTTACTTTGAATCCATGTATTAACTTGGTAAACAAACTAAATCGTCCATAGTTATAAAGTAATAATTATTTGAATCAAATAATATCTAAGTTTTTATCTAAAAAAATAGTTATTAAATTATTAACTAAACTTAAAAATCTTACGCTTTAAAAATATTTTCTGAAGACTATATCTGTGCATGGAAGTAGATATTTATTATTTATTGAGATCTTTTAGGATGAAAAAGCATTTTATTGATATGCTAAAGTATATTTATTTGTACCAACAATTAATACATTCTATATTTTTTTAATAAAATTAGATTTAAATATTTTAAATGGTAACTTTCTATAAATGCGCACTTAAAAATTAAAAAATTAAAATTTTAAATTTTTATTTTTTTTACACACCAGGTGCGTATTTCAAATACATGCCCAGATATATTCAAAATTATTTATTTTCTTTTTTTTAATTGAATTGTGTTTATATTTTAAATTTTTTACTTGATATGTTAGGATTAAATTGAAAGGTTTTGACACAGAAGATTTGTCAATTAAGGAATTTTCAATAGAATAAAGCTAATTTAGAGTTTATGTATCATATAATTAGAGTTATTAGTTTATATAGACCACAATTACTTAATATTGCTTTTATTAAATTTATTTTTATTTAGCTTATAAAATAAAATTTTACATATCCTGGAATTGTAAAAGGCTGAGAAAAAATAGACCCTTAATCGAGAGTAATACTTTTTTCCAAAATTAATATTTTATTAGTATTATCAAATTCTAATTTGTAGATTGAATTTAAACCATCAAAGAATAATTGACTGTTTTCCTAATAATTAAATAATTTTTTAATAAATTAAGATTAAATTTAAACAATATACATCTATGAGATAGTATTAATAATTAGAAAATTCACCAAAAGGGATTAAATATTAGACTCCTTTCCAAAAAGCATAATTTTTATTGTCATCATGATCAGAATAAATAATCCATTTACTATCATTTTCATAAAATAAATTGACTCGTTTCTTTATTATAACATTGCTGCTATCAGGGCTAGAATTATCATAAATAATATTCAAACCTAAATCTTTTCTAACTATAAACCAAGATTCTATAAATTGTTAGTATATAATATAAAATCCATACTTTTTTAATAATAATAATATTTATTATGAAGTAGTTTTTAAATAAATGTTTTATTACATAAAAAAAATATTTTGTTTAGTATGGTTATATTTAATGATTTTCTAAGCAAGTTACTGATGATTTATCTAAAGCATTTTTAATATCGTTAAATTAAGCAGTATAGTAAACACCAGTATTATAAATAAATATGTATAACACATCCTAATCCTTTTTATAAAATTATAATTTATAATAATTCAATTAAAATTATTTTACCACAAAAGATTTATCTGATTCATTTATTGGACATTAACAGCCAATTAGGTTTACTTATTTTTAAATATATCCTTATGAATCAAGTTACCAATAAACTATTTTTTGATCAGGAAGTGTCTTTACAATCAAAGCATTTTATTCCTATTAAAATAATATGCATATATTTTTAAAAGTAAAAAATGTTTTAAGTTTCTTACTTTTAATTCAAACCAAAGAGAATCGATTTAAGTTTAATCTGAGAGTACAATATCAATTATCTAGATAAAGAAGTATAAAAAAACCTACCAACCAACCAACAATTTTTTTAAGACCATTTTGAATTTGCTTTAAATTAGAATGACTGCCTTTAATTTTCTTATTTCTTTTTCAAATTAATGATTTATTTGTTTTTAAACTAAATTACTTGTTTTAACTTCTTAATCAACTATATGAATAAAATTAGATGGTTTTAATTCAAAGATTCTTAATTTTGCACTTACATTTTAATTCATGTTAAAATGTTCAAGATTAATTTGTGTGGGGTTTTGATTCTTTCAATTCAAGTAATTAAAAGTGTCCTTTAAATTCCTAAAAAAATGCGAGCTTAATTATTTAAATAACTTTAACGCTTCTATTTTTTTTAAATAAAAGTACAAATTTATTTTAATATATACAAACGTTTAATGAAGAGAAACTAATATTTTTTTCTATTTTTAAATCTACTTTGTTTATTACATTCCAGCCAAATATTAAAAAAATAGTTTTAATAATTTAAAAAGTATTTATAATGAACAATTTATCTTGTCTTAAAATGGTTGCAGAAGCTTCTATAAGATGGGTGGGAATTAAAAAAAATAGTAAAAAAAAGAAAGATTAAATAGACAAACATAATTTTTCAACCTTTTCTTTAAATAAGATTTTTATAATCAAGAGATTTTTTTAAGTTTATTTACTTTAAAAAAATATGTATTAAACTTAAAATAAAAAAATGATATGAAATCATTTTTTGATAATAGAATAATGCTATTTTTGATTAAACTATTATTCATAAAATTTAAATATTTTTGTATTTTAAAGGATATGAAATTTGTGAGAATTATACATAACCAATTAAACCAAATTTTACTTAATAAAAACAATAAATTTGATTTTTATTTTTAGTTACTCAAAAACCCTTCAAATTAAACACTCAAATCCAAATTTAATTTTTATGCGATTTAATTAAAATGTGTATTATGCCATAACATAATAATATAAATAATTTAATTAGCTTAGCTTAACCACATATTTGTTGTAGAAATGAGGGATCAAAGAGATGTACTTAAAATTTAAACAAAAGAATTAAATATTATTGATCACATAAATTAGATTTAAATCAACAACATACAGCCAAAAATCAATCAGATTTTTATCTTTATTTAAGTAAACTAAAAAATTGCTATATAACTTTATTTCATTCAAATATCATCCAAAAAAAAACATTTTTAAGTTATGCGATACTTACTTCTTTTTTTTTAATTAGATTTTCAAAATATTAAATATCTTAGAAACTGAAAGTAAATCCAATTGTAATCATCAAATATATTTACAAAGGTATGTATAATTTTAAGAAAATCACTGCTAGAACCAAATCTATAATTTTAAATCAGTATAAATGTATTAACAGATAGCTAAAGTTAAAATTATAAAAACTTGAAATGACTTTGAAGCAATTAATAAAAAGGTTACATTTAGGTACTAATATATTTTTTCAAGTTTAGATTAATTATTATTTTATTTTATTTATTGTAGATCCCAAAAACAATCAAAAAAAATGAAAAATAAATATCACAAGGATAAGTAGAAATAATATAGTTAAATTTTTTAATAGATATTTAAATTTTTTTATAAAGATTAATATAAATTACATATAGTTAACTGAAAAAAAGAACTTCATAAAATATTTTTTTTTATTTTATGGATTTCAAAGTTATTAAATTGATGATAACTGAACTACTTATTTGCTATCTTTTAATTTAAACTATTTATTTAGTGGATTTTTTGTCCAATATATCTCTTTTTATTATAAGTGATTTATAATAAAATCTTATGAGTCTATTTTACTCGTATTAGAAGAGGATAATTATTAGTTAATTGAAACATTTACACAACTTTTTGTTTTGATTTAGCGTCTCTTACAGATATTTTAGAGTATGTATTTGGTTATTTTGTAAATACAAAATAGCATATAAGTTATTACAAAGAGTGCCATTAAAGCTATGAAAATGTAACCAAACAAAACTTAAGAGTTTTTATTATTTTATAAAAACGGTTATTCCAAAGTCGAAGGCTCACTATTTGTAGAAGTTACCATTGAAATCTAAAATATCAAAAGCATATGAAAAGTTTCCATTAAAATTAACATTAGATTATTGTTTTTCTATTTAAAAGGCCTGTATTTTATTTTCAGCAATAAGTAAAAAATATTTATTACAAAATGAATCCAAGGAACTGATTTATACTAGTTACTAGAAAGCATTAGAGCTCCTTGGATAATTGATATTATGAGCTTTCTAAATTCAAAACCTATCCAAAATATTCTTTATAGGAAATGAATTCTCTCAGTGCCTACAGAAGCAAGGGATATTAATTACAAGTTAGAATTTTGGCCATATTTATCTATTGATTTAAGTTTAGAGAAAAGTAGAAAATGAAATAGTGAATAAATGATAGCAAAGGCTGAAAAAAAGGAGTAATCAATAACAGATAAGCAAGATTTTGAGCTAAGCAGTAAAAAGAAATTAAAGATAATAAAGTTTGAAATTAATCTTAATGCTCCAATCATGTAATTCCAGTTAATGTAACGATCTAGCCAATTTATAGTCTTCGAGAAGAATCTTTATTTTATAAGTAGGATAATACTAATAAAAGAAACTACCAAAAATATAACTATTTGGTAAAAGCAATTGTTTGAGTAATTATCAGAAATATTTTATACACTTATAAAAGTATTTAATAAATTTAAGTTAAACTAAGTTGAAGAGTTTTAAATATAGAAGTTAGGGATAATATTGAAAATATTATGCATATAACTGTATTTTAAGTGATAATGGTTTATCTATAATACATTTATGTAAGGGGAAAATATGTAATTTCCAATTAATTGCTAAATTTGTAAGTAGCACCAGCTTACTGGACTGGAGAGTGGAGAAATGCAAATTAGCAAAAAAGAAAGTAAGATTGAACTCAAAATCAAAAACTAAAGACAAATAGAAGAAATTTAAGCAAATTAATATCCTTAGAAGCAATCATCAAATACATTTTCATCATAAGTTGTTATGTTTTAACACTACTCATCACTTTAATAGATTGTGCATTAATTTTTGTTTAGATTAAAATTAGTTTCACATGATAAGCAATCATTTTTACTTCCACCTTTACAAGTTTTACAGCTTTTATCGCACTAAACGCAAGCTAATAATTTTGGATCATAATAAAATCCATTTAAGCAATATTAACAAAATCCACTGGTCAAAATTGCATCTTAAAAGCATGATGTGCATTAGTTTATACCAGTTCCTTCACAAGTTTCACATGAAGCATCACAGTTTAAGCATTTTTTACTTCCTTTGTCATAAAAACTTCCGATTTAGCAATATGTGCATTGGCTGTTATTACTCCCATTACAAATTTTACAAGTCTGGCTACCCTCATCAAAATATTAGCCGATTTCGCAGCTCATAATGCATTTACCCTCTATAAGTACATATTGTTTCTGACATTACTTACAATCTGAACTGAGAGGACCTTAGCATGTTAAGCAAGTTTTATCACAAGAGATACATTACATTTAGCTTTAATCGTAATATTATTAGTCACTACAGGGAGTACTTGGCTTACATTAATATTAAACAGAACATTTTTAACATTATTAATTAACCTTGTCATAATATTGATTTGCTCCACATTAAGCCACGCATAAACCATTATTAGTCATATCTTTAATGCATGTAGTACATTTTTAAGAAATTGTATCATAGAATTGGTCAATTTCACAAGATATACATTCTTTTTATGAACTTTTAATTTTAGATTTAAGTAAATTATCAGAATCTTCAAATTAAATTTACTTTAAATTGTAGTTTTGATTGCAAGTCAAACATATTGTGGAAGATGAACAAGTTTAACAATTCTAGCTACAAGACTAGCATTGCTATGAGCTATCTAAGAATTATCCTTCTTAACATTAATCATTTTAGCAAGTTCTTTTTTATAATAAAAAATAAACATTTATTTTAAAAATATTCAATTTTTTTAATAAAAATATTTTTATGTTAAAATTTATTTGAAGTTTAATAAGTATATCTATTCAGGATTAAATATATTTACTCTCTAACTTACTTTTAAAGTTTATAAATGAAAAAAATCAAAAAATTATTTTAAAATGCTAAAAATATAAAATATTCTTAATTTAAAAATTTTAATTACTTTTCTTTGCTTAAAATATATCCTGAATCACATACTGAGCATTAATTAGCAGTTGATTAGGTTTTACAATTAGTTATTTGTTGAATGCATTGGCTATTAATTTAAACATACCCTAAAGCACATTCTGAGCATTAACTTTCAGATGTTTATGTTTTACAATTATCTATTTATCTGAAACATTAATTATTAATTAAAACATACCCTGAAACACAATCTGAGCATTAAGTATCAGATTATTAAGTTTTACAATTAGCTATTTATTGGAAACATTAATTATTAGTTAAAACATACCCTGAAACACAATCTGAGCATTAACTAGCAGATGATTAGGTTTTACAATTAGGTATTTGTTGAAAACATTGATTATTTATTACAGTAAATCCTGTTATACAAATTTAACATTATTGGGTATTCAAGCATTTAGAGCAGTTTTATGGACATGGTGAGCAAGTTTAATTGCTATTAATCATAAAAATCATTATATAGAAAAATTAAAAAATGTTAAAAAGTACATTTTAACTTATGATGGTTGGCAATCTGAACATTTATCACTAAATAAAATAAAAAAAGTTTTGTTTAACTATTAATAATGATAAAAAGAAAATTACTTAATAAAAACTTGACTATCTGTACATGTTTGACATTAATTTCTTTTGATATCAGAATAAAATATAAATAATGAAATATAAAATTCAAAAATATTACTTTGAATCCATGTATTAACCTGGTGTACAAACTAAATCGTCCATAGTTATAAAGTAGTAATTAGTTTAATCAAATAATATCTAAGATTTTGTCTAAAAAAATTATTATTAAATTATTAATTAAAAATAAAAATCTTACACTTTAAAAAATTCTTCTGTAGAGTATATCAGTGCATGGAAGTTGATAAATGTTGTTTATTTAGATATTTTAGGATGAAAAAGCATTACTTTGATATGTTAAAATATATTCATTTGTACCAACAATAATTATATTCTATATATTTTATTAAACAATAATATTTAAATATTTTAAATCCTTATTTGATTTATATTTTAAACTGAAGCAAATATAGAAAAAGATTGTTTTTATTAATAAAAAAAGAACGAGCTAATTGTCATTAATAACTCAATATATAATTAAAATTCAAAACTATTTTGTATTTTTTAATAATTCACAGTGATTACAATTAGTTTATATTTTAAATTTCTTACTTGATATGTTAGGATTAAGTCGAAAGGATTATTCGTTGAAGATATGTCAATTTAGGAGTTTCCAATAGAATAAAGAAATTTGAGAGTTTATGTATCAAATAATTAGAGTTATTGCTTTGTGTATGTGACAATTACTTAATTTGGCTATTATTAAAGGTATTTTTATATAGTTTTTTAAATAAAAAATTACATATCCTGGAACTGTAAAAAGCTGAGAAAAGATAGAACCTGTATCAAGAAGAATAAATATATTCTTAACTAGATTTTAATTAGTACTGTCAAATTAAAATTAGTATATTGATTGTGAACCATCAAAAAATAATCGACTGTTTTCCTAAAAATAAATATTTCTTATTTAACAATAAAGAATTAAGATTTAATAAACAATCTACATCTATGAGATAATATTTATAATCTGTACTTGTAGAGATTAAATATTCTACCCCTTTCCAAAAAATATAACTTGAATTTCCGTCATAATAAGCTATACATTTACTATCATTTTCAGAAAATTTTTTGATTTATTTGTTAATTATAACATTGCTATCAGTACTACTCATTTAGTTAATCAAAACAAAATTTTTTCTAACTATAAGCTAAGATTGATAGGTTATAATATAAAATCCGCTCTTTTTTAATAATAATAAATAATTTTAAATAAATTTGATTTTTATAAGTTTTATTGATTACATAAAAAAAATATCTTGTATTTGCTTATCCTTATTATTATTGGCAATTTACTGATGATTTATCTAAAGCATTTACAATATCACTAAATTAAGCAGTATAGTAATTACCAGTTTTATAAATAAATATGTATAAAACATTCTAATCCTTTTTTTTAAATTAAAATTTATAATTATTCAATTAAAATTATTTTACCACAAAAGATTTGTCTTATGTTGATGTTGAGCATTAACAGCCAGTTAAGTTTACTTATTTTTAAATATATCCTTATGAATCAAGCTACCAATAAGCTGTGATTTGATCAGGAAGTATACTTACAATCAAAGCATTATATGCCTATTAAAATAATATGCATATATTTTAAAAGAAAAATATGTTTTAAGTTACTTACTTTTAATTCAAACCAGTTGGGATCAATTTAAATTTTATCTGAGAGAACTATATCAATTAAGTAGATAAAAAAGAATAAAAAAGCCTATAAATCAAAAAACAATTTTTTTTAGACCATTTTGAGTTTACTTTAAGTAAGAAAACCTACCTTTACTTTTCTTATTTCTTTTGAAATTAATAATTTGTTTGTAAGTAAATCTAATGTATTTGTTATAAATAACTAATCCGATTCTTTGAACAAAATAGATAGATGGTTTTAATTGAATGATTGATTAAATTTTCATTTGCATCTTTACTGAGGTTAAAGATTAATTAGTGAGGGGTTTTGATTCATTCAAGCTATTAGAGTTGTTTTATTTAATTTCTAAAAACCAATTTGAGCTTAACTTTTTAAATAACTATTACACTTCTATTTGCTTTTAATAAAAGTATAAATTTATTTATTTATTTCCAATTTTATTTATCTTTTAATACAAAAAATTAGTATTTTTTTCTACTTTTAAATACTTTATCTATTACATTTGATGAAAAAAATAGTATTAAATGAGGTAATTCTTATTAAAAAATAATTTATCTTGTTTTAAAATGGTTGTAAAAACTTATTTTTATTGGAAAGTAATTCAAAAAAATTGTAAAATATACCAAAATAAATTAAACAAAAAAACAATATTAATTTTAAATTTTATTTTTTAAAAAGATATTGCAAATTCTAGTTCTTTTTTTAAGTATATTAATTTTAAAATAATATTTGTTAAACTTAAAATAAAACAAAACAATGAAAACAAATAATTTTTTGATAATAAAATTATGAATCTTAAAGATATGATTTTCACCTAAGTTATTCTGCATTAAATTTTACAACTTTTAATTTAAATGGATATAAAAACTATGAGGTTTAAAACAGACCAATTAAATCACATTTTAATCAATCAAAAAATCAAAAGAATATATGATTTTTATTTTTAATTACTCAGTAAATAAACAAATTACAACCTTAGAGCCTCGTTTAATATTTATGGGATTCAATTAAAATGCGTAATATGTCATAACATAAAAAATACAATCAATTATAAATTAACTTAGCTTAACCACATATTTTATTTTAGAAGTGAGGGATCAAAGAAAGATATCTAAAATGTAAAGCAAAATAAAAGAATTATTAACACAATAAAAAAAACCATAAATTTACTATTATTATTAAAACCACTTTATTCATGCCTAAATTTTTTCTAGCTTATTTAATGAATTTACAAAAATTTTAAAGCATTTGTTGGCATTTCATTATCTGCTTTAAAAAAGTAAAATGAATTGACATCATACTTAAATTTATTGTTAATTTTAATATTGCATATATAAATTAACATTTTGATAAAAATATAATGAGCATATTTATTGATAAAATCATTTGCCTTTTTAGAATTTATTTTTGAAAGTTTTATTATTGTCTAACATATCAAAGATTTATTCAATGTTTGATTCATCTAATTAAGCTACCATGTTTATAGAGGTGTTACTACATGAATTCAAATTCTTTACTAACATCGCATGTATATAATTTACTATCATTTAAATTATAGCTCATCTTATTTTTAAGTATTATATTTAAAAGGATTAAGAATTAATGTAAATATGTGATGAGCATAACTTGTTTTGAGCTGGAAACTGCTCATCCAAATAGAGGTAGCAGGATTTGGATTTGTGATCATATCACCTAAATTCGAAAATTGAAAAAATGGTGTAGCACCAAAATATGCATAATTTGTATTTGCATATGTTCCATTATTATAATGATAGTTTGTATGAAAAAAACAATATTAAAAAAAAGATATATTTTTTTTAAATTAAATTATTTTTCAAAATAATTTCAATAATTTAGAATTAAATTAAGAAAAATAATTGTAAAAAAAATGTATACAATCAAATAAAAAATCCAATAATTTAATGATAAGCCTCAGGTAAAAAAGGTCATAAAAATATTCATTCTATTAGTGGATAGATTTTTAATTTAATGAGTGTTAAAAGTGAGTAAAATTAAAAAAAAAATATTATAATTCCCTTAAATTTTAAATAAAAAACTAAAAATTAATAATTTTATATTATAAATTGGTTGAAATGTAAAATAGTTAAATTTTTTAATAGATATTTAAATTTTTTTATAAAGGTTAATATAAATTACATATAGTTAACTGAAAAAAAGAACTTCTTAAAATATTTTTTTTATGTTTTATGGATTTCAAAGTTATTAAATTGATGATAACTGAACTACTTATTTGCTATCTTTTAATTTAAACTATTTATTTAATGGATTTTTTGTCCAATGTATCTCTTTTTATTCTAAGTGATTTATAATAAAATCTTATGAGTCTATTTTACTCGTATTAGAAGAGGATAATTATTAGTTAATTGAAACATTTACACAACTTTTTGTTTAGATTTAGCGTCTCTTACATATATTTTTGAGTATGTATTTGGTTATTTTGTAAATACAAAATAGCATATAAGTTATTACAAAGAGTGCCATTAAAGCTATGAAAATGTAACCAAACAAAACTTAAGAGTTTTTATTATTTTATAAAAATGGTTATTCCAAAGTCGAAGGCTCACTATTTGTAGAAGTTACCATTGAAATCTAAAATATCAAAAGCGTATGAAAAGTTTCCATTAAAGTTAACATTAGATTATTGTTTTTCTATTTAAAAGGCCTGTATTTTATATTCAACAATAAGTAAAAAATATTTATTACAAAATGAATCCAAGGAACTGATTTATACTAGTTACTAGAAAGCATTAGAGCTCCTTGCATAATTGATATTATGAGCTTTCTTAATTCAAAACCTATCCAAAATATTCTTTATAGGAAATGAATTCTCTCAGTGCCTACAGAAGCAAGGGATATTAATTACAAGTTAGAATTTTGGCCATATTTATCTATTGATTTAAGTTTAGAGAAAAGTAGAAAATGAAATAGTGAATAAATGATAGCAAAGGCTGAAAAAAAGGAGTAATCAATAACAGATAAGCAAGATTTTGAGCTAAGCAGTAAAAAGAAATTAAAGATAATAAAGTTTGAAATTAATCTTAATGCTCCAATCATGTAATTCCAGTTAATGTAACGATCTAGCCAATTTATAGTCTTCGAGAAGAATCTTTATTTTATAAGTAGGATAATACTAATAAAAGAAACTACCAAAAATATAACTATTTGGTAAAAGCAATTGTTTGAGTAATTATCAGAAATATTTTATACACTTATAAAAGTATTTAATAAATTTAAGTTAAACTAAGTTGAAGAGTTTTAAATATAGAAGTTAGGGATGATATTGAAAATATTATGCATATAACTGTATTTTAAGTGATAATGGTTTATCTATAATACATTTATGTAAGGGGAAAATATGTAATTTCCAATTAATTGCTAAATTTGTAAGTAGCACCAGCTTACTGGACTGAAAAGTGGAGAAATGCAAATTAGCAAAAAAGAAAGTAAGATTGAACTCAAAATCAAAAACTAAAGATAAATAGAAGAAAGTTAAGCAAATTAATAGCCTTAGAAGCACTCATCAAATACATTTTCATCATAAGATGTTATGTTTTAACATTACTCATCACTTTAATATATTGTGCATTGATTTTTGTTTAGATTAAACTTAGTTTCACATGATAAGCAATCGTTTTTACTTCCACCTTTACAAGTTTTACAGCTTTTATCACACTAAATGCAAGCTAATAATTTTGGATCATAATAAAATCCATTTTAGCATTATTAACAAAATCCACTGGCTAAAATAGCATCTTAAAAGCATTATGTGCATTAGTTAATACCAGTTCCTTCACAAGTTTTACATGAAGCATCACACTTTAAGCATTTTTTACTTCTTTTATCATAAAAACTTCCGATTTAACAATATGTGCATTGGCTGTTATTATTACCATTACAAATTTTACAACTCTGGTTCCCCTCATCAAAATATTAGCCAATTTCACAGTTCATAACACATTTACCCTCTATAAGTACATATTGTTTCTGGCATTACTTACAATCTGACCTGAGAGGGCCTTAGCATGTTAAACAAGTTTTATCACAAGATTTACATTACATTTAGCTTTAATCGTAATATTATTAGTCACTACAGGAAGTACTTGGCTTGCATTAATATTAAACAGAACATTTTTAACATTATTGATTAGCCTTGTCATAATATTGATTTGTTGCACACTAAGCCACACATAAACCCTTATTAGTCATATCTTTAATACATGTAGTACATTTTTAAGAAATAGCATCATAGAATTGATCATTATCACAAGGTATACATTATTTTTGTAAACTTTTAAATTTTAGATTTAAATAAATTATAAGAATATGCAAATTAAATTTACTTTAAATTGTAGTTTTGATTGCAAGTCAAACATATTGTTGAAGATGAACAAATTTTACAATTCTAGCTGCAAGACTAGCATTACTATGAGCTATCTAAGAATTATCCTTCTTAACATTAATCATTTTAGCAAGTTCTTTTTTTTAATAAAAAATAAATAAGAATATCCACATTTATTTTAAAAATTATTTAAATTTTAATATAATTACTTTTCTTTATTTAAAATATATCCTGAATCACATACTGCGCATTAATTAGCAGTTGATTAGGTTTTACAATTAGCTATTTATTTGAAGCATTAATTACTAATTAAAACATACCCTGAAACACAATCTGAGCATTAAGTATCAGATTATTAGGTTTTACAATTAGATATTTATTAGGAGCATTAATTATTAGTTAAAACATACCCTGAAACGCATTCTGAGCATTAACTTTCAGATTATTAGGTTTTACAATTAGCTATTTATTTTAAGCATTAATTACTAATTAAAATATTCCCTGAAACACATTCTGAGCATTAACTTTCAGATATTTAGGTTTTACAATTAGCTATTTATTTTAAGCATTAATTATTAGTTAAAGCATACCCTGAAACACAATCTGAGCATTAAGTATCAGATTATTAGGTTTTACAATTAGATATTTATTTGAAGCATTAATTATTAGTTAAAACATACCCTGAAACACATTCTGAGCATTAACTTTCAGATGTTTAGGTTTTACAATTAGTTATTTATTTGAAGCATTAATTATTAGTTAAAACATACCCTGAATCACATTCTGAGCATTAAGTATCAGATTATTAGGTTTTACAATTAGCTATTTATTGGGAGCATTAATTATTAATTAAAATATACCCTGAAACACATTCTGAGCATTAACTTTCAGATTATTAGGTTTTACAATTAGCTATTTATTTTAAGCATTAATTACTAATTAAAACATACCCTGAAACACATTCTGAGCATTAACTTTCAGATATTTAGTTTTTACAATTAGCTATCTATTTGAAGCATTAATTACTAATTAAAACATACCCTGAAACACAATCTGAGCATTAAGTATCAGATTATTAGGTTTTACAATTAGCTATTTATTTGAAGCATTAATTATTAATTAAAACATACCCTGAAACACATTCTGAGCATTAACTTTCAGATGTTTAGGTTTTACAATTAGCTATTTATTTGAAGCATTAATTATTAGTTAAAACATACCCTGAAACACATTCTGAGCATTAACTTTCAGATGTTTAGGTTTTACAATTAGCTATTTATTTGAAGCATTAATTACTAATTAAAACATACCCTGAAACACAATCTGAGCATTAAGTATCAGATTATTAGGTTTTACAATTAGCTATTTATTTGAAGCATTAATTATTAGTTAAAACATACCCTGAAAGACATTCTGAGCATTAACTTTCAGATGTTTAGGTTTTACAATTAGCTATTTATTTGAAGCATTAATTATTAGTTAAAACATACCCTGAAACACATTCTGAGCATTAACTTTCAGATGTTTAGGTTTTACAATTATTTATTTATTGTAGACATTTATTACTTATTAAAGTAAATCCTGTTATACAAATTTAACATTATTGAGTTTTCAAGCATTTAGAGCAGTTTTATGGGCATGGTGAGCAAGTTTAATTGCTATTAATAATAAAAATCATTTTATAGAAAAATTAAAAAATGTTAAAAATACATTTTAACTTATGATGGTTGGCAATCTGAACATTTATCACTAAATGAAATAAAAAAAGTTTTTTTTAACTATTAGTAAAGATAAAAAGAAAATTACTTAAGAAAAACTTGACTATCTGTACATGTTTGACAAATATTTCTTTTGATATTAATAAAATATAAATAATAAAATATAAAATGCAAAAATATTACTTTGAATCCATGTATTAACCTGGGTTACAAACTAAATCGTCCATAGTTATAAAGTAGTAATCAGTTGAATCAAATAATATCTAAGATTTTATCTATAAAAATAATTATTAAATTATTAATTAAAAATAAAAATAAAAATCTTACGCTTTAAAAAACTCTTCTGTATAGGATATCTGTGCATGGAAGTTGATATTTATTATTTATTGAGATCTTTTAGGATGAAAAAGCATTATTTGAATATGCTAAAGTATATTTATCTGTACCAACAATTAATACATTCTATATTTTTATTAATAAAATTAGATTTAAATATTTTAAATTACTATTATATTTAAATTATAAATTGAAGCAATTAAAGATAAACATTGTTTTATTAATAAAATAAGAGATAATTAATTTTATTGTCGTTACTAAATTTATAATTAAGATTCAAAATTGTTTTATATTTTTTAAAAATTCACCAAGTGATTAAATTGTGTTTATATTTTAAATTTCTTACTTGATATGTCAATATTAAATTGAAAGGTCTTATTTAGTTTAAAGATGTGCCAATTTAAGAATTATCAATAGAATAAAGTTAATTTAGAGTTTATGTATTATATAATTAGAGCAAGTTATCTTTGTAAACGGCAATTACTTAATTTGGCTTTTATTAAATGTATTTTTTTTACTTAGTTTTTTAAATAAAAACTTACATATCCTGGAATTGTAAAAAGCTGAGAAAAAATAGAGCCCTAATCAAGAATAACACTTTTTTTCTTAATTACTTAATTATTATTACTGTCAAATTGAAATTATTAGATTGAATTAGAAACATTATCAAAGAATAATAAGCTGTTTTCCTAATTTTTAAAATTTTTTATTTAAAAATTAATAACTAAGATTAAATTTAAACAATTTACATCTATAAGATAATATTTATAATCACCAGTAGTAGATCTTTTGATTAAATATTCTATCCCTTTCCAAAAAATATAACTTGACTACCCGTCAAAATAAGTAATACATCTACTATCATTTTCAGAAAAATGATTGAATGTTTTATTAATTATAACATTACTATCAATATTATTGCTATCCAAATCAAAATTTTTTCTAATTATAAGCTTAGATTTTAATGTTATAATGAAAAATTCATTCTATTTAATAATAATAATAATTAAATAGTTTAAATAAATTTGTTTTAATAATTTTGCTGATTACATAAAAAAAATGTCTTGTTTTTTATTATCCTGATTCTTAATATTATAAGCACTTTACTGATGATTAATCTAAGGCATTTACAATATCACTAAATGAAACAGTAGAGTAAAAACCACTTTCATAAGTAAATATGTATAACATATTATTATTCTTTTTATTAAATTAAAATTTAAAATAATTAAAATAAAATTATTTTACCACAAAGGATTTGTCATTTGTGTCTGTTGTACATTAACACTGAATTAACTTTACTTATTTTTAAATATATCCTTATGAGTCAAGCTACCAATAAATTGGGTTTTGATCAGTAGGTGTACATACAATCAAAGCTTTTTATTCCTAATAAATAATACCCAAATACATTTAAAAGCAAAATATATTTTAAGTTTCTTACTTTTAATTCAAACCAGTTAGGATTAATTTGGATTTAATCTGAGAACACAGTTTCAATTATGTAGATAAAAAAGTATAAAAAAACTTATACATCAAACAACAATTTTTTTAAGACCATTTTGAGTTTACTTTAGGTTAGAATACCTTCTACTTTTACTTTTCTTATTTCTTTTTTAAATTAATAATTTATTTGTAAGTAAATCTCATGTATTAACTATAATTTCTTGATCCAATTCTTTGAATAAAATATATGGTCTTAATTGAATGATTCATTTTGTCTTTATTTGTATTTTTACTTATGTTAAAGATTAATTAGTGAGGGGTTTTGATTAATTCAAGCTATTAAAATTGTTCTATTCAATTTATAAAAACAAATGTGAGCTTAACTTTTTAAATAGCTTTGACAATTCTATTTGCTTTAAATAAATTTATATATTTATTAATTTTTAATTTTTATATATTTTTACTAATATATTAAAGCAGAATAATTTAAATTATTTCTACTTTTAAGTCTAATTTATCTAACTACAGTCCAGGGAAAAAATTGTATTAAATGAAATAATTCTTATCAAAAAATAATTTATATGTTTTTAAAAATAGTAGTAGTAACCTGTTTTTATTGGAAATCAATTAAAGAATAAATAGAAAAATTAAAAAAATTAACATTCATTTTAAATTTTATTTTTTAAAAAGGGTATTGAGAAATCTAGAGCTTTTTTGTAAGTTAGTTAGTTTATTTATTTCAAAATAATATTTGTTAAATTTAAAATAAAATAATGAAAAGAAATCATTTTTTGATAATAGATTTATGAATCTTAAATTTACTATTTTCGACTAAATTATTATGCAAAAAATTTATATCTTTTGTATTTCAATCCATAAAAAAATTATGAGGTTTAAAACTGACCAATAAAGTCACATTTTAATCAACCAAAAGTATACGTTTGATTTTTATTTTAAATTACTCCATGAACACACAAATTATGCATTTAGACCATAATTTAATATTTATGGGATTCAATTAAAATGCGTAATACCTCTAACATAAATAATACAATCAATTATAAACCAGCTTAACTTAACCACATATTTTATTTTAGTAGTGAGGGATCAAAGAAAGATACTAAAAATGTAAAGGAAATAAAAGAATTATAAACACAATTAAAAAATAATCATAAATTTACTAATACTTTATAATAAATTTATTCATGCCATGCCCAAATGTTGTCTAAGTTAATTTTTGAATTTACAAAAAATTAAAAGCATTTGCTGGCATTTCAATATACGCATACAACAAAAACAAAATTAATTGATATCAAATTTAAATTTATTATTAATTTTAATATGGTTTATATAAATAAATAAACATTTTAATATAAAATATAATAAGCATCTTTATTGATAAAAAATCATTTGCCTTTTTAGAATTTATTTTAGAAAGCTTTATTATTATCTAACATATCAAGAATTTATTCTATGTTTGATTCATCTAATTAAGCTACCATATTTATAGAGGTGTTACTACGTGAATTCAAATTCTTTACTAACATCTCATGTATATAATTTACTATCTTTTAAACGAGGAAAAAACTCTAAGTTATAACAGAGAAACCTAATAGCCCGAGAAATAAATATTAATAAACTGTTTTATAAAATTAATTGAGTTAATTAATCATTCTTTTTTAAATTTCAAAAATATTTTCTCAATATAAAATATCCTTTTAATTTTTAAAAAATTCTAAATCAAATTTACCTTTGTGGAGCATTTGAATTAAAGATGTGTTTTATTGAGGTGATAAGGAGTCATTTTGAAGATTAACTATACCAATTATTATGACTAATATTGTATGAAATAATTCTAGAATAATTATTATTTTATTTGTAGATTTTTCTTAAAAAGGTTATTGCCAAACATGATAGATCATAAAAATTAGATTTAAACCAATATGCAACCAAAAAACAATATGTTGTTTGTCTTTATCAAAGATAAAAAATGCCTATAATATAGTTATAATTACTTTTTTCCATTCAAATATAACCCAAAACAACCTTTTTAATATATGTGATACTTCTATTTTTTCAATTAGATTTTCAAAATATTAAATATCTTAGAAAGAAATCTGACTGAAAGTAAATCCGATTCTAATCATCCAATATATTTATAAAGGTATGTATAATATTAAGAAAATCCCTGCTAGAACCAAATCCATAATTTAAAATTGTTACTGCCATATGAAAAGATAGCTGATGTTAAAAATACAAAAGCTTGAAATGACTCTGAACCAATTAATAAAGAGATTCCATTTAAGATAATTATACAATTTTTCAATTTAATTTTTAGATTGATTATTATTTTATTTATTGAAAATACCAAATACGATAAGCATGAAGAAAAATATCATAAGAGTAAGTAGAAGTAAAAAGCAATTATTATAGATACTATTCCAATATGTGTTAACTTAAAATATTGTATCAAACTAGTTAAAATTATATAGTTCATCTTATTTTTAAGTATTATATTTAAAAGGATTAGGAATTATCGTAAATATGTGATGAGCATAACTTGTTTTGAGCTCGAAACTGCTCATCCAAATAGAGGCTAATCTTGTAGAAAAAATATAGTTAGAGATCATTTATTAATTTTGAATAAATACCCAAGAAATAATTGAGCCAGAAGAAGTAAATATAGAAGAGAAGAAAGCCAAAGTAATATTAATAATAGATAGTATTTCTAATATTTTATTCAAAAATTGGCTTGAATCAAATTAGTTTTTGCAGTCATTATTTTCTGCTTGCTAGTTATCTAATATGCATCCTATTGTTTGTAATTATTTAATTTATTCCTACTCGCTATTGTATTCTGATTATTTTAAGCACTTATTTGAAACAGGACTAAAATACAAACCAACCGAACATAAAATGCATTGATCAGCATTTTTACCAGAACAAACGAGGCAAGTATAATCGCAATAATCACAACTTTTCATAATTTCATTATAAAATTATCCCTCTTCACACTATGCGCACTTTTTAAGAGTTGGCTAGAATACTAATTAGTTAGTGCATGATAAACAATCTGATTCTAAAGGTCCCTTACATTCACTGCAAGATTTGTGACAAAGCCTACATATACCAATATTATCCATATATTCGTTTTTAGAGCAGCTATGTTAACACTTATTTCCATACTCTGGAAGACATTAAGAGCAAGTTAAATTAATATTATCAAAATATTATTCTTTTTTGCAAGATGTTACACAAGGAATATTTTGTTAAATATCTCTAATACATAAAAGACATTTCTAAGAATCTTTTTCAAAAAAATAATTTGGACCACAAATAATAGTTCCATCTGGCTGAATCTGTTAACAAACATTTTTTTCACTAGTTAAAAATTAAAATTTTTTTTTTCAGTAAATAAAATACGATTTAAATTGTTTAGGTTACTCTTTGCAAAAAAAAAAAATATATTTGATCTGAATAAATCTACCATAATGAAAAGAATAATAAAAACAAAATATTATTTACTCACGAAGATATAAAGGTGAGCAGATGCAATTATAATTATTGTCAAAAACTTCATTTTTATTGCAACTTTTTACACAAACACCATAAGTTGATGTTCTATTTACAGTTTTTAAATATTTTTAAATATATTTTAAATAAATAAATTAATTTTACTTAATAATTAATGTAAAATTTTCAAAGCAAGAAGTGCAATTATCATTTTTACTGTCAACACAAGTCTTACAACTTATATCACATTTTACACATTTGCTTCTAATTTTTATTATGATTATAATATAAATTAAATGTTTAATTAATTTACGATTCTAAATAGTATCCAAGCTAACATGTTTAGCATACATTTAAATATGTGCAAGTTAGGCAAGTAGGACTACATTATTAACAAGTTGTAGTATTCTTATAAAATCCATCTATGCAAGTTTAGCAAGATTTAGAGTCCGTACATGAAGAGCATCCATTTGGACATTAATTGCAAGCAACAATTTAATATAAGCTATAATTTATATGCAAAAATAAAAATCCTAGTTTTAATAAGTTAGTTTTGTAATAAAATTGGATTATCAATAAACAAAATGTATTAATTAGATAATACAATTTAAGTGTATAATCAATATTTTATAATATTCATTTATATTTTAGAGAATAAACAAACTTAGAGGTAGAAGAATTATAACTAAAAGAGAATTTTATTTTACCTATTTAGAACAGGAAAGTACCCTTTATTGCATTGACAAGTATATTTGCTACCGCTGTTATAAATTAATTAAATAAATTTATAAACTATTTCTTTAAAATAATACTCATATATAAGAGTAGAATTTGTTGGACATTTTCTCACACATACTCCTGGATCACTAATATAATATAAATGGAATTTAAATTGTTATTTTTAAACTAAGCTTATTAATAATTTTACATCTATTCAAATCCACTTGCACAGGTATTGCAAAAACTACTTGAGCTACAAGTTCCACATGATTCATCACATTAAATACACCTTTTTTGTTTTAGGATATATTTAATTTAAATATCAAATTAATCATGTGAAAATATTACTTTTAATTTATAGTGTCCTAATATTACCCATCTTAACAACCACATGATCCATCACTATTTATTTTTAAGTATGTTAGTAAAAATACTGAATATATAAATATGCTTACCTTCTTGGGATTAAATTATTCACACAAATTGTGCAAAATTTTTAAGAAGTACATGATACGCAAGGTTTCTCACACATTAGACATCTAATTTTGTTATAAAAACATTAACATTCATAATTTAAAATTTATAAACCAAAAAAAAGCAATATTTTGTTAAAATACTCTAAAGATAGATCAATTTTAATAATTAAGTATTATTTTTAAAAATATCATTGAATCCATCAAATTAAAAATATTAAACTTTAATTTTGTTAAAGATTTTTTTATAATGTAGCTTTTTACTAAAATTTCAAATTAAATTTGTAAACTACCTGAAAATCCTTCATATGATTTATCTGGACACTAACACCTTTTAATATTAAATTTATATAATTTAGGATTGATAGTTTTTAAAGAATTACTTTCCGTCTATAACTTAAGCATATAACACAAAGCATTATTTACATGTTAAACTATCAACGCATGTCTTACAATCTTTTAAGCATGGCTTACATTATTAATTTTATAGAAAAAAGCCTTATTTGCATGTTTAACATACTCCTGTTGTATCACATAAATCACAAAATGAATCATTACAACTCAAGCATGTATTTCTAATTTTCATTTTAATAAAAAGGGAATGAATAATATAAAATAGCTTAACAAATGCTTAATAAAAAATGTATATCTAAACACTTTTATCAATCATCTTTTTAAAAATTTAATTTTTGTTTATAAAAGTGATAATAAAATATAAAATAAGAGTTTTAATGATGCCCTATTATCTAAGATTGCGAACTCAAGGTTCTGCATAAAAAATTTAAGAATTTTTCTTATATTTTTTAAATATTTTTTAAACATTCTTTTCTTTATTGATCTATCTTACTAAAAATTTAGTATTTTAATTAATTTATGTAAGTTTAATAAATTAATTAGCAAAATTTTATATATTTATTTATAATCTTAAATTTTTAAAATTTTTTGTATTAATATGAAATAATTATTTTACTGATACAAATAATATGAGCTATTACATTTTTAGCATATTTGGGGTGCACTGCATTAGTAACAATTATTAATACTGCAGTTTATTAAGTGTCTTTTGTTTCTTAAATTGTCTAAGACTTAATTTGTTTGAGTTTAAGGTGAATAATAATTCTATTTTATATAAATTTAAATTAAATTAATATTTATAAAATAAGATTTTGTTTAAATTTTATAGCTTTAATTAAATATTTTTTATTTATCGCAAGTTAAAACAATTTCCTTTTTATGAAAAATAAAAATAAGATTAAATTTATTATCAAATATTGGGTTATTATTTTATTTTTTACTTTTAAAAATTCCAAATAAATGATAAAATATCTTTGACAGAAAAATTAAATCTTTTTGTTGAGCTTAGTAACCCTAAATTTTCATCCAATTTATATGATTAATTCTGAAGATTGCAATATTATTTGATTTAATTTACACTTGGTTGTTAGGTTTTAGGGATTCGCTTTATAATTAAAATGAAAGAAAACAAAAAATCATTTAATGCTAATAATCAAATTTAAATATCCATTTTTAGTATTTCTTTCCATCTAAATTTATTTCATTTTTTGCTTAATAAAAAAATTGCTCAAAACTTTGAATGCTATTCTATCATTGATTAACTAATTGCTCATTTAAAAAAATAATAATGATTCAATTTATTTTTTTTGCATTAAACTATCATTTAATTATGAACCAACTCTATTTGACTTCTCTACTATTTTTTAAGTTATCTCATTGACTGAATTTTAGATAGATTTACTAAAAGTTTTAAAAAATGTATTACCTATGATTGATGCAATATCTAACTTTAGCAAAGTTTTAAAATCATAATCAAGTATGAAAAACAGAATATTATGTTCATATTGAAAGGTAAGGGACAATAAGATTGACTGATTTAAGTATTTGTAATTGAGAAAGATAATTTTATTTTTAAAAATTAATTATGATTAATAAAGCAAAATCTTTTATTTCTCAATCTATTAACTCATTATATTTATAAAGACTTTTAAATTCCTGAATTAATTTATTGATTACTATGTTTTATTAGTATTTTACTCTCCTTTTTATATTTAAAAATAAAAAACAAGTTTCTTTAAACCAGAGTTTGGTTTTATTCATTTAAATATTATTTTTACTTAAAAATTTATGAAATTTTTTACTTTTATTAAGTAAGCAAAAGGACCTTCAAACTAAACAATAAGATGAACATTCATTTCTTATCTTATTAAATATTGGTATTTTTTATCTTTCTTCAAATAATTACCTTGATATTAAATTCAAATTGTGTATTATCCATTAATTTTTTTATTAAATTTATCCTAATAATAAACAAAAAAATATTTACTCATTTAATTATCAGAATTCAATTCAATTATTATGAAAATAAATAATTAAGTTTAATCTTTTAAAATGTGATGATTGTTTTTGTTTTTTAAATTAATTTTTTAACTTTTAAAAAACATTAAAATCTAAATAATTTTATAGCAAATAGAATTTGAATAATTGCTTATAAAAATTAACAAACATATAAGCTTTATTTATTTTGTTGGATAATAAATATTCTAAATATAGCTATTGAAAACTCTTTATATGAATATTTATTTATCTTTAATAGCATTTTCATCAAAAATAGAAATTTATTAAACATTTTTTCTATTGATTAACAAGAAATTAAATCCAAATTTACCATCAGAATTCTAACTATTTATTATCAAAAACTTAAATAAATTAAGATTACTAAATAGTAACTACAAATTAATTAAATTCATTCTAAAAAAAGCTTACTCTCATTAGTTACTAAAATGAGATTACTTTAAAAATATAAAAATACATGAAAATAGGTTTTAAAAATAAAATTTTAATCTTAATATTTTTAAAAATATTATAAATATCAGCAAAAAAGATAAATCGTACATACTATAATATATTATTTCTTAAAGCCAATTCATAAAATAAAATAACTTTTTCATTCATATTAGATCAAATTTTTGATAGACCAAAATGATTAATCAATTTTTGATATTTAAAAATTTAATATTTTACATTAAATTCTTTTTCTCCATAAAATTTGTTTAAATACAAAAAAAGACTATTTAAGATTAGTTTTAATATATGAAAACATTTCTTTCAAATATAAGACTTTTTTTGCCAGTTGATAACTTTGGGCTTTGATTCTTCTAGCATTTCAAATAACTTGTCTAAGTTTGATTCAGTACATGGTTCAATATTTGATGTTATATTAATTTATTTTGTTTTTCTAATTTATTAAAGCTATTTATAACTATTAATATAAGATATTATTCTTTAAACTACAAAAATTAACTGTAAGATAAGAAAGACTCCCACAAATCCAAATATTGTGAATCTATATGCTTTATTTTAAAATTTTTTAATCAACAAATTAATTAAGTAAAATATAATTTAAATAATATTTCACCTATACGTAGTGCACTTTATGTCTCTGATACATTATATGCATATTAAAAATCATTAAACTAAAAAATAATTCCAATTAAAATTACTAATATTGTATGAATTATTTCTAGAAGGATAGCAGAGTAATTTAGAATATTATTTATGAAAGGTTTTTATATTATTATGTATAAAATAAAACAAGCATTTAGACTAATGTGAATCCAACAAGAAATTTGCTATTAATCTCTTCCAAAAACAAAAACAGCTTGGATTATTGTTATTATCACTTTTCTCCATTCAAAGTATATCCAAAACATCCTCGAAAAAACTTTAGAAGTTTCAAGCTTTTCTAAGAGGTTTTAATATGAATCTATTTAGCTATAAGTAGATTTATGATAGAGGCATCCAACTTTCAAATTCCAACTTAGATTTAATGGTAAATAAAAAATCATTGATATTATTATAAAAATGATATCCGAAATCTCAAGACTGTGCTTCCAGATAAATATAAAAGCAGAATTTATTATCAAAAAGTTTGAAACCAATCTAAATAAATTGATAAAAATATTCCACTTCAAGTATTTTGTTATATTTTAAATTGTGTTATTATTTTAATCATTCGCTCTTGATTTATTTATTAATAATAAAATTATTAAAGCTAACAAACACATGCCTAGTATTAAGATAATCAAAAAGCAATTATTATAATAGCTATTGTAAAATTCATTGATTTAAATAACAGAATTAGATGTGTTAAAATTATATAAAATATCATTTTCGTCTACTACTCGTTTAAATATATTTGGTATGGCTGTAAAAATATTAAAGAAATAGCTCATTTTTAGCTCAAATTTATTCATCCATAGAGGAACAAAATTCTAAGAGAATATATAATTTCCTATAATTTATTAGTCTTAGATAAATAGCCAACTCAGTGAAGAGCCAAAAGGTGTAAATATTGAAGAAAATACTGCTAATGGAATGCAAATTATAGCTAAAATATCTAAAGTATTTGATAAAGATTCGCTATTTTCGAATTAATCTTTACAATTAGGGTCTGCTTCTTATTAGTCCTATTTGAAACAACCTATTTTCTTTGCAAAATCTATTTACTGCTACTCACTCTAAATTTAAGTATTTGATTCACATGTTTTTGTCTAATCACTTTTAATCAATCCATTATTGCAAATAAGGCATTGATTATTTTAATTACCAAAGCAAGTTAGACAGTCTTAAAAACAATCCTCAAAACTCTTTGATTATTAATTGAAAAACTGACCCTCCTCACATTAAGCACATAAACTTAAAGTAGGTTAATAAACCAAACCAGAAGCGCAAGAGATGCAATCAGATTTTGAAGGTCCACTGCATGTAGAGCAAGATTAATCACATTAAAAACAAAGAAAATTCTAATCATTTCTAATAATTTGTTATTTAATTTCAAATATTCAAGATATTTTTATTGAATTTTAATAATTTACATTTTTTTAGATTTTAAACCTTATTTACAACTCAAGCAGTTATTTTCAGATGGTCCATTGCAAGTTAGACATTATTAATTACATTTTAAGCAAATATTCCCTTAAACATAGTAGCCAGGATCACATTTAGATAAGCATTAGCTAATTAAATGATAAAAAGATTTTTTAAAATTATTGCATTTAAAACTTTACTTGTCCTATAAAAATAGACCTTATTAGCAGGTGAGACAGTTTGAGCTTGTTTAAGAACAAGTAGTGCATTACTAATCGCATTTATAACAATTTTTATTATAAGCATAGAATCCATTTTAGCATGTTTGCACACATGAACTAATAATAAATAACACTTAATATGAATAAAATATAATTAAAATTATCATACCTAATTTATAATAAGAAACCTTCGCTACAACTTTAACAGTTATTTTTAGTTTGAGCGCAAACAGTACACTACTAATCACATTTTTAGCAAATAGAATTTTATTCAAAATATCCGTCATTACATGTTTACTAACAAGTACTAAAATTTTAAAAAATAAAAAAATTAAATTTTTTATAAATGTTAACAAGTATAAATAATTACCTATCTTATAATACTTAACCTTATTAACAGGTGAGACAGTTTGAGCTTGTTTAAGAACAAGTAGCGCATTACTAATCGCATTTTAAACAATTTTTGTTATTAGCATAGAATCCACTTTAGCATTTTTGCACACATGAACTAATAATTAATAGCATTTAATAAGAATAAAATATAGATAAGGTCAATTAAAATTATTATACCTAATTTATAATAAGTAACCAATACTACAACTTTGGCAGTTATTGCTAGTTCCAGTGCAAGCAGTACACTATTAATCACATTTTTAGCAAATAGAATTTTATTCAAAATAACCATCATTACATTTTTATTAGCATGTACTAAAATTTTATAAAATAAAAAAATAAAATTTTTAATTAAAGTTAACAAGTGTTTATATAATTACTTATCTTATAATACTTAACCTTATTAGCAGGTGAGGCAGTTTGAACTTGTTTAAGAACAAGTAGCGCATTACTAATCACATTTTTAACAAATAGAATTTTATTCAAAATATCCTTAGTTGCATGTTTATTAGCAGGTACTAATATTTTGTATATTAAAAAATAAATTTTTTTATAAAAGTTAACAAGTATATATATTATTACCTATCTTATAATACTTAACCTTATTAACAGGTGAGACAGTTTGAACTTGTTTAAGAACAAGTAGCGCATTACTAATCGCATTTTAAACAATTTTTGTTATTAGCATAGAATCCACTTTAGCATTTTTGCACACATGAACTAATAATTAATAGTATTTAATAAGAATAAAATATAGAAAAGGTTAATTAAAATTATTATACCTAATTTATAATAAGTAACCAACACTACAACTTTGGCAGTTATTGCTAGTTCCAGTGCAAGCACTACACTACTAATCACATTTTTAGCAAACAGAATTTTATTCAAAATAACCATCATTACATTTTTATTAGCATGTACTAAAATTTTATAAAATAAAAAAATAAAATTTTTTATAAAAGTTAACAAGTATATATATTATTACCTATCTTATAATACTTAACCTTATTTGCAGCTAGTACAATTTAAACTTTATCCTATACATGTAGCACATAATTAATCACACTATAAGCAATTATTTTCTGATAGATAATATGCTTAATCACATTTGCTCACACAGGAACTAATTCAATAAAAATTATTTTTTAGAAAACATTTAATACATTTATTCTTAATTTAGTTAATATAGCAAGATGCCATTCAAAAATTCAGTCACTTATTATGAAATAGATTTTTTAGTTATATAATGATTTTCATAGTTTATCCATAAATAAGGGATGTTAGTTAAAATTAATGAGGATTTATGGCAATTAATATGATTCATTCTATTTTAGGGATTAAATTTAAGATAAATTTTTAAAAATATTATGTAGATTTATATTGATAATAGTTAAAATAATTTTTATGATTAAGTTTATGCTTAGTATAAATATTCTCTTCTTATATTTTTTATTTGCAATTTAAATTTAATAAATATTGAAAAAATTATATTTGTTCTAAAAATTGAAGAATATCATACGAAATTTATAAATAGAATCCTTATTAGCAACTCAAGCAGTTATCTTATTGATCACAAGTTTAGCAGTTTGAAGGTGTGCATTGTTATTAATTTGGCAACAATCTTAAATTTAGCTTTTAATAAAAATTAAATAATTTATTTCATAATAACAAAATTTAATTAATTTAAATATTTAGTGCTAAAAAAGATAATGATTTGTTTATATTAAATACTTCTTTTTTTAAGGAAGTTTGAAAATATTTTTAAATTAAACAAAAAAGTTTCATAAATTGGTAATTAATTTGATTAAAATATTTTCTCTTAGATAAAAAATAGGCTGGTTTCATATTTAAAAAGTGATAATAAATATATAAATTTGAATTTTACTGTGGTGTTTTACTTAGAATATGTAATTTATATTATAATTCCTGTCAAAAATATTAATTGTCTTATTAAACTCATTTTCTTCTAAAGTTATTTTTGTATTTTTTTATTCTTATATTATATTATAATAACTTTCTTAATTTGTTTTTGACTTGCTATTAAGCTCTAACATCATTCTAAAAAACTGGTGATATATTAGTAATATCTTTAGTTTATAAAAAAATTAATTTTGGACTTTATTAAAATAGAAAAACCCGTATAATATTTGTTTCCCTTACACGATTAGTAAATTTATTAATAAATTTTTTTGTTTTTTAAATAATTTATTTAATCTGCTTTTATTTAGCTAAATAATACAGAATTTTATTTAATATCATTCAATTTTGTAACCAAAAGAATTTATTACACTTTCTTTTTGTTCCAAAGTAAATTTAAAAAAAAATATAATTTGAAATCTCCCCAATTTTGAAGGTAAAGCAAATATATTAGTATTAAAAACAACAAAATTGTTAATTAATTGGTTGCTGTAAAATTTATAATATCTAAATATTGTAAAAATTAATACAATTTAAGGGAAATCAAAATCTAATTCTTTTACTCTTCTATAGAATATAATACCAAAATAGTTTTATATTTTTAACAAAAATCATTTAATTTAATCGAATCTGTTTTATTAAAATAACGATAACAGAAAGCAAATCTTAAAATAAATGTTTTTTTTAAAAATAAGGCAGATGGATTAGCAGAAAGGCATTAAAAAAGTAATCTGAATTTAGATTTAATCAAATTGATTTAGATTTTTCAATTTTTTTCTACAAAAATTTGAGGATTTTAAATTATTTAAGAAAATTGAAGTTGAAATTCCTCAAATAATTTATTAATTAGTTTTGGATATCAAAATAAATGTTTTCATTAATTTTTTTCTCAAATAGAAGGAGTAAAGGGATAAATTAAATCAAATAATAAATAATTTATACAAAAACTTACCTTAATTTATATTATTGGGAGAAGAAAGTTTTGAGATTCCAATTAATATTTTTATCAAAATACCTTCCCCCTTTATAAAATACTGAAATTTTCTTCTATAAAGATTTAGAGGGAATGCAATAATTGCTCTTTAGTTTGATGCCTAATATAATTTTTTTAATATAAATATGCTAAGGATTCATGATTAATTATGATAATAAAATGAATTTTTTTGTTAATTTAATTTATCATATACTATATCATAAATAACTTATACAATTATAATGATTGATATCCTGTTAACAAGTATCAAAAATAAAAATAAGTAATTATATTTAAATTGAAAAATCAAATTTTTTTTTTTGAGATAAAAAGTTGTTTACATCTATTCTAATTAAATCTATTTAACTTTAGTTTGTTTTACAACTTTGAATTTATTAGTAAAAGAAATTATTTATTTCAATATATATTTAAACTTTTGAATCAATTATTTATTTATTAGCAAAGAGCTGATTATGTACAAATCAAATCAAATAAATTATTATTTCTTTATTTAAATTGTATTTAAAAATGCCAAATTTTCATTTTAAGAGTGATAATTTTAAATAAACAACTCATTTTATAAAATATATTTTTTTTTCAAATTTTTAATACTTTTTAATCAACTAAATTAAAACTCAATTTTTTAACAAAAAACTTTTTTAAGTATTTAAAAGTGAAAATATAAATTTAAATTATTTTATTCTTTCACTTTTTTTATTTTGTCTTTATCAAATTTTAAACTGCAAGAGAGCATTTTAATACTTTGATTCATCAAGCATTTCAAACAATTTATTCACACATAAATTTGTAAATTACTCAATTTTTAATGTAGAGTTATTTTCTTTTTATTTTTTAAAAGCTAGTTAAGAAAAATTCCTATAAATACAATCAATACAAATACTTATGCTTACATTAATAAAAAATATTGATATAAATACTGTAAATCCTCATTAATTAAGAGCTGAATATATATATATACTGTAAATGCTCATTAATTAAGGCATTCCCTAAGTATCTTTTTAGCCCAAAAAAAAGTGCTATGAGCCTCAAGGAAGGGTAAAAATTTGGGGAGGGGGTGACCCTTAATTAATGAGGGTTTACAGTATATAATTTATTTTTTATCTAATAGGAATTTATTTTGTATTTATGATATGTCTAATGAAAATTAAGAATCATCTGTTGAAAAAGTACCTCAATAATAATTTAAAATAGTGTGTGAAATATTTCTAAAATAATTGTAAGTTCATATAGGAAGCTATTAATAAAGGGTTTTTGAGTATTGTATATAGAATAAAATAAATAGTTAAATTAATTTAGATCCAACAAAATATTTGATATTTTTCTCATCCAAAAATTAAATAATAATTATTGTTGTTGTTGTTTTTTTCCATTCAAAGAACATCCAAGACATCTTGAAGTCTTTTTACAAATCTCAAGCTTTTCTATTAGATTCTAATAGAAATCTAATTTCTTATAATGCTTATTACGATATAAGTATCCAATTTTGAAATTCCATATTAGATTTAATGAAAATGAATTATGAATATTTATTAATAAGACTAAATCTTCAATTTTTAATAAGATACTTTAAGGAAAAACTTAGAGATTGGCTAACCACTTAAGTTAAAAAGGTTTTTTTAAGATTAATAATAATTTAAAAACATGTAAATATTAATTTAGTATTTTGGAAATTGTTTTTTTATAAGGGATTTCATCATAGTAAAGAATATATTTAAATAAATAGTCACTTGAGCAGCTTATCATAATTTTATAAACAATTTAACTTAAAATTGATATAAAAATTAATTTTTTTAAAGTAAATTGTCAATAAACTAATATTAATATGTATGAAAATTGATTAATAAATTAATTTTATAAGCTTATTTAGATTTTTACTTTTGTTTCAAATTTTTAAGGACTAATATTTTATTTTTTTAAAGTACTTTTTTAGTTTAAATTTACTTTTTATTAAGATGATTTGAAAATATGTTTAAAATCTTAAATAGAAAACTGATATTTAATAACTATATAAAACATTTATTTCAAATAAATAATAAATTATAAAAAAATAACTTTAAAAAATATATATTTATTTAATTTAAAAATTAAATTTTAAAGTAGGAATAATATTAAGTCTTATTTATCATTTAAAAACTCACTTAAAACTTTTATAATATTTAAAAAAATATTTTTGATGATTTAAATAAATAATTTCATTTTTGTTATTTTGTAAAAAAAATTAGAATAAAATATTTTAATTTATTTAATAGTTGAAAATTTTGTTTTTTTATAATTTAAAAATATAAATAAACAAGCATAGAATTTTATATTAAAATTAAAGCTACACTCTTTTTAATTAAAAATTTTAATAGGTTTTATATAATCATTTTTAAAATTTTTTAGACCAATCAACACTTCTGCTTTTAGATTCATCTAAAACCTCAAAAAATTTCTCTATATTTGATTCAGTAAATTACTCTATATTTAAAGTGCTATTATTTTCTTTTGTTTTTTTTACCTTTGAAATTTATTACCTCATTTAAATGTAAGACATTACTCTTTGAACAATAAAATATATTTACAATAAAATAAAAACTGCTAAGAATCCTAACATTGTAAATCTGTATGCTTTATTTATTAAAAAAAATATTTTGTTTTTTTTAATTAAATTTAATTTTTCTTAATAAATAAATAATTATTTTTACTTGTACGTAACGTAATTTATCCTTATGATAAATTTAAAGGAGATATTGAGTCGTTCTAAGAAAAAATAATAGAAATAATGGTTACTATAATTGTGTGAAACATTTCTAGAATGACTATGAAGCTATTCATAAAGCTATTTATGAATGGTTTTTTAAATATTATATATAAAATAAAAAACATATTTAAACCAATATGAATCCAACAAGCCAATTGCTATTAGTCGCTTCTAAATATGAAAATAACTTGTACTATTGTTATTATTACTTTTTTCCATTCAAATATTATCCAAAACAACCTAGAAAAAGCATTTGATACTTCAATCTTATCTATCAAGTTTTAATATTAATCAACATCATCATATGATATATTATAATAGAGGCAGCCAATTTTAAAATTCCAAATAATATTTATTGGAACATAAAAAATCATTGATACAATTATTAAAATTAAATCAGCAATTTCTAGCTATTGCTTCCAGAGAAATATAAATGCAGCATTAAATATCAAAAAATTAGATATCAATCTAAACAAATTGATAAACATATTCCATTTAAAGTATTTTGTAATATTGTAGATAACATTACTGCTTTTATTTTATGTTTTTGGAATTCTGAGCAATAATAAGATAATTAAACCAATCACACATATTCCTAAGGCTAAAATTGGCAAAAAACAATTATTGTAAAAGCTATTATAAAATGGATTGACTTGTAAAAGATTGTGAAATATGTTAAAATTGTATTATGAATCCTTTTCTTACACAGATTATTTAAATATATTAGGAATAGCAGTAAATAAGTGATACGCATAACTTAATTTTAGCTCAAATTAGTTCATCCATAGTGGAGCAAGTTTTGAAGAAAAGATATAATTTCCTATCATTTATTAGTCTTGGATAAAAATCCACCCTAAAGAAGACCCAAAAGGTGTAAAAACAGAAGAGACAAATAACAGAGGTACGCAAACTATAGCTAAAACATCTAGAATATTAGTCTAAGATTTAATGTTTTCAAATTCATCTAAGCAATTAGAATCTACTTCTTTTTTATCCTATTTAAAACAACCTATTTAACTTGTATGCTATATTAATTTCTATTCACTCTCAATTTTAGTTTTTGATTCACATGTTTTTGTCAAATCACTTTTAATTAAGCCAGTATTGCAAATAAGGCACTCATTTTTTTACTTACCAGAGCAAGTTAAACAGTCTTAAAAGCAATCATCGCAACGTTTAGTAGATTCATTATAAAAATAACCTTCTTCACATTAGGCACATAATTTTAAAGTTGGTTAAAAAATTAATCCAGAAGAGCATGTAATGCAATCTATTTATAGTGGTCCGCTGCATTTAGAGCAAGATTAATCGCATGAAAAGCAAAGATAATTCTTTTCATCTCTAAATAAATTTTATTTAATTATTTATTATTTTTAATTTATCAAATTAAACATTTTTAATGATAAATTACATTTTTTTCTAATTTAAACCCTTTTTACAGCTCAGGCAATGATTTTATGATGGTCCACTGCAAGTCAAACATGCTTAATCACATTAGAGACAATTATTGCCTTCACTATAGTAACCATCATCACATTTATCTAAGCACAAGCTGAAAAAATTAATTTTAATGTATTTTTGGTAAGAAAAGGAAATGAAATTTTACTTGCCCTATAAAAATAGCCCTTATTAACAAGTTAGACATTTTGAACTAGATTCTATACAAGTAGCACATTTTTAATAACATTTTTAACAATTTTTTTCAGACTGATAGTAACCTGCACTACATTAATTTACACATGAGCTAATAAAATTATTAAAAGAGTAATTTTAATTTTAAAAAAATATAATTTAATCATATTTTACTTGTTTTGCAATAAAAAATCATTACTGCAACTTTAACAATTTTCACTTGATTCAGTACATTATGTACATTTTTCGTCGCATTTTAAGCATTTTTTGTTTGATTAATAATACCCAACATCACATTTATCAACACATGTACTGGTTATAAATAATTAATATAAATTTACTATGTTAAAAATGAATAATTTTTAATATTATTTTACCTATTTTATAAAAGTTGGTTTGATGAGCAGCTTAAACAATTATCACTAATTTTAGAACAAGTAGAGCATTTTTAGTCACATTTCAAACAACTAGAACCTGAAGCATAGTATCCATTGTCACAGCTTTAAACGCATTAGCTAAAAAAGTTGATTTTTAATAAAATTTAAATTGAAGTTTTAAGTTTAAATTATTATTTACCTATTTTATAAATAGTAGCCATTTGCACAGGTTTGGCAATTGTCACTGGATAGTGTACATGAAGTACATTTCTAATTACATCTAAAACAATTAGAATTTTAAGCATAATAACCTTTATCACATTTACTTACACATAAACTAATTTAATTAAAATTTTTTTAAAATAATGCATCCTTTAATATTTTAAATGAAGAAAATATTTTTACTTATTTTATAAAAATTATCCTGAATTGCAACTTAAACAGTTAGTGCTATTTTATGTACATGTAAAGCATTATAAATCGCATTTTAAGCATTGAATTCCTGAAGTATAATACCCATCATCACACTTTACCACACAAGAACTATAGATTTTATTTTATATTTTGATTTTAGTCAAACCTTTAAAAATATTTTACTTATTTTATAACAATAAGCTAGCATTACAACTTAAGCAGTTTTTACTTGAGTCTTAGCACTTTTTACAATTTTAATCACATCTTTAGCAAACATAATTAAACTTGTAATAACCTTCGCCACATGTTTAAACACATTTACTAGATATATTTATTTTTGAAAATTATTTTGAATATGAGAATGTAAAAAAAATCAATCATAAAATAAATTTATTTACTTTTCTTAAAGCAAAAAATTGTTTTAACAACTCAAACAGAATTTGCTTGTCCCACTACAAGTGAGACAATTCTCGTCACACTAAACACATATCTAACCTTAAAGGTATTAATCAGGTTTACATTCCTTTTCACAAATACTAATATTATTACTTATTAATTCATTAATTAATTAAAAAATTGAAAATAACAACTTACTTATTTCTCAAAATAAAACCTTCAATACATGTCTTACAGTTATCACTTGTCCCAGAGCAGGTAAGACAATATTAATTGCATTTTATACAGATAAAATTTTAATCAAAGTAGCCATCATCACATTTTGAAAGGCAGGAACTTTCGTTTTATTTGAATATTTAATATTTTAAATTTTATCTGATGTAAAAATTTTACTTATTTTATTTAAAGTAGGGTTTGTTACAACTTAAACAGTTATTATTTGCTCTTTCACATTCAGCACATTCTTAGCTGCATTTTAAGCAGTTAATACCAGATTAATAATACCCAGGTCCACACTTAGATACACACTAACTATTTTTATTTAAAAAAATATTTAACTATTGATTGATTTTTATGTGTTTAAGCTGCCCATAAAATTTACTTTTATTTGAAAAGTAAAACATAATTTATAATATTGATGATAAAATAGCTATTTAGTTTTCTTTAATATTTATTTTTAATAAGATTTACTTATTTTGCAATATGAAATCTTTGTTACAACTTATACAATTTTATTCTTCTCTAGAGCAGGTAGCACATTATGAGTTACATTTTAAACAATTAGTACCGGTAGCGTAGTAGCCATCACTACAGTTATCTACACATTTACTAGTAATTAAAAATTTATTATAATTTTATTGTTAAGAGGAATTTTAAATTTTATTTATTTATATTTTCTTCTCCATTTTATAAATAAAGAATTTAAAATTTTAATAAAAAATATTCCATCAATCATCTAAACCCCCAAATAAATTTTATTAAATTTAAACACAAATTCTTTTTACTTTTCTTATAATAGAAATTTATCATTACAGCTTAAACATTGATCATTTGAATTCTAGCATGTTTTGCAGGGTTCCAGACACTTTAAGCATTTAAAATCTTTACTAAAATAACCAGGTTAACATTAAGATACACATTTTCTAATTTATTTTAAAAAAATGTTTATCTTAAAAATTTACATGAATATTTATAGAATTATTTACTTTTCTTACAAATAAACTTGAAAGAAGCAAGTTAAGCAAGAATCGCCTGGCCCATCACATGTATTACATTAACTATCGCACCGAAGGCAATTATTATCTTACTTATAATAACTAGTATTGCATTCATTTACACACATACTATATTATTAATAAATTAATTCTAATAAAAATAGCTTAATTAATTTGGAATTAATAATTTTTTAAATTTTAATCCTAAATTTTATTCTACCTTCCTTCCAAGAACCGATTTAAGGGACAACTTAAGCAAGAATTACCTGGTCCTTTACAAGTCTGACATTATTTATCGCAATCAATACATTTAGAACCTGAGAGATATTAGTCAGGACGACATGATATAAATATACAAGAGCTAATTAAAATTAAAATAAATTTTTATTTTTTAATTTAGTAACTTTAAAAAAATTAAAATTCTTTATTATATCCTACCTTCCTTATAAAGTCCAATTTTAAGGACAAGTTAAGCAAGAATTACCTGGTCCACTACAAGTCTGACATTATGAATCGCAGTTAATACAAGAAGAGCCTTAAAGATATTAACTTGGGCTGCATTCTTTTATACAATTGCTATATAAAAAATAAATTGATTCTAATTAAAAATATCTTTAATCTACTTACCTATTTATTAATTTGAATCCTGTGTTGCAACTTTCACAATGATCGATATAATTAGAGCATGTAGCACATATTTAACTACATTTTTAACATGTTTAATTAATAGCCAAATAACCAGGAGAACAATTAGTCAAGCATTAACTATTTATTTATTAATTTAAAAAAGAATAATTTTTAAATAAATATTATTCTATGAATTCTCATTAACTTTCAATGTAAATTTAAAAATATTCTCGACACAGATACTAAACAAAAAATTAAATAATTATCAAGTTATTATTATATTATTGCGTAATAAATTAAAAAAATAATTTTTCATTTTAAGCATTTAAATGCAAATGTGTAAGCTAAAATCAAAAAATTTGAGAATTTTATTCATAAAATTTAAGCTCTTTTTATCCGCATTATGAAACGTAATTCCTTATTACCTAACTCTTCGATATTTTATTTTGAAAAAATCCAAGAGTAGAGGTGTATTTTTGTAAAAATAAGAAAAATTTGGATTTTTTTTGTTATTTCACTGGTATTTTAGAGTATATCTTAAGTTTTATAAAGAACAAAATAGTAATTTTATTAATTCTTATATTTTTATCTTTTAAGAGGATAGTAATTTTTTATAATACAATTAATTTTAATGAAATTAATATTTAAATACCTTTCTTGCAAATAAAAATTTGGTTTACATTCAACACAGATATTATCATGGCAGGTTAAGCAATTTAAAACGTTACACGATTAACTAGTTGAACTACCACCACTTCCTCCTCCTCCAATAGTTCCTCCACCACCACTTCCTCCTCCTCCAATACTTCCTGAACCACCACCACCACTTCCTCCATCAGATGGTGGGGTAGTATCACTTACACCTCCACCGCCACCGCCGCCTTCAGAGACTTCTTAAGCCATCTCATTACTTGCAGTACGAAGTAGTCTATAATTTGGCTTTATTATTAAAAAATAAAGTAAATTCTTTAATAAAATAAATATGTTTCTTTAATGATTATATATTTAAAATAATATATTTGTTTGTTTAAATTAAAATAATTATTTTGAAAAGCAAGTTTGTTAGAATTATTTTTTTTAAAAAGATGAGCTGCTCACAAAAAAAAATAAAAATAAATTTCTACCTTTCCATTTTATTTTAAGCAAAATATATAAATTATGAACCCAGAAAAACAAATTAGTTAGCTTATTACTTTCATCTTATAATGGCTTTTGTATTTATTTATTTAATAATTTATATTTATATTATTTTAATATATTTTTTGTTTTATCTAATTATAATTTGTAAACTAGCTGATCACACATGTAAAACCAGCTTAACTATTAAATAGAATGCAAATTTATTTTTAAAGACTTATTAAATAATGACACAATTTTTTAATGGGGATATTAAATAATAAAAGATTTTGTAGCAATTAATGATGATAAAAATTTTATTTACAAATAATTAAAATTAATGAAGTTAACCAATCAATCAGCTTTAAATAGATGTAAAAATAAAAATTGATTAGTTTCGAATATGCATTTTGATAATAGCAAACCTTTGAAAATTCTTTAAGATTACAAAGTTAATTTACAATTCACACAAAAATAAGGAAAAATAATAATAAATATGAATGGGATATAACCTAAACTGAGTTTATTTCAAAATTACGCAATCTAGAAGATAATTATGTGATTAATGGTAAAAAAAAGGTTTTTAGCTTATCTTTTATTACTCCAATTAGAGTAATTAATTTCGAAAGGTAGAGATAAATTTTTATTTCCTAATTAAGTATTCACCCTTAACTCAAGCAAGCAATTGCTTTATAAAAGAAAAAGTACATTCTTACTAAATTGTTTTTAATAATTTTACAAAGTTTAAATTAATGTTTAAAAATAAATAGTCTACAATTATTTAATTTTTTTTTTTCATATTTCTAGATTTAATAAGTTGATTGTCTTTTTATGATTATAAAATATTTTGAATTATTAAAAAAAATTCAATATTAAGAATAATAATAGATAATCCAGTCATTCTAATAACTTACAAAATATATTTATAAATTTAATTGATTTTGGCTTTACTTAATTTCTTATGGCATCTTTCCCACTTTTAAATTGAATTTATTAAGCTTACAATTTTTTAATAAAGAATTTGAAAAGAAGATATATTTAAAAATTTTTTATTAAGACTATTTAACAAACAAACTTACCTTAATAAATCTTTTTCATAAGACTTAAGTATTTTTATTAAACCATTTATTATTTATTTAAAAAGCATATCAATTATAATTTAAAAGTTCATATTAAATATTTTAAAAAAGGAGATTTTACATATACATAAATTATTTATAATATTTTAGTTTAATTTATCTTTAAAACTTTAAAAAACAATCATTTAGTAATTTATTTATTTATTTCATCGAAATAACTATAAAAATCTTTATTATGGAGAAAATTTGATTATTATTAAATAGATTTTTATATTAAATGATTTATTTATAATATTTTAGTTTAATTTTTCTATAAAACTTTTAAAAATACAATCATTTAGTAATTTATTTGTCTTATAAAAGTAAGTAACTTTAAGAATTACTATTGGAGAAAATTTGATTATTACTTAATATATTTTTACTTAAAATAATGAGATTATGGTTACATGATTAAATTTTAGAAGTATTTTTATGAATTATGATAAATTAATCAAATATGTAATAAAAATAGTATTCTTATTATAGTGCTTTACTATACTTTATTTTTTTTCTCAAAAGCCCTAAAAAAATAATAATTATTGATAGATTTAAAATTTAATTTAATTTACATTATTTTCTTAGTTTGTTAAAAGGGTGTTACATATATACTAATGAATTCTATCATTATTAAATATGTGATTTACAAAGTTTTAAATTGTAAATGAAAAGGTTTTTACTTATAGCTAAATTTAAGCTTGAAAGTTAAGCATTTGATAAAAATTTATTTTTAGATTACTTATTAATTTTAATTTTGATTGAGGAGTGAAGGGGGGAATTAAAGAACCTACCATTTTTTTGACTCACTTAATCTCTATTTACATTATATACTAATAAATGATTAATATTCTAACCTTCTAATTACCCCCTCCCTACTCCTCTCTATTTTTTTGTTGAGTTTATAATTTTTAGCATGAATATTTATTTCCGCTTTTTAAATTTACATTCTAATTTGTTAATATTCGTTTTAAAATAACCAATCTAACAAATTAAGTGATAAAGTCTTTTTGAAAAATTAATTTTTGGATATCAGATATTCATTTTTAAAAGAAAAAAAATTGCAATTTACTTAAATGGTATATTTCATTCACCTTTGTTAGAATATTTTTTTTTAATTATTTTAAATTTTCTGAAGAAGAAAAAACTAATTTTAGTTAGTTAGTTTACAGTTTAAAAAAATTATTAATTTATTAATTAAGCACACACAAACACACAGGCCTAATAAATAAATAAATAAAATATAATAATATTTAGTATTTTTCTATTGAAAATAAATATTCTTTTATAAAAACACATTTACAAGCAAATAAATTTTACAAATAATGATTGATTTGCTTCAATCAAAGTAAAATTTAGTTTTATATTTTTAATAAAAAGAAATACACTCAAGTATATAACAATATACAATAAAATGTTTAAGAATGATATTTATCTTATTTTTTTACTTTTAAAAAGCTTAATACAATTTAGCATACAACTGAGATGAAATAGTAATAATTCAAAAATACAAATAAAATCAATTTTATGAGATAAATTTCTTTTTGACAATCATATTTGTAATAAACACAGAATATATTATGATGAAATTATTGATTAAGTTTTTTACTTTTTAAACAATATTTAAAAACAAAGATTTTTAAAAATTTTAAGACTAACTATCTTTTTTAGATTAAGAACTCTAATTATTTATTATAAAATATATAAAATAAAATAATAATTTAAAATTTAACTAATAAACAAATAATAATCAAGCATCATTTTTTCATCCTAATTTATCATTAATTTTAGATTAATCTAACATTTCAAAAAGTTTATCTATGTTAGAATCAGTTATTTATTCAACGATATTACATGAAGAAGTTGAGTTTCCATTTCTCTTTGAGTTTTAAATTTATTTAAGCATTTAAATGTAGTTCCAAGCTTTTTATAGTAAGATAAATGCTTGTAAACAAATTGATACTCCGATATACGCATACATAGCAAATCTATAAGCTATTAATTAAACAAAATTATTATTATTTTATTAATTCAAATAATAATAAAAATATATTAGTATAAAAATTTTGTTTTTCTTGATTTAAATTAATAAAAAAATATTTCAAAATTTACCTTTTCTCAGATTTATATTTAACTCAGAGACATCATAAGAATTAATTGAATATTCTTAAGATATTATAATACTAATAAAAGTGATAATAATCAAATATAGAAATTCCTATAAAACTATAATTGAGTTAGTAAGGTTTTATATAAAAGGTTTTATATTTATAATGTAAAGTATAAATATAAAATTTAATCCTATGTGTATCCAGAAGCAAAACTAAAGTTTATCCTAATCAAAGATAAATATCGCTTATAATGCTGAAATAATTACTTTTTTCCACTCAAACAATAGCCAAAACACTCTCTATGAGCATGAAGAAATTTCAATATCTTAAACTAAGTTCTAAAACTAAGCAATATCATTATAGGGTATAGAATAGTATTTGCATCCAATTTTTATATTCCAAAATAGTTTTAAAGCTATGTAAAAGATTAAAATAACAATTATACTAATCAAGTCTGAACCATTGAATTCTTTTTTCCAAAAGAAAATAAACACAGCATTAAAAATCAAAAAGCTAGAAATGATTCTGAAAATATTAACAAATAAATTCCACTTAATATAGAAATATATCTTTTAAATTTTGCTATTTTAATCTTACTTTTATCGAATATTTAGACAGAAAAAAATAAAAAGCATAAAAAAGCAAAAACCAAATACTAACAAAGCATTAATACAGTTATTTAAATAGCTATTCGAGAAATCATTAATAGATAATAGAGTGCTAAATTGATTAAACTAAAAGAGTTTTTCTTCTTTTTTAGCTTGTAGAGTAAAGATATTTGGAATAAAGGTAAATAGATGATGAGCATAACTCATTTTCATTTCGAGTTAATTCATCCATAATGGTCCAAGCTTATAAGCAAATATATAATTACCCAAAAGCTATTAATTTTGTATAAAAATCCAACCTAAGCTTGAACCTATTGGAGTGAAAATAGAGGAAGCCACAATAAGAGATAAATTAATGACAGCCAAAGTATCCATATTCTAAGTTGAGGATTTACTTCTTTCAATTTAATCTAAGCAAGAACTGACTACTTATTGATCTGTTTAATTGTAGCAACCAACTATTTTACTATATTCTAATAAATTATTTTCATTTTCAATTTAAGAACTTGATTAACAAGTCTTTGTGATGCTGCTTAGGGTCAAGCCTCCTCTGCAATCTATGCATTCATTTTCATTTTTACCAAAGCAAGTGGTACACATTTAATTACATTATTGACAATTATTTTAATTGAAAAAATAGCCCTCTTCACATAGAGCGCACTTACCAATACTAGGTAATAAAATATAGTTTTTTGAGCAAGCTAAACAGTCTTTATTTGAGGGACCTTTGCATTTAGCACATGATTTATCACAAGGTTAACAAGAACCACCTGTACTAATCTAATTTCTTTTAAGAAAATAATTTAATTAATCTAAAAATAATATTTCTTTTCATAAATTACAATTGAATCTTTAAAATAAAATATATTATGATGTTGTTATTTAAGGATTAAAAATAAAAATAGAGTTTTATCTTACTAAATTTAAAGAAATAGGTTTGGACCACAAGTTAAACATTCTTAAATTGAACTACCAGAACATGTTAAACAACTTTGATCACATGTTAAACATTTATTATCTTAAATAAAAAACCCTTTGTTTGTATCACAAGTAGCTGTACAAGTACTATGATTATAAAAAAATTTAATATAATTTTTTAGAAAATCAACAATTTTACTTATCTTTTTGCAGGTATTATTTAAGAGGACAACTTAAACATTTTTTAGGGTTTTCATCACAAGTTTAGCAACTTTAATCACATTTTTTACAACTTTATCCTTAAATGTAATATCCCATTTCTTTATTGCAAGCTTGGCATGAACTAATTAAAAAAAAAATAATTTTCAAAAAATAGTTTAATTTTAAGAAAAATAATAAATTTTGTAAATATATTTTGAATCTCATGAAAATTTACTTATTTTCAAATAGATACATACCAGGACTGCAAGTTAAGCAGCTTGTGCTAGTACTTCCATTACAAGTCTAGCAACTTTAATCACATTTTAAGCAATTGATATCTTAAATAAAATATCCTTTACTTATATCACATTAACAAGTTCTATTTTTTTTTTTTTATAGATGATTTAGAAATTTAAAATAATTAAATAATTTTACTGATCACGTTAAAGATTAAAGTTTGGGTAACAAGACAAACAGTTATTATGTAAACTACCACTGCAAGTCTTGCAGCTTTAATCGCATTTTAAACAATTGACACCTTGAATAAAATATCCATTACTTTCATCACATTTACAAGTACTATTTTTTTTTAATTTTAATTATTTGTTATATTAAAAAATTTTACTTGTTGTCTTAAAGATTATAGTAAGGTTTACAAGACAAGCAATTACTAGGTAAATTACCATTACAGGTTTTGCAACTTTAGTGACATTATAAGCAAACATTTTAATCTAAGTATACTCCATTTTCAGTACATTAGCCACATTATCTATTTTAATTAAAAAAATATTATGAAATTTTATATTTTACTGTTAACATTACCCATTATAAAGGAAGAAACTAGGAAAACACTCTAAACAGCTAGTTTAATTACATTATATACAATTTATGGTACATGGCATACAGTCTCCTTAATTTTAATAAAATCCTAGTAAATTGCATGAACCACAAGTCCTATTTTATAAACTAAAGTTGAAATTCATAGTAAAGATTTATTTATGTTACTTATCTGGGTAAAGGTAACTTGAATTACAAGATTAACAATTTTTTTTAGGGCCTACACTGCAATTATTGCATTTTTAATCACACTGTTGACATACACTATTAATTAAAAAATTTTAGATAGAATATATTTTAGATAAGATATTATTTTTATCAGTAATTTGTTTGAAATGAAAAAATTAAGGTAAATAATTTAGAAAAATATTATTGCATTTTATTACATTTTAATAAAAATAAATTATAGATTATTTTAATTTTTAGATGGATTTAGTGTAAAATTGTTTCTTGCTTATGTGTGTTATAAGATAGATTTATAATTAAATTGAAGTTAAAAGATTAAAAATTAGAATAAATTTAAGCCACTTTAGCTATTTGTTAAATAATTAATTTATAAAAAAATTTAAAATGCTTATTTTTTATTCTAATATTAATATTTAAATATTTAATAAGTATTTATTTATATTATTTTATTGTTTACTTTGTATTTGTTAAATAGAAATTATTTTTGCATTTTTCACAAGTTTGATTTGACGGATTTATTTTATCACAATTTTATTATAATTAAAGATTTCTTTAATTTGTTATCTTCTCAAATATTTTTGTTCTTTTAAATGTTGTAATCTGTAAGATTAATTAAATAATAATTAATAAAAAATAAATAAATAAAAATATTTTAACAATAAAATAGATATAAGTAAATATAAAATAAATAATAAAATAATAATTAATTAATTAAAATATTAATACAATTTATCAGTTTATTAATCACTTCTTTTTTAATTTAAAATTAAAAATATTTTTTTTAGATTAAAGTGCATAAAAAATAATTTTTAAACTAAATTGAGACTTTATTAATGAGGATTGCTAGTATTTAGATAAATGAAGAATGTAATAATTAAATTTTTTAATTTATATAAAATTATAATAAAGATAACTATTTTATTAAAAATATTATATTCATTACCTGCTATTGGAATTATTATTATGTTCTTGAGATTTATAGCATGTTAAATAAGAATACAATTATGATAGCTTTTAGAACCATTTTTTCTTCTTCTAAAATACTTCTTTTCAACTCAAATATTTGTATCAATTGTTATTTGTTGTGGATCTCTATCAGATTGACAATGTATACTTTTCTTACTTTTTGATTTTAAAATTGATATTTAATATTTATATCGTTTTTTTTAATTATATGCCTGCTCACTTTATGGTAAGAGATATATTGCAATTAATATATGTAAATTATATTCTAGCTAGTTTTTTTACTCTTTTTAAGAGTCGAACTTTATTGTATTTATTTATTACTCTAGTTTTAACAATTAAAGAAAGCAGAAATAAATTAAAAAAAATAATGTTCAAATTTCATTTATATATTAAATAAATTAATTTAAAAATAGTCTATATAAATAATTACTCAAACTAACTATATAATTTATCATGAAGAGTTTCTTTGTAAATTTTGTAAACAGCTTCTAGTAAAAAAGTTTGTATAGATTAATTAATGTTAAGCAAAAATACGAAATTAATTTTTTATGGTAAATTATTAACTTTAGTTTAAGATTGAATTTTAATTCTGAAAAATTCTTTTTTTGAAGTCATCAAAGCATGCATTTGGTCATTTTTATTAATTAAATTTATATAAAGGTTTTATTTTATTGTAAATATCTGCTCTAATAATTTAAAACACTATCTAGTTTTTTTGTGATTATAAGACGTAGATAAAATTAATATTTATTTGTTAATTATTTCACCTTGTTCAATTTTACCATCTTGAAGTGTAAATTAATTTATTAATTCCTTCCTTCCTGCGTTCTCATTAAAGTTTCTACCGCTTTATATTTTATTCTATTTTAAATAAAAACGAAGATATATATTATAATCTTAAACATACCATATTTAAATTAGCAATTTTACAATACTTTATTAGAATTTTAAACTTAAATAGAGACTTTTTATTAATTAAGTAAAAATATCCATCTTTTATATACTTTACAAAGATTAGGATAGGACTTGTTTACGCTATTTATCCAAATAAACATAAATCAATTTCATAAATAAAAATTAAGATGAAATTAATTATTTAGGATAAATATTATTACATAAGTAAAATCTGATTAAAGCCATATAAATAAAAATATTAACAAAAGAAAGATATAATACATAAATAAATAAATAGATAATTCAAATTATAAGATTATAAATAAATATTATAAATACAAATATAAAATCTATATTTTTTAAAAATAAAATGATAAACTAATTACAGATTTTGAATATATTTTAATATTAAAAAGAATAAATAAATAATTCAATTTTTTATTTTTAAGTTTAATTTTGTATTTAACAACATCAAATGCTTCAGCTAATTTGACCTTTTTTGAAAAAGTAATTCCTGTGATCAAAAAATATTCTTTTAAATTCAGGTAAATTATATTAATTTAAAATAAAGTCAGGAAGACTACAACTAAAAGTAATAATTAACACTTTAATTAAAAGAAAAATCTGATATTACACAATAAAATATTTGGATTTACTAAATATATTTATACTTTGTTTTTTTTATTTTTTATATTCTCTTTTATAAATTGTAAATCCATGTATATTTTAATTAAAAATTAGTCAAGTAGATATCAATAAAAAATGATAATTTAACTTTATTAGTAAAAAGAAAAATCAAATATATTAACATATGTATGCACTATATATACAACTAAATTGTGCTTTATTCTTAATTTAATAGGGGAGGGGGTTGCTAACCTATATAATATAAATAATTACTTATTATTTATTTTTGAATTGACTTTCCTTATAAATATTACATTAATATATAAAATATTTTAAATAAATTATTTCAATTTTGGTTTTTCCAGTGAAATTGATTCTTGCTTTTTGATTAGTTTAGCATTTCAAATAATTTTTCTATGTTAGAATCAGTCATTTACTCAACCATATTCATATCGCCAGTGGTGGTTTAACTTTTATTCATATCATTAGTTTTTCTTAGTATTTTAAAGTAGTTCCAAGCCTTTTGCATTAAAATAAATGCTAGTACAATAATAGATAATCCTAGATATACATACATTGCAATTCTATATGCTATTTAATTAAAAAGATATTAAAATAAATATCAAATTATTTATAAGTTGATTTCTTTTTTAAAATATTTTATGTTTTGTTTTTTATAAATATTTAGCTGTTTGTAAAAAAATAAACAAAATATTACCATTTCGCATATTTGAATTTAATTCAGAAATATTGTATGGATTTATCTCAATATCTTAACTAAAGATAACACCAAGAAACACAATTGCTGTAAGATATATAAGTTCTTATACTATAACAATAGAATTTGCTGTTCTCTCTATAAAAGGGTTTTATATGAAAATGTAAATTATAAAAAATGAATTTAATCCTATATGTATCCAGCAACTTATCTAAAGCTTCTCTTAATCAAAGATAAATATCGCTTATATGACTGTAATTATTACTTTTTTCCATTCAAATAGCAACCAAAATATGATTCATCCATAGGGGTACGAGCTTATAAGCAAATATGTAATTACCCAAAAGCTATTAATTTTGAATAAAAATCCAACCTAGACTTGATCCTAATGGTGCGAATTTGGATGAAACTGCAATAAGAGAAAGATTTACGATAAATAAAGTGTCAAGAATTTTAGTATTTGATTAACTATTTTCAATTTAATCTAAGCAAGTACTTACAACTTACTATTATTTTTAGTCATAGCAACCTTTTTCTTAGCTTTATTTTATTTACTTTTACTCATTTTATACTTAGCTACTTTCCTCACAAGTTTTTGATACACTGCTAAAAATTAAACCTGGTCTACAATCTATACAATCTTATTTATTCTTACCTGTACATGTCAAACATGTTTGATCACACTAATCACAACTGTTTTGATTGAAGAAATATCCTTCTTCACACAAAGCACACTTTCCAGAGTTGGCATTAAAATATAATTTTTTGTGCAAGTTATACAATCTTTATTTGAAGGACCTTAACATTTAAGACATGATTAATCACAAGACAAACAAGAACCAGCCTCATTTTACTAAATTCTTTTTAAATAATTTAAATAAAAAAGTTTTAAATATAGCAATAACTTAAACAGGTTGTAATAATATATTAAAATTAATAAATGTTTGATAAACATAAATTATTAGCAATTTTATTTACTTATCTTGATAAAGATAGAAGGATGGCTTACATGACAAACAATTTTGATTAGATGGCCCATTACAAGTTTGACAGGAAGTATGACATGGAAGACACTAACTATCTTGAGTGAAATAACCATTATTGGCATCGCAAGTACTTAAACATGTACTTTAGATTGTATAGTATAAAGAATTTTTCATAAAAATAACTTAGAAACAAATTTTATTTACCCATTTTAATAAAGATAAAGCGAAGGTTGACAGGATAAACAAGTTGAACTACCATTACAGGTTTTACATGTAGAATCGCATTTTAAACATGAACCGTTTTGACTATAATAGCCGTTTTAAGTATCACAAATACATGTACTTTAATTGTTTGAAATAAAGATTTTTTCATCTTAACTTTTTCTATAAATCAATATTACTTATTTTGCTAAAGTTAAAGGGAACCTTGACATGTTAAACAATTATTTTCTAAATTTCCATTGCAAGTCTTACAGCTTTAATGGCATTTTAAACATTCATTTCCATTATAAATATAATGTGAATTTTTTTTAAATTAAAATTATAGTGTAAAATAACCATTTGCAGCATCGCATACACCTAAGCAATTACTTTAAAAAAAATGTATTTCTAATGAAAAAAAAATTAAATTTTTACCCATTTTCATTAATAAATTATGACATTAAAACACAATCTAAGCAATAATATTTATTTTTACATTACAAACAGGTTTAACAATTTGAACAATTTAAACTATTAATTATTTAAGTAAAATATAATTTTATGTATTAAAAATGATTAAATAAATGTTTTAAATAATATTATAATCTTTTTAATTATTAATCTATTTATTTTCTAAGTAATTAATCGATGAAGTTTTTTAAATAAAACTTAAAATTAACAAAGAATTAAAAGAAAAAGGTAATAAAAATTGAATTAAAATAATCAATACTATTTTTCCTTTTTTAATTATTTTTAAACCTGATTTATATATTTATGTTTAAAGATTTAAAAAAATAATATTCTATATTAATTTTTTGAAATTTCAAACTAGTGAATGCAAGCACACTTTAATTTAGATTAAGAAATTAATTTTTAATTTTGTTAGAAAATTAATTAACAAAATAACTTAAATTCAATATTATGATATCGTGATGAATAAAAATATTTACAAGTAGGCCATTTTAGAGTTATAAGTAAAAAAAACATTTTAATGTTTTATGATAAAGAAATTAATTAATATTTTTATACTCTCCTCCTGCTAATGACAAATTAGTGCAACATGATTACTATCCAATACTATAAGTACATTAACCTTAACCAAGAACATTTTGATTATTTTGTAGATTTCTTGAATCTCTTAGAGAAGGATATGAAGATTATATTAGTACTTATTCAGTCTCTTGATAAATTTTGATCTATTAGAAAATTTATTAAAAATGTAATGAATTTTATTTTATGATTTTTTATTATCAATAATTATTATAAAACTAATATTCTTTAAACTATTAATTCGACTTATTTTTTAGTCCATAATGTTTTAGTCAAACGTTAAACAGACTGAAAAAGAAAATTTAGAAAAACTTTAACACTTAAAAAAAAATATCAAATAATAGAGTAAATATATGTATGTATTCATCTTATTTGTTAGTTAGTTATTTATTTATACCAAAAATATGAATTTAAAACAAGATGTTTTGAAAGATTTATTGAATAGCTTAAAAAATTTTATTGGCTTTCATTGCTTAGCTAATTTTTACTATTATTTGTCTTTGAATTTTAAAATATGGATAGAATTTAAAGAATTATTTTTAAAGTATAATTTAAAAATTCTTTCGCTACTTAAGATGTTTTATCTGTAGATCAAAATTATTTATTATTTACCTTTTATTTCAAATCTGTATCCATTTTTTATGCAAATATTGCTTTCCACATGATGATCAGGATAAATAATTTCAAATCCATTTTATACTTATTGGAATCTATTTTTGAGTCAAGATATTTTTTATTAAATTTTGTATTTTTTTGTTAAGAAAGTATAATAATATTTACTTTTTTCCTTTCTTCTTAATTTATTGATTATATTGAAGTAAAATATATGTATTCTCAAATTAATAAATAAATAAATGTATGTGGAAAATCAAATAATTATTTCAGACTACCTTTTTTTGGAAATTTTCTAAAATGAGTTAAACTAAAAATTTAAGCTGCTTAAATTTAGAAATTTTCTAGAAAATAGTAGGACAAGCAAAAATAATTACTGAATATTTATTTGTGATTTGATTTTCTTAATAATAAATAAATATGAAATATTACATAAAAAGATAAAAATATTTTAAACAAATTAGTGTCAATTTTGGTTTCACTAGTTTAATTAATTTTTCTTTTTTGATTAGTTTAGCATTTCAAATAGTTTTTCTATATTAGAATCAGTCATTTACTCAACCATATTCAAATTGCCTGTAGTTGTTTAATTTTTATTAATACTATTTGTTTTTCTAATCATTTTAAAGTAGTTCCACACCTTTTACATTAAAATAAAAGCTAGTACGCATATTGATAACCCTAGATTTACATACATTGCAATTCTATACGCTATTTAAGTAAAAAAATATTAAGAAATTAATAAACATCTAATTATTCTTAAGATCCTTTCTTTAAAAAGATTTTATGTTTTAATATAAATTATTTATCTTGCTAATTCTAAAAAATTAAATAAATATTACCATTTCGCATATTTAAATTTAATTCTGGAATATTGTACGAATTTATCTGACTTTCTTAAGTAAAGATGACTCCAAGAAATACAATTGCTATAAGATATATAAGCTCTTATACTATAATAATTGAATTCGCTGTTCTCTCTATAAAAGGGTTTTATATGAAAATGTAAATTATAAAAAATGAATTTAATCCTATATGTATCCAGCAACTTATCTAAAGCTTCTCTTAATCAAAGATAAATATGGCTTATATGACTGAAATTATTACTTTTTTCCATTCAAATAGCAACCAAAATATTCTTTAAGAAGTATAAGAAATCTCAATATTTTATACTAAGTTGTTAAATGAAGTAATATCCTTGTAAGGTATAGATTAGTATTTGCATCCAATTATTGTATTCCAATATAATTACATGATTAAATAGAAGATAGAAAACACTAATATGCCGATCAAGTCTGACATACCAAAATCTTTTTTCTAGAAAAAAATAAATACTGTATTAAAAATCAAAAAGCTTGAGATGAGCCTGTAAATGTTAACAAACATATTCCACTTGATATAAAAATATATTTTTTTTACTCTACTATTATTTTAGTCTTAAATTTATCTTAAATTTAGACAGAAAAAGATAATAAGATTTCCTAAGCAAAGCCCAAAAACAATTAAGGCTACAAAACAATTATTTAAAAAACTATTCCAAAAATCGTTGATTGTAAAGAGAGTGTTAAATTATTTAAATTCAAACAGTTTTGCTTCATTATAAGTTTTGACAATATTGATATTGCTAATCATTGTGAAAAAATGGTGAGCGTAGCTTGATTTCATTTCAAGTTGATTCATCCACAGGGGTACAAGCTTATAAGCAAATATGTAATTACCCAAAAGCTATTAATTTTGAATAAAAATCCAACCCAGACTTGACCCTAAAGGCGTGAAAATGGATGAAGTTACAATAAGAGATAGATTTACGATAAATAATGTGTCAAGAATTTTAGTATTTGATTAACTATTTTAAAATTAATCTAAGCAAGTACTTACAACTTACTATTATTTTTAGTCATAGCAACCTATTTCTTGGTTTAATTTAAGTTAATTTTACTCATACTATACTTAGCTACTTTCCTAGCAAGTTTTTGATATATTGCTAAAAGTCAAACCTGGTCTACAATCTATACAATCTTATTTATTCTTACCAGTGCATGTCAAACATGTTTGATCACACTAATCACAACTGCTTTGATTGAAAAAATATCCTTCTTCACACAAAGCACACTTTCCAAGAGTTGGTAATAAAATATAACTTTTTAGGCAAGTTATACAATCTTTATTTGAAGGACCTTAACATTTAAGACATGATTAATCACAAGAAAAGCAAGAACCAGCCTCATTTTTCTAAATTCTTTTTAAATAATTTAAATAAATATTAATTTATTCAATTTATCAATTTGATAATCTTATGTATTTAACCCAAAAATAAAAATAATTAAATTTTACTTAATTATATCAAGAAATTTGCCACTTTAGCATGATAAGCAATCTTTAGAAGAACCGCCGTTGCATGTCAAACAGCTATTATTACACTATAAACATTTTCCTTCAGAAATATAATATCCATTTTTTGTATCACATATTCTACATGTGCTAAATAGGTTTTTAAAAAATAATTATTACTTCTTTAATTTTTCTAAATCGTACTTATCAGATTAAAGATAGAGAGGCTACTAACATGACAAACAATTTTAATTAGAACTTCCATAGCAAGTCTAACAACTAGAATCGCATCTTAGACATTAGTTTTCTTGTAAATAGTATCCGTTTTATGTCTCACAATGACTTAAACATGTTCTATTTAGATTTAGTATAAATTATTTTCCAAATAAATTTAATTCATTTATAAATTTATTTTACTTGTCTTGATAAAGATATAGCTGCTGCTTACAAGTTATGCAATTTGATTTAGAGTCTCCATCACAAATCTAACAAGTTGAATCACATGCTAAACATGAATTTTCAGATTAGTAATAACCATTTTAAGTATCGCAATAACTTAAGCAGGTACTAAGTATAATCAAATTAACAAATTTTTGATAAACATAAATTATTCACAAATTATTTACTTATTTTGATAAAGGTAGAAGGAAGGTTTACAGGACAAGCAATTTTAATACTCATTACATGTCTAGCAACCAGAATCGCATTACAGACATAAATTTCCTTGAATAAAAAAGCCATTTTAGGTATCACAAGTATTTAAACATTTACTTCCTTGAATATAATAACCATTTTGAGTATCACAAGTAGTAGAACACGTACTATTTATATTTTAGTATAAAGAAATTTTCAAATAAAATTAAGATATTTATGAATTTTCTTAAATATAATAACCGCTTAAGGTATCGCAAGTACTTAAGCATTTACTAATTTTTGTATGATTTTATAAATATTTCGATTAAAAATAATTTTAAACACATTTATTTATTTTTACCTATTTTGAAAAAGAAAAAGGGAGGGTTTGCATGTTAAACAATTTTAGCTAGATTAACCATTACATGTCTAACAAGTAGGATGACAAGATAAACATTAGTTCCGTTCAATATAATAGCCATTTTAGGTTTCACAAGTACTTTAACATGTTCTATTTTAGATTTAAAATTAGTATTTTTTTATAAAGATATTTGAAGTGTTAGTTTGTTTGTTTTACTTATTTTAATAAAGATAGAATGAGTTTTGACAAGATAAACAATTTTAGCTAGATTAACCATTACAGGTCTGACATGTAGAATGACATGCAAAGCATGAACTATCTTGAATATAATAACCATTTTAGGTATCACAATTACTCAAACATGTACTATTATTGTTTAGTATTGAGAATTTTCCATAAAAATAACTTAGAAACAAATTTTTATTTACCCGTTTTAATAAAGATATAACGTAGGCTAGCAGGATAAACAAATTGAACCATTACATGTTTTACATGTAGAATCGCATGGTAAACATGAACTGTTTTGAATATAATAGCCGTTTTATGTATCGCAAGTACTTAAACATGTTCTTTTTTTGTTTTAAATAAAGAATTTTTCATCTAAATTTTATGTATAAATCAATATTACTTATTTTGGTAAAGATAAAGGGAATCTCGACAAGATAAACAATTATATATTTATATTCCATTGCAAGACTTACAGCTTTAATGGCATTCTAAACATTAATTTCCATAAAAATTCCAAGGTTTTATTGTATATGTAAATTCTTCTTTATAATAACCATTTGAAATTTCACATGTATCAAAGCAAGTGCTATTATAAAAAATGTATTTCTCATGAGAAAAATAGCTAAATAAATAAATAAATAAATTTATACCCATTTGCATAAAAAAATTATTTAACTGCGCAATCTAAACAATAATTTTGTTGAAAACCACAATTCAAACAGGCTTTCTAGCATTTGGTACAATCTGGCCTATTATTTATATAGATTATAATTTTAAATATTAAAAATGATTAAAAAAATATTTTAAATAACATAAAAATATTTTTTATAAATTAATATATTTTCTTAGTAATTAATTTATAGATAAAATTTTTTAAATAAAACTATTATCAACAAAGAAATAATCGAAAGTCGACATAAAAATTTAACTAAAAAACTCAATTTAGTGAAAAATGAATGAATAAAGAATTTTATACATAGCTGCTGATTTTATCATGTTATTACAACATGGTAAATTTGGTTACTAAGTTTAATTGCAAGTTATCAAATTATTTGAATTTTAATCGATGAGATTTCTTAAAGCTCTTAGATAAGGATTTGAATACTAAATTAGTACTTCTTAAGTCCCTTGATAATTTTTTATCTATTTAATAATTTTTTTAAAAAATATTCCTCTGTTATCAATAAAAATCATTATTATTAAAATTAATATTTTTTCTAGAATTAATTCGATTTATTATCTAACAATATTTGAGTCAACGTTCAGTTCAACAAGTCAAAAGGAAAATTTGGAAAAAATATTAAAATTTTTTTTTAATTTCAAATAGTTGAGTTAATAATAATATTCATCTTATTAGTTATTTATTTATTTATTGCATTACCAAAAAATGAATTTAAAACAAGATTTATTGTAAGAGTAGTTGAATAGCTTAAAAAATGTTATTGAATTTAACTTCTTCGCTAATTTATGCAATTATTTATTTTTGAAGCTTAAAATATAGATAAAATTTAAAGCATTTTGTCAAGTTAAACTTTAAAATTCTTTATCTGCTTAAGAATGTTTTAGTTATAGATCAAAAAATTATTATTTACATTTTATTTCGAGCCTGTATCCATTTTTTATGCAAATATTACTTTACACATGAACATCAGAAGAAACAATTTCAAATCCATTTGATACTTATGAGAATTTGTTTTTGAGGCAAGCTATTTTTTATCAAATTTATTATTTTTTTATTAAGAAAGCATAATGATTTTTACTTTTTTCCTTCATTCGAAATGCAATATTTATATTGAAATAAAATAAAAATATTCTCGAATTAACAAATAAATGTATGTCAAAAATCAAGAATTAGAAACAAGATTACATTTAAAATCAAAGAATTATTTTTAGACTTGTTTGTTAAATATTACACTTAATCATTGAACCAATTTTTAATTAAGGTTCTAATTTGATTTATTTTTTTAACTTACAATTCAATACATTCAAAAATAAAATTAAGCAATTTAATATTTAAAAGATAGATTCATTAATAAACATAATATCTGCTCATAATAAATAAATAGCGAAAATTATTTTAGCACATAAACATACAAATATCTATTAAGATGCTTTTAGATTTTTATTGATCTAAAGATATTTTATAAAATAAGAAATAATATATTTTAATCAATCTTATCACTATATAAATTATACATATTCATACAACTCTAATTTAATTGTTTAATGAAAGAATTCGAATTATAAATCTTCTCGTATTTCAAATTATCTAAATACAAATTAAATATGATTAATTATTTCTTTTTAGAATCTTACAAATAAAAAAATTACATTTATATTAATTTAGGTTATGAGATATCAATTATATTTAAGAACGACTACAATAATCGAACTGATACATTTTATTATAAAAACATTTCTTCTTATTTTTAGCGAGGATGTATGTATTTCTAAGGCAAGATATTTTTTATTAAATTTTGTATTTTTTGTTAATAAAGAAAGCATAATAATTTTTACTCTTTTCCTTTATTTGTAGTGTATTTATTCACTATATTGAAATAAAAATATATATGCTCGAATTAATGTATGTCAAAAATCAAACAATTATTTTTAGTCTTATTTTGTAAATTTAACACTTAATCCACTATCTAATTATTAATCATTGTTTTAATTTGGTTAATTTATTTTTTAACTTACAATTAATTCTATCTATAAATTTAGATATTCAGCATTCTAGTATTTAAATTAAATTATCATATTTACCTTTAATTATGATCCCCATAAATAAAATAAGCTCAAAATTTCATTTATTTCATCAGTAAAAAGATAAAATTTATTTTTATGATAGATAGTATATATCTATGTATGTATGTATGGTAAATGTCAATAAGTTGCTCGATGTTATAATTATTTATTTACCTATAATATTTTCATTAATAATAAGTGATCTATTACTTTAGGCAAAATAGTTTGTAGTTAAAGTAATATAAGCTATTATTAAATTCATAAGAGGTATGTAAGATAATTTAAAATATTATGAAGAAAATTAATTACATTATTGAGAGGAGTTTTTGAACTTAAAATCAAATAAAATTTTATTTTTGTTTAAAATATTTGAATAAATAAAAGCAAATAACTAATTTAAAGAATTTTACCAATAAAATAAATACTAAATAAAATAATAAATTTAAATAATATTAGAACTAGTTTAATGATATTTAAATTCACAAGAAATAAATTTTATTTATTTAAAAATTACTTTACTTACATATAAAAGAAAGATCAATTTTATTAATTAAAAGAAAGATATAAGATCTACTATTTACTAATAATAATATAACTTTATTTAAATAAAAAGTTTATACATTTTTTTAATATTATTTTATGATTTAATTGCGCTGATATATTTTAATCTATTTGTACCTTTAAACTGTATACACACCAACATGCTTTCATATCATTGCACTTAGGAGAAATATGGTTTAAATTGAAGGAAAAATTAAGAAAATAATGCAATTAATTTGGATTTAATCTTACTTTTCTTTCTTTTAAAAGTCTTAAAATTAATTAATTAATTAATCTTTTCACTCCTCTAATATATTATTAATGAATCAATTTAAATTATATATAAAATTAAATCTTATTTATTATTTCTTATTATATTTACATAAGTAAAAAAATTTACATTTATTGATTGATTTAGCTTATAAATTATTTTTAAGAAGAAATACTTTCATCAAACCAAGAAATTTTATCATAAAAACCCAATTTTATTAATTTATTATATTAGTGAGAATGAATTGCAATTATGCAAAATACTTAATAATATTAACTATATAAGTTATCATAATTTAAATTTTATTTATTATTTTTGTTAGTTTAAAAATTATTTAAATATATCGATAAAAATTGTGAACACTTCTAACAGCAAAAGTGTTCCACAAAAAAAAAATATTTGCCCTTAAAACAAAAATTTTTATTACATAAAAAATTAAAAGGCTTTTGCTTTTAATAAAATCACAGGTATCCAGTTAGTGGAGTTTCTATACCTGGATTTGCAATATTTTTTAAAAATAAAAGATTATCAAAATTTACAAATAAAATATGACTTATTATGAAAATTAATAAAAAATAATCTTTAATACTTATTTTTCATGACTTTTTAATTTCTTCAATAGAATTTAATCTTAAAACAAAAATAATTTGTTAATATTTGTTTTAAAATAACCAATCTAACAAATTAAGTGATAAAGTCTTTTTGAAAAATTTATTTTTGGATATCAGATATTCATTTTTAAAAGAAAAAAAAATTAACTTAAATGACATATTTTATTCATCTTTGTTAGAATATTTTTTTAAAATTATTTTAAATTTTCTGAAGAAAAAAAAACTAATTTTAGTTAGTTAGTTTACAATTTAAGAAAATTATTAATTTATTAATCACCCACACACAAACACACAAGCCTAATAAATAAATAAAATATAATAATATTTAGTATTTTTCTATTGAAAATAAATATTCTTTTATAAAAACACAATTACAAGCAAATTTTGCAAATAATGATTGATTTGCTTCAATCAAAGTAAAATTTAGTTTTATATTTTTAATAAAAAGAAATACACTCAAGTATATATCAATATACAATAAAATGTTTAAGAATGATCTTTATCTTATTTTTTTACTTTTAAAAAGCTTAATGCAATTTAGCATACAACTGAGATGAAATAGTAATAATTCAAAAATACAAATAAAATCAATTTATGAGATAAACTTCTTTTTGACAATCATATTTGTAATAACACAGAATATATTATAATGAAATTATTGATTAAGTTTTTTACTTTTTAAACAATATTTAAAAACAAAGATTTTTAAAAATTTTAAGACTAACTATCTTTTTTAGATTAAGAACTCTAATTATTTATTATAAAATATATAAAATAAAATAATAATTTAAAATTTAACTAATAAACAAATGATAATCAAACATGATTTTTCCATCCTAATTTACCATTACTTTTAGATTAATCTAACATTTCAAAAAGTTTATCTAAGTTAGAATCAGTTATTTATTCAACTATATTACATGTAGAAGTTGAGTTTCCATTTCTCTTTGAATTTTAAATTTATTTAATCATTTAAATGTAGTTCCAAGCTTTTTATAGTAAAATAAATGCTTGTACGCTAATTGATACTCCGATATATGCATACATTGCAAATCTATAAGCTATTAATTAAACAAAATTATTTTTATATTATTCATTCAAATAATAATATATATATATATATTACTTTAAAAATTTTATTTTTCTTGATTTAAATTAATAAAAAAATATTTCAAAATTTACCTTTTCTCAGATTTATATTTAACTCAGAGATATCATAAGAATTAATTGAATATTCTTAAGATATTATAATACTAATAAAAGTGATTATAATCAAATATAGAAATTCTTATAAAGCTATTATTGAGTTAGTAAGGTTTTATATAAAAGGTTTTATATTTATAATGTAAAGTATAAATATAAAATTTAATCCTATGTGTATCCAGAAGCAAAACTAAAGTTTATCCTAATCAAAGATAAATATTGCTTATAATGCTGAAATAATTACTTTTTTCCACTCAAACAATAGCCAAAACACTCTCTATGAGCATGAAGAAATTTCAATATCTTAAACTAAGTTCTAAAACTAAGCAATATCATTATAGGTTATAGAATAGTATTTGCATCCAATTTTTATATTCCAAAATAATTATAAAGCTATGTAAAAGATTAAAATAACAATTATACTAATCAAGTCTGAACCATTGAATTCTTTTTTCCAAAAGAAAATAAACACAGCATTAAAAATCAAAAAGCTAGAAATGATTCTGAAAATATTAACAAATAAATTCCACTTAATATAGAAATATATCTTTTAAATTTTGCTATTTTAATCTTACTTTTATCTAATATTTAGACAGAAAAAAATAAAAAGCATAAAAAAGCAAAAACCAAATACTAACAAAGCATTGATACAGTTATTTAAATAGCTATTCGAGAAATCATTAATAGAGAATAGAGTGCTAAATTGATTAAACTAAAAGAGTTTTTCTTCTTTTTTAGCTTGTAGAGTAAAGATATTTGGAATAAAGGTAAATAGATGATGAGCGTAACTCATTTTCATTTCGAGTTAATTCATCCATAATGTTCCAAGCTTATAAGCAAATATATAATTACCCAAAAGCTATTAATTTTGTATAAAAATCCAACCTAAGCTTGAACCTATTGGAGTGAAAACAGAGGAAGCCACAATAAGAGATAAATTAATGACAGCCAAAGTATCCAGATTCTAAGTTGAGGATTTACTTCTTTCAATTTAATCTAAGCAAGAACTGACTACTTATTGATCTGTTTAATTGTAGCAACCAACTATTTTACTATATTCTAATAAATTATTTTCATTTTCAATTTAAGAACTTGATTAACAAGTCTTTGTGATGCTGCTTAGGGTCAAACCTCCTCTGCAATCTATGCATTCATTTTAATTTTTACCAAAGCAAGTGGTACACATTTCATTACATTATTCACAGTTATTTTAATTGAAAAAATAACCCTCTTCACATAGAGCACATTTACCAATACTAGGTAATAAAATATAGTTTTTTGAGCAAGCTAAACAGTCTTTATTTGAGGGACCTTTGCATTTAGCACATGATTTATCACAAGGTTAACAAGAACCACCTGTACTTATCTAATTTCTTTTAAGAAAATAATTTAATTAATCTAAAAATAATAGAAAATAATATTTCTTTTCATAAATTGCAATTGAATTGAATCTTTAAAATCAAATATATGATGTTGTTAACTAAGGATTAAAAATAAAAAATAGAGTTTTATCTTACTAAATTTAAAGAAATTAGTTTGGACCACAAGTTAGGCATTCTTAAATTGAACTACCAGAACATGTTAAACAACTTGCATCACACGTTAAACATTTATTATCTTAAATAAAAAACCCTTTGCTTGTATCACAAGTAGCTGTACAAGTACTATGATTATAAAAAAATTTAATATAATTTTTTAGAAAATCAACAATTTTACTTATCTTTTTGCAGGTATTAATTAAGAGGACAACTTAAACATTTTTTAGGGTTTTCATCGCAAGTTAAGCAATTTTAATCACATTTTATACAACTTTATCCTTAAATGTAATACCCCATTTGTTTATTGCAAGATTGGCATGAACTAATTAAAAAATAATAATTTTCAAAAATTACTTTAAATTTTAAGAAAAATCATAAATTAATTTTGTAAAAATATTTTGAAAAGTAAATCAACAATTTTACTTATCTTTTTGCAGGTATTAATTAAGAGGACAACTTAAACATTTTTTAGGGTTTTCATCGCAAGTTAAGCAATTTTAATCACATTTTATACAACTTTATCCTTAAATGTAATACCCCATTTGTTTATTGCAAGATTGACATGAACTAATTAAAAAAAAATAATTTTCAAAAATTACTTTAAATTTTAAGAAAAATCATAAATTTTGTTAATATATTTTGAATCTGATGAAAATTTACTTATTTTCATATAGATACAAACCAGGATTGCAAGTTATGCAGCTTGTGCTAGTACTTCCATTACAAGTCTAGCAACTTTAATCACATTTTAAACAATAGATATCTTAAATAAAATATCCTTTGCTTATATCACAGTAACAAGTTCTATTTTATTTTTAAATTTAAATGATTTAGAAATTTAAAATAATTTTACCCATCCTATTAATGACTAAAGTTGGGGTAACAAGACAAACAGTTATTAGGTAAATTACCATTACAAGTCTTGCAACTTTAATCACATTTTAAACATTTGGAGCCCAGAATAAAATATCCATTGTTTATATCACAGCTAAGGCAAGTTCTATTTTTTTAAAATTTAAATGTTTAGCTTATTTAAAATAATTTTACCCATCATGTTAAAGATCAAAGTTGGGGTAACAAGACAAACAGTTATTAGGTAAACTACCACTACAAGTCTTGCAACTTTAATCGCATTTTAAACAATCGACACCTTGAATAAAATATCCATTACTTTCATCACATTTACAAGTACTATTTATTTTTTTTATTTTAATGATTTGTTATATTAAAAAAATTTTACTTGTTGTTTTAAAGGTTAAAGTTGGGGTAACAAGACAAACAGTTATTAGGTAAATTACCATTACAAGTTGTGCAACTTTAGTCACATTATAAGCAAGCATTTTAATTTGTATCATAGTATACTCCATTTTCTGTACATAACCCACATTATCTATTTTAATTAAAAAAATATTATGAAATTTTATATTTTACTGTTAACATTACCCATTTTGATAAAGGAAGAAATTAGGAAAACACTCTAAACACCTAGCTTAATTACACTTTTTACAATTTATGGTACATGGCATACAGTTTCCATAAATTTAATAATACCCTGGTTAATTGCATGAACCACAAGTCCTATTTTATAAACTAAAGTTGAAATTCATCGTAAAGATTTATTTATGTTACTTATCTGGGTAAAGGTAACTTGTATTACAAGATGAACAATTTTAATTAGGGCCTACACTGCAATTAATGCATTATTAATCACACTCTTAACATAAACTATTAATTAAAAAATTTTAGTTAAAATAGATATTAGATAAAATATTATTTTTATCAGAAATTTATTTGAAATGAAAAAATTAAGGTAAATAATTTAGAAAAATATTATTGCATTTAATTATATTTTAATAAAAATAAATTAATTTTTAGATGGATTTAGTGTATAATTATTTCTTGATTATGTTTGTTATAAGATAGATTTATAATTAAAATGAAGTTAAAAGATTATAAAATTAGAATAAATTTAAGCCTCTTTGGTAATTTGTTAAATAATTAATTTATAAAAAAATTTAAACTGCTTATTTTTTAATCTAATGTTAATATTAATGCTTAAATATTTAATAAGTATTTATTTATATTATTTATATTATTTTATTGTTTACTTTGTATTTGTTAAATAGAAATTATTATTGCATTTATCACAAGTTTTATTTGGAAGATTTATAACAGCACAATTTTGATAAAATTAAAGAATTCTTTTATTTGTTATATTCTCAAATATTTGTGTTCTTTTAAATGCTGGAATCTGTATGATTAATTAAATAATAATTAATAATAAATAAATAAAAATATTTTAACAATAAAATAGTTATAATTAAATATAAAATAAATAATAAAATAATAATTAATTAAAATATTAATACAATTTATCAGTTTATAATCACTTATTTTTTAATATAAAATTAAAAATATTTTTTTTAGTTAGAATACATAAATAATAATTTTTAAAATAAATTGAGACTTTATTAATGAGGATAGTTAGTATTTAGATAAATGAAGAATGTAATAATTAAATTTTTTTATTTATATAAAATTATAATAAAGATAACTATTTTATTAAAAATACTATATTCATTACCTGCTATTGGAATTATTATTATGTACTTGAGATTTATAGTATGTTAAATAAGAATACAATGATGATAGCTTTTAGAACCATTTTTTCTTCTTCTAAAATACTTCTTTTCAACTCAAATATTTGTATCAATTGTTATTTGTTGTGGATCTCTATCAGATTAATAATGAATACTTTTCTTACTTTTTGATTTTAAAATTGATATTTAATATTTATATTGTATTTTTTAATTATGTGCCTTCTCACTTTATAGTAAGAGATATATTGTATGTAATTAATATATGTAAATTTTTCTAGTTAGTTTTTTTGCTCTTTTTTAAGAGTCGAACTATATTGTATTTATTTATTTTTTACTCTAGTTTTTACAATTAAATAAAGCAGAAATAAATTAAAAAAAATAATATTCAAATTTCATTTATATATTAAATAAATTACTTTAAAAATAGACTTTACAAATAATTACTCAAATAATATTTCATTTATCATGAAGAGTTCCTTTGTTAATTTTGTATAACATCTTCTAGTAAAAAAGCTTGTGTAAATTAATTAATGTTAAGCAAAAATACGAAATTAATTTTATGGTTAATGATTAACTTTAGTTTAAGATTGAATTTTAATTCTGAAAAATTCTTTTTTTGAAGTCATCAAAGCATTTTGTCATTTTTATTAATTAAATTTATATAAAGGTTTTATTTTATTGTAAATATCTGCTCTAATAATTTAAAAGGCTATCTAGTTTTTTTGTGATTATAAGAAGTAGATCAAATTAATATTTATTTGTTAATTATTTCACCTTGTTCGATTTTACCATCCTGAAGTGTAAATTAATTTATTAATTGCTTCCTTCCTTCGTTCTCATTAAAGTTTATACCAGTTTATATTTTATTCTATTTTAAATAAAAACGAAGATATATATTATAATCTTAAACATGCCATATTTAAATTAGCAAATTTTACAATACTTTAGTAGAATTTTAAGCTTAAATAGAAACCTTTTATTAATTAAGTAAAAATATCCATCTTTTATTTACTTTACAAAGATTAGGATAGGACTTGTTTACACTATTTATTCAAATAAACATTAATCAATTTCATAAATAAAAATTAAGATGAAATTAATTACTTAGAATAAATATTCTTACATAAGTAAAATCTGATTAAAGCCATATAAATAAAAAATTTTAACAAAAGAAGAATAAAAAAAATACATAAATAAATAGATTATTCAAATTATAAGATTATAAATAAATATTATAAATACTTTTTTAAAATCTATATTTTCTTTAAATAAAATGATAAACTAATTACAGGTTTTGAATATATTTTTATATTAAAAAAATAATAATAATAATTCATCAAATGCTACAGCTTAGTTTTCCTTTTTTGAAAAAGTAATTCCTGTGATCAAAAAATTTTCTTTTAAATTCAGGTAAATTTTAATTATATTAAATTAAAATAAGGTCAGGAAGATTACAATTTAAAGTAATAAAAAACACTTTAATTAAAAGAAAATCTAATATTACACAATAAAATATTTGGATTTACTAAATATATTTAAACTTTGTTTTCTTTATTTTTGATATTCTCTTTTATAAATTGTAAATCAATGTATATTTTTATTAAAAATTAGTCAAGTAGATATCAATAAAAAATTATAATTTAACTTTATTAGTAAAAAGAAATATCAAATATAATAATATATGTATGTACTATATATACACTTAAATTGTGCTTTATTCTTAATTTATTAGTGGAGAGAGTTGCTAACCTATATTTTTTGTAAGCAAATCTTACTGCTGTATAATAAGACTCCCCCCTCCCCTAATTTGGAAAAAAGGGGGTCTTATAATTTTCAAAATGAATGGAAAAATATGAGGGTTATAATATAAATAATTACTTATTATTTATTTTTGAATTGACTTTCCTTATTCATATTACATTTAAATATAAAATATGTAAAATAAATTATTTCAATTTTGGTTTTTCCAGTGAAATTGATTCTTGCTTTTTGATTAGTTTAGCATTTCAAATAATTTTTCTATGTTAGAATCAGTCATTTACTCAACCATATTCATGTTGCCAGTGGTGGTTTAACTTTTATTCATATCATTAGTTTTTCTTAGTATTTTAAAGTAGTTCCAAACCTTTTGCATTAAAATAAATGCTAGTACAATAATAGATAATCCTAGATATACATACATTGCAATTCTATATGCTATTTAATTAAAAAGATATTAAAATAAACATCAAATTATTTATGAGTAGATTTCTTTTTTAAAATATTTTATGTTTTGTTTTTTATAAATATTTAGCTGTTTGTAAAAAATTAAACAAAATATTACCATTTCGCATATTTGAATTTAATTCAGATATATTGTATGGATTAATCTCAATATCTTAACTAAAGATAACTCCAAGAAACACAATTGCTGTAAGATATATAAGTTCTTACACTATAATAATTGAATTCGCTGTTCTCTCTATAAAAGGGTTTTATATGAAAATGTAAATTATAAATAATGAATTTAATCCTATATGTATCCAGCAACTTATCTAAAGCTTCTCTTAATCAAAGATAAATATCGCTTATATGACTGTAATTATTACTTTTTTCCATTCAAATAGCAACCAAAATATTCTTTAAGAAGTATTAGAAATCTCAATATTTTATACTAAGTTGCTAAATTAAGCAATATCCTTGTAAGGTATAGATTAGTATTTACATCCAATTATTGTATTCCAATATAAATATAAAATCAAATAGAAGATAGAAAATACTAATATGCTGATCAAGTCTGACATGCCAAAATCTTTTTTCCAGAAAAAAATAAATACTAAATTAAAAATCAGAAAGCTTGATATGAGCCTGTAAATGTTAACAAACATATTCCACTTGATATAAAGATATATTTTTTTTATTAAGCTATTATTTTAGTCTTCTTAGATTTCTCTTAAATTTAAACAGAAAAAGATAATAAGAATTCCTAAGCAAAACCCAAAAACAATTAAGGCAACAAAACAGTTATTTAAAAAACTATTCCAAAAATCGTTGATTGTAAAGAGAGTGTCAAATTATTTAAATTAAAATAGTATTGCTTCATTATTAGTTTTAACAATAACAATATTGCTAATCATTGTAAAAAAGTGGTGAGCGTAGCTTGATTTCATTTCTAGTTGATTCATCCATAGTGGTACCAGCTTATAAGCAAATATGTAATTACCCAAAAGTTATTAATTTTGAATAAAAATCCAACCTAGACTTGATCCTAAAGGTGCGAAAATGGATGAAACTGCAATAAGAGATAGATTTACTATAAATAAGGTTTCAAGAATTTTAGTATTTGATTAACTATTTTCATTTTAATCTAAGCAAGTACTTACAACTTACTACTATTTTTAGTCATAGCAACCTGTTTCTTAGCTTTATTTTATTTTCTTTTATTCATTTTATACTTAACTACTTTCCACGCAAGTTTTTGACACACTGCTTAAAATTAAACCTGGTCTACAGTCTATACAATCTTATTTATTCTTACCTGTACATGTCAAACATGTTTGATCACACTAATCGCAACTGCTTTGATTGAAGAAATATCCTTCTTCACATAAAGCACACTTTCTAAGAGTTGTTAATAAAATATAATTTTTTGTGCAAGCTATACAATCTTTATTTGAAGGACCTTAACATTTAAGACATGATTAATCACAAGATAAACAAGAACCAGCCTCATTTTACTAAATTCTTTTTAAATAATTTAAATAAAAACGTTTTAAATATCGCAATAACTTAAACAGGTAGTAATAATATATTAAAATTAATAAATGTTTGATAAACATAAATTATTGGCAATTTTATTTACTTATCTTGATAAAGATAGGAGGATAGCTTACAGGACAAACAATTTTGATTAGATGGCCCATTACAAGTTAGACAGGAAGTATGACATGGAAGACACTAACTATCTTGAGTGAAATAACCGTTATTGATATCGCATGTACTTAAACATGTACTTTAGATTGGTTAATATAAAAAATTTTTCATAAAAATAACTTAGAAACAAATTTTATTTACCCATTTTAATAAAGATAAAGCGAAGGTTGACAGGATAAACAAGTTGAACCATCATTACAGGTTTTACATGTAGAATTGCATTTTAAACATGAACCGTTTTGACTATAATAGCCGTTTTAAGTATCACAGATACATGTACTTTAATTGTTTGAAATAAAGAATTTTTCATCTTAACTTTTTCTATAAATCAATATTACTTATTTTGCTAAAGTTAAAGGGAATCTTGACATGTTAAACAATTATTTTCTGAATTTCCATTGCAAGTCTTACAGCTTTAATGGCATTTTAAACATTAATTTCCATAAGATAAATTAGGTGAGGAAGTTTTTTTATATTAAAAGTTTAGCGTATAATAACCATTTTTAGCATCGCATACACCTAAGCAATAGCTTTAAAAAAAATGTATTTCTAATGAAAAAAAAAATTAAATTTTTACCCATTTTCATTAATAAATTATGACCTTAAAACACAATCTAAGCAATAATATTTATTTTAACATTACAAACAGGTTTAACAATTTGAACAATTTAAACTATTAATTATTTAAGTAAAATATAATTTTATGTATTAAAAATGATTAAATAAATGTTTTAAATAATATTATAATCTTTTTAATTATTAATCTATTTATTTTCTAAGTAAATAATGGATGAAGTTTTTTAAATAAAACTTGAAATTAACAAAAAATTAAAAGAAAGTGGTAATAAAAATTTAATTAAAATAATCAATACTATTTTTCCTTTTTTAATGATTTTTCAACCTGATTTATTTATTTATGTTTAAAGATTTAAAAAATAATATTCTATATTAATTTTTTGAAATTTCAAACTAGTGAATGCACTCACACTTTGATCTAGATTAAGAAATTAATTTTTAATTTTGTTAGAAAATTAATTAACAAAATTATTTTTATTCAATATTATGATATCGTGATGAATAAAAATATTTAGAAGTAGGCCATTTTAGAGTTATAAGTAATAAAAAACATTTTAATGTTTTATGATAAAGAAATTAATTAATATTTATATACGCTCCTCCTGCTTATAACAAATTAGTGCAACATGATTACTATCCAATAATATAAGTACATTAATTTTAACTAATAAAATATTGATTATTTTGTAGATTTCTTGAAGCTCTTAGAGAAGGATATGAAGATTATATTAGTACTTCTTCAGTCTCTTGATAAATTTTGATCTATTTGATAATTTATTAAAAATATAGTGAATTTTATTTTTATGATTTTTTATTATCAATAATTATTATAAAACTAATATTCTTTAAAATATAAATTCGATTTATTTTTTAGACTAAAATATTTGAGTCAAACGTTCAACAGGTGAAAAGAAAATTTGGAAAAACTTTAACATTTAAAAAAATATCAAATAGTAGAGTAAATACATGTATGTATTAGTCTTATTAGTTAGTTATTTATTTATATACCAAAAATATGATTTTAAAACAAGATGTTTTGAAACATTTATTGCATAGCTTACAAAATTTTATTGGCTTTCATTTTATAGCTAATTTGTACTATTATTTGTCTTTGAAGTTTAAAATATGGATAAAATTTAAAGAAGCATTTTAAAAGTATAACTTAAAAATTCTTTCGCTGCTTAAGATGTTTTAGCTGTAAATCAAAATTATTTATTATTTACCTTTTATTTCAAATCTGTATCCGTTTTTTATGCAAATATTACTTTCCACATGAAAATCAGGATAAATAATTTCAAATCCATTTTATACTTATGAGAATCTACTTTTGAGTCAAGATATTTTTTATTAAATTTTGTATTTTTTTGTTAAAAAAGTATAATAATATTTACTTTTTTCTTTTATTCATAATGTATTAATTATATTGAAGTAAAATATATGTATTCTCAAATTAATAAATAACTAATTGTATGTGGATAATCAAATAATTATTTCAGACTTATTTATTAAATTGTACACTTAATTCACCATACAATTTTTAATTAAGGTTCTAATTTAATTTGTCTATTTATTTATTTGCTTAACTTACAGTCTTAAAAATTAAAAAAAATACAATTCGATTGCTTAATGTTTAAATTAACTGCATTTATAAAAATAATATCTACAAAAAATAATAGTAGTAATTATTTTAGCACATAAATCTATTAAGATAATTTTTGATTTTATTTCATAAAAATATCTTGTATAAAATAAGAAATAAAAAATAAATAATAAGTTTTAGCTAAAAAATAATTTTATGGAAATATAAAAATAAAGGCTAAACCAAATAATAGAATTACTTTAACAAGATTTAAATATGATAAAATTAATTTATTTTAATCATATTTAATTCACAATAAATAAATCTTCATCATTTTAGTCAAAGAAAAGGTCTATTGAATGTATTAAAAGATATAGAAAAGATTTAATCTTTATTTATTATAATAATACAACTTTATTTAGATGAAAAATTTTATACATTTATTTTAAATATTATTTTATTATCTAAATACACTCATTTATTTTAATATATTTATAGATTTAAACTTTACAGACACTAACGTATTTTTTATTTAATAAATAATCGATTCGTTGTTTTAAAAATAACAAGCGAAAAAATAAAAGATTTAAAAATAATAAAAAACACTTTGTGGTCAGAAAATACTGTAAGTAGAAATTAAATTTACTTTTCTTTTTTTAATTCGTCTGTCTAATGATTAATTAATCTTTCCACTATATCAATTTTACACAACTCTAATTTAATTAATTAATGAAAGAATTTTAATTATAAATATAAATCTTTTCATATTTGAAATTATCCAATCACAAATTAAATCTATTAAATCTGATTAATTATTACTTATTAGAATCTTGAAAGAATAAAATTTACATTTATTTATGATCTAGGTTATGAAATGTCAAAATTATATTTAAGAAGAATTACTCTAATTAAACTGAGAAATTTTATCATTTAGTATTATTAAATCTACAAACTTAAACATTTTTTTACACTTGATTTCATTATTAAAATAAATTAAATATATAAGCTATCATAAATAATCATTCAGAATTAAAGCTTATAAATTATTTAAAAATATCATTAAAAATGATTTAAACTTAAAATTTAAGCTGCTTAAAGTTAGAAATTTTCTAGAAAATAGTAGGGTAAGCAAAAATAATTACTGAATATTTATTTGTGATTTGATTTCATTTATAACAAATAAATATGAAATATTACATAAAAAGATAAAAATATTTTAAACAAATTAGTGTCAATTTTGGTTTCACTAGTTTAATTAATTTTTCTTTTTTGGTTAGTTTAGCATTTCAAATAGTTTTTCTATATTAGAATCAGTCATTTACTCAACCATATTCACATTGCCTGTAGTTATTTAATTTTTATTAATACTATTTATTTTTCTAATCATTTTAAAGTAGTTCCAAACTTTTTGAATTAAAATAAAAGCTAGTACACATATTGATAATCCTAGATTTAAATACATTGCAATTCTATACGCTATTTAAGTAAATAAATATTAAGAAATTAATAAACATCTAATTATTCTTAAGATCATTTCTTTAAAAAGATTTTATGTTTTAATATAAAACATTTATCTTTCTAATTCTAAAAAATTAAATAAATATTACCATTTCGCATATTTAAATTTAATTCTGGAATATTGTACGAATTTATTTGTCTATCTTAAGTAAAGATGACTCCAAGAAATACAATTGCTGTAAGATATATAAACTCTTATACTATAATAATTGAATTCGCTGTTCTCTCTATAAAAGGGTTTTATATGAAAATGTAAATTATAAAAAATGAATTTAATCCTATATGTATCCAGCAACTTATCTAAAGCTTCTCTTAATCAAAGATAAATATGGCTTATATGACTGAAATTATTACTTTTTTCCATTCAAATAGCAACCAAAATATTCTTTAAGAAGTATTAGAAATCTCAATATTTTATACTAAGTTGCTAAATTAAGCAATATCCTTGTAAGGTATAGATTAGTATTTGCATCCAATTATTGCATTCCAATATAATTACAAGATTAAATAGAAGATAGAAAATAACAATATGCCAATCAAGTCTGACATACTAAAATCTTTTTTCCAGAAAAAAATAAATATTGTGTTAAAAATCAAAAAGCTTGAGATGAGCCTGTAAATGTTAACAAACATATTCCACTTGATATAAAAATATATTTTTTTTACTCTACTATTAGTCTAGTCTTAAATTTGTCTTAAATTGAGACATATAAAAATAATAAGAATTCCAAAGCAAAATCCAAAAACAATTAAGGCTACAAAACAGTTATTTAAAAAACTACTCCAAAAATCGTTGATTGTAAAGAGAGTGTTAAATTATTTAAGTTAAAATAGTATTGCTTCATTATTAGTTTTAACAATAACAATATTGCTAATAATTGTAAAAAAGTGATGAGCGTAGCTTGATTTCATTTCAAGTTGATTCATCCTTAGTGGAACCAGCTTATAAGCAAATATGTAATTACCCAAAAGCTATTAATTTTGAATAAAAATCCAACCCAGACTTGAACCTAAAGGTGTGAAAATAGATGAAACTGCAATAAGAGATAGATTTACGATAAATAATGTGTCAAGAATTTTAGTATTTGATTAACTATTTTCAATTTAATCTAAGCAAGTACTTACAACTTACTACTATTTTTAGTCATAGCAACCTGTATCTTAGCTATATTTTATTCTCTCTTACTCATTTTATACTTAGCTACTTTTCTCGCAAGTTTTTGATACACTGCTTAAAATCAAACCTTGTCTACAATCTATACAATCTTATTTATTCTTACCCGTGCATGTCAAACATGTTTAATCACACTAATCACAACTGCTTTGATTGAAGAAATATCCTTCTTCACACAAAGCACACTTTCTGAGAGTTGGCAATAAAATATAATTTTTTTTGCAAGTTATACAATCTTTATTTGAAGGACCTTAACATTTAAGACATGATTAATCACAAGACTAGCAAGAACCAGCCTCATTTTACTAAATTCTTTTTAAATAATTTAAATAAATATGTTTTAAGTATCATAATAACTTAAACAGGTATTAAAAATATAGTTAAATTAAATGTTTGATGAACATAAATTATTAGCAATTTTAATTACTTATCTTGATAAAGATAGAAGGAAGGCTTACAAGACAAGCAATTTTGATTAGATGACCCATTACAAGTTTTACAGGTAGAATTGCATGGAAGACATGAATTTCCTTAAACATAATAACCATTTTAAGTATCGCAAATAATCAAGCACAAACTATTTTTATTGAATAGTTTTATAAATTTTTCATTTAAAAATGTTGAGAAACAAACAAACAAACAAATATATTTATTTTTTACCTATTTTGAAGTTGAAAGGATGATTTGCAAGTTAAACAATTTTAGCTAGATTAACCAGTGCATGTCTAACAGGTAGGATCACAAGATAAACATTAGGTACCATCAATGTAATATCCATTTTAGGTATCACAAGTACTTAAACATGTTCTATGAAATATTTAAAATTAATTATCATTTAAATATATACTAATTATTCATTTTACTTATTTTAATAAAGATATAAGGAATTTTAACAAGACAAACAGTTTTAGTTAGATTAGCCATTACAAGTCTGGCAGGAAGAATGACATGGAAGACACTAACTATCTTGAGTGAAATAACCATTATTGGTATCGCAAGTACTTAAACATGTACTTTAGATTGTATAATGTAAAGAATTTTTCATAAAAATAACTTAGAAACAAAATTTATTTACCCATTTTAATAAAGATAAAGCGAATGTTGGCAGGATAAACAAATTGAACCATTACAGGTTTTACATGTAGAATCGCATGGTAAACACTAACCGTTGTAAATATAATAGCCATTTTAAGTATCGCAAGTACTCAAACATGTACTTTAATTGTTAGAAATAAATAACTTTTCATCTAAATTTTATTTTTGAATCAATATTACTTATCTTGGTAAAGATAAAAGGAATCTTGACAGGATAAACAATTATTTTAATTTATTCCAAAGCAAGTCTTACAGCTTTAATGGCATTGTAAACATTAAGTTCCTTTTCGCTATTAAGGTTATTAAGGTTATGGAGGTGTATTTGGTTTATATAAAAATGGTAGTTGAAAATAACCATTTGAAGTATCGCATGTATCTAAGCATTAGCTTTTAAAAAAAAGATGTATTTCTAATGAAAAAAAAAATCAAATTTTTACCCATTTTGATTAATAAATGTATGATTTGATAGACAATCTAAGCAATAATGATACTAACTACATTACAAACAGATATAAGTACAAAAATGACATTCTTATCTATAATTTAAATAGAATATTATTTTTATGTCTTAAAAATTATTATTAAAATATATAAAAATCTTTTTAATTATTAATCTATTTATTTTCTTAGTAATTAATGGATGACGTTTTTTAAATAAAACTTGAAATTAACAAAGAATTAAAAGAAAGTGGTCATAAAAATTTAATTAAAATAATCAATACTATTTTTCCTTTTTTAATTATATTGAAACTGATTTATTTATTTATATTTAAAGACTTAGAAAAAAAAAATATTCTATAATAATTTTTTGAAATTGCAAACTAGTGAGTGAATTCACTTTAATCTAATTAGATTAAGAAAATAATTTTTAATTTTGTTAGAAAGTTAATCAACAAAATTAATTTAATTCAATATTATGATATCATGATGAATAAAAATATTTATTTGTTGTAGTCATTTTAGAGTATTAAGTAAAAATAAAAACATTTTAATGTTTTCTGATAAAAAATTAATTAAGATTATTTACATTGTTGGTTATAACATATTCGTGCAACACGATGTTTACTATCCAATATAATTACATTTATCAGTGTTATATATTAGTAGCCTTGAAGCTCTGAGAGAAGGCTATGAATATTAAATCTGTACTTTTTCTGTCTCTTCATAAATTTTGATCTATTTAACAATTTATTAAAAATATAATGAATTGTATTTTTATATTTTTATCATTAATTATTATAAAACTAATATTCTATTCGAATAAATTAGATTTCTTTTTTTAGCTCATAATGCTTGAGTCAAATATTCAGCAAGCAGAAAATTTGGAAAAACTTTAAAATTTATAAAAATGTCAAATAGTAGAGTAAATATATTCATCTTATTTGTTGGTTTATTAGTTATTTATTTATTTCTTTATCAAAAATATAAACAAGATGTTTTCAAAGATATATGGAATAGCTTAAAAAATTTTATTGGCTTTCATTTCTTCACTAATTAATTTATAAACAATTATTTGTTTTTGCGGAATGTGCTTTTGAGATAAGATATTTTTTATTAAATTTTGTATTTTTCGTTAAGAAAGTATTATAATAATATTTACTTTTTTCCTTTATTCTTAATGTATTAATTATATTGAAATAATATACCGTGCATTCTCATTAATTAAGGCCAACTTATATTAAGGCCATTTTAAGAGAATTTTTAAATATGGCCAATTTTTGAGAAAAAACATTTTTTGTCAACTGGCCTTAATTAATGAGAATGCACGGTATATGATTTCTCAAATTAATTAATTAATCGATCAATAAATGTATATTGATAATCAAATAATTATTTTCGAATTAATCAATTTCTCCACTTAATCCACCGCACAATTTTTAATTAAGGTTCGAATTTGGTTTGTCAATTTATTTTTTTAGCTTACAGTTTGATGAATTTAAAAAATAAAATTTAACAGCTTAGTATTTCAATTAACTGAATTAATAAAAGTAATATCTACATAAAAATAATTAACAATAATTATTTTAGCTTATAAATTTACATCTATTAAAATATTTGTTGATTTTAATTCATTTAAAGTTCATCTATTAAATAAGAAATAAAAAAATAGAAAATAACTAATTTAATAAATATTATTATCAGTAAAAATAAAAACTAAATGAAATAATAATCTTAAATTCGATTAGAATTAGATTAACAAGATTTAAATATGATAAAATTAATTTATTTTTATCAAATTTAATTCTCAAGAAATAAATTCTCATCTTTTTTTATATAAAAAAGGTCAATTTTATGTATTAAAGGATGTAGAAATGTTCTACTCTTTATTAAAAATAATAATATAACTTACATTCAAATTTTATACATTTTTTCAGATATTTTTTAAAGATTATTTGATTATCTAATTACGCTAATATATTTTAATCTGATTGTACATTTAAACTTAGAGGCACTAACATTTTTTTAATTTAATTACATATAGTGCTCAGAAAATACTGTAAGAAGGAAATAAATTTACTTTTCTTTTTTTAATTAGTCTAAAGATTAATTAATCTTTTCACTAAATCAATATTTTATGTACGATTCTAATTTAATTATTTAATGAAAGAATTTGAATAAAAAATATTAATCTTTTCGAATTTGAAATTATCCTATTACAAATTAAATCTGATTAATTATTTCTTATAAGAATCTACAAGTAGAAAAATTTACATTTGTTTATTGATCTAGGTTATGAAATATCAAAATTATATTTCAGATAATTGTTACCATTTAATAATATAAAATATACAATCTTATACAATTTTTTTTACACTTGATTTCATTATTAAATGAATTGTGCATTAAGCAAAATAAATTAAATATATTAACTATCATAAATTAAAATATAATTCTTAATTAAAGTTAAAAAATTATTTAAAAATATCCATAAAAATTTTGTGTGAACATTTCTAACAGCAAGCATGTTCCAAAAAAAAAAATACTTTGCCCGATTATGATGAATACTGTAGGCTCTTATTAATTAACACCCAATTTTTTTTTTTGGAAAATTTTTTTTAATTTATTAAACTTTAAATTTATAATAATACAGCTTTCTTTAGGTTAAAAGTTTATATAATTTTTATGGTATCTTTTAAAGAATATTTGAATATCTAATTGCGCTGATATATTTTAATATATTTGTACATTTAAACTTTATAGTCACAAACATTTTTCATTTAGTTTTTCTTAAAAAAAAATATGTTTTAAATTGTTGGAAAAGTTAAGAAAAGATTGTATGTTGGATTTAAACTTACTTTTCTTTTTTTAATAAATCTAAAGATTAATTAAAATTTTCACTATATAAATTATACATATTAATACAACTATAATTTAATTATTTAATGAAAGAATTTAAATTATAAATCTTCTCATATTTCAAATTATCTAAATATTAAATATGATTAATTATTTCTCTTTATAATCTTACAAGTAAAAAATTACATTTATTTATTTAGGTTATGAAAAATGAATTATAATTCAGAAGAATTACACGAATTAAAACTGATAAATTTTATTATAAAACTTGATTTCATTAATTTATACTAATTGAAGTCAAAATGAATTGCACATATCAAAATAAATTAACTAAAAAAACTATCATAAATTAAAATATCTTTCATAATTTTAGTTTATAAATTATTAAATATATCCATAAAAATTGCCAACTAGCAGAGCAAGCATTTTCTTTAAAAAAACTTTTTGCTCTAAAATTTGGAAATTTTCTAGAAAATAAGATGGCTAGAATAAGTTTTAATTTTACTTTCCTTACTATAGATATGAAATATTAAATTAAAAGATAAAATATTTTAAATAATTTATTCTCAATTTTAGTTTTTCCATTAAAATTTATTCTTATTTTTTGATTAATTTAGCATTTCAAATAGTTTTTCTATGTTAGAATCAGTCATTTACTCAACCATATTTACATTACCTGTAGTTGTTTAATTTTTATTAATACTATTTGTTTTTCTAAGGATTTTAAAGTAGTTCCAAACCTTTTGCATTATAATAAAAGCTTGTAAACTAATCGATAATCCTAGATTTACATATATTGCAATTCTATAAGCTATTTAATTAAAAAAAGGTTAAGAAATTAATTAATTAAAATCAAATTATTTTTAAGTTCATTTCTTTTAAAATATTTTATGTTTTGTTATAATAAATATCTGTTTGTAAAAAAATTAAAAATTACCATTTCTCATTTATAAATTTAATTCAGAATTATTATACGAAGTTATCTGACTATCTTAAGTAAAGATGACACCAAGAAACACAATTGCTATAAGATATATAAGTTCTTATACTATTACAATTGAATTCACTGTACTCACTTCAAAAGGTTTTGATTTTAAAATATAAATTATAAAAAATGAATTTAATCCAATATGAATCCAGCAGCTTAGCTGAATCTTCTCTTAATCAAAGATAAATATGGCTTATATAACTGAAATTATTACTTTTTTCCATTCAAATAGCAACCAAAATATTCTTTAAGAAGTATTAGAAATCTCAATATTTTATACTAAGTTGTTAAATGAAGCAATATCCTTGTAAGGTATAGATTAGTATTTGCATCCGATTATTGTATTCCAATATAATTACAAAATTATATAGAAGATAGAAAATACTAATATGCCGATCAAGTCTGCCATGTCAAATTTTTTTTTCCAGAAAAAAATAAAAACAGAATTAAAAATTAAAAAGCTTGAGATGAGCCTGTAAATGTTAACAAACATATTCCATTTGATATAAAGATATATTTTTTTTATTAAGCTATTATTTTAGTCTTCTTAGATTTTTCTTAAATTAAAACAGAAAAAAATAATTAGAATTCCTAAGCAAAACCCAAAAAAAATCAAAGCAACAAAACAGTTATTTAAAAAACTATTCCAAAAATCGTTAATTGCAAAGATAGTGTTAAACTAATTAAATTAAAAAAGTATTGCTTCATTATTAGTTTTAACAATAACAATATTGCTAATCATTGTAAAAAAGTGGTGAGCGTAGCTTGATTTCATTTCAAGCTGATTCATCCATAGAGGTATCAGTTTATTAGCAAATATGTAATTACCCAAAAGCTATTAATTTTGAATAAAAATCCAACCTAGACTTGATCCTAAAGGTGTGAAAATGGATGAAGCTGCAATAAGAGATAGATTTACGATAAATAAGGTGTCAAGAATTTTAGTATTTGATTAACTGTTTTCAATTTAATCTAAGCAAGTACTTACAATTTACTGCTATTTTTTGTCATAGCAACCTGTTTCTTGGCTTAATTTAAGTTAATTTTACTCATTCTATACTTAGCTACTTTCCTCGCAAGTTTTTGATATACTGCTTAAAATCAAGCCTGGTCTACAATCTATACAGTCTTATTTGTCCTTTCCAGTACATGTCAAGCATGTTTAATCGCAATAATCACAACTGTTTTGATTGAAGAAATATCCTTCTTCACACAAAGCACACTTTCCAAGAGTTGGTAATAAAATATAATTTTTTGTGCAAGTTATACAATCTTTATTTGAAGGACCTTAGCATTTAAGACATGATTAATCGCAAGACTAGCAAGAACCAGCCTCACTATTATAAATTCTTTTTAAATAATTTAAATAAATATGTTAATAAATATTAGTCTATTCAGTTTATGAATTTGATAATCTAAAATGTTAAATTCAAAAATAAAAATAATTAAATTTTACTGATTTTTATCAAGAAATTTGCCACTTTAGCATGATAAGCAATCTTAAGAAGAATCACCGTTGCATGTCAAACAACTAAGATTACATTATAAGCATTTTCCTTGAGCTATATAATATCCATTTTTTGTATCACATATTCTACAAGTACTAAATAAGATTTTTAAAAATAATTTTTACTTCTTTAATTTATACTAAATTTTACTTATCTGATTAAAAATAGAGAGGTTACTAACAAGATAAACAATTATAATTAGAGCTTCCATTGCAAGTTAAACAACTAAAATCACATCTTAGACATTAGTTTTCTTTTAAATAATACCCATTTTATGTATCACATATTCTACAAGTACTAAATAAGATTTTTAAAAATAATTTTTACTTCTTTAATTTATACTAAATTTTACTTATCTGATTAAAAATAGAGAGGTTACTAACAAGATAAACAATTATAATTAGAGCTTCCATTGCAAGTTAAACAACTAAAATCACATCTTAGACATTAGTTTTCTTTTAAATAATATCCATTTTATGTATCACAATAACTTCGACATGTTCTATTTAGATTTAGGATTAATTTTTTTCCAAAATAATTAATTTATAAATTTTACTAGTCTTGATACAGATATAGTAGCTCCTTACAAGCTATGCAATTTTATTTAGAGCCTCCATTACAAATCTAGCAAGTTGAATCACATACTAAACATTAATTTTGAAATATGTAATAACCATTTTAATTATTACAATATTTTTAACACGTACTAAATTTTATTATATATTAAATAAAGATGATTTAATTATAATGCTTTAATCCTGTATATTTTTTACACAGACAAACCATTATCTGTTTAAAAATAATAAATGAATTAATAAATAAATAAGCTTAAATAATGGAATATAAATAAATATTCTAGAATTATTCTAGATTAATCAAAAAAATAAAAAAGGGAGCTTGGCTTTTTTTTAAAGATTAAAAATAAAAATTTAGAGATTAAATTAAAAGGAAAGTATTTATTTATTTATTTAATTATTTATTGATTTTCTTATTTTAAAATTTTGCAAAAAACTAAAATTGCTTGATATTAAATACATTTGAAGCTAGAACATTGAATCAATTTGAATTTTTTATAAAATTTGAAAAGAGTAAACAAGCCTCCCTTTAAAATTAACCTCTTAACTTTTACTCCCTTTTTATTTTTTTTGATTAATAGAAAAATTCCAGAAAACTTATATCCCATAATTTATTTTTATATTTTTAGTATCACAGTAACTAAAAACATGTAAAATTTTTATACAGAATAATTAAGAGTTTTCATTAAAATAACTTAGAAACAAATTTACCCATTTTAATAAAGATATAGCTAATGCTGGCAGGATAAACAAATTGAACCATTACATGTCTTACATGTAGAATCGCATGGTAAACATTAGCCATTTTTAACATAATAGCCATTATTTGTATCACAAGTACTTAAACATGTTCTTTATTTGCTTGAAATAAAGAATTTTTCATATAGATTTTATTTTGAAATTGATATTACTAATTTTGATAGAGATAAAAGGAATCTTAACAAGATAGGCAATTATAGTTAAATATTCCATAACAAGTCTTGCAGCTTTAATCGCATTATAAACAATAATTTTTTTAAGATAACGACGTAGTTTTTTCTTAATATTGAAATACTGCTACATAATAACCGTTTGAATAATCGCAATGATCTAAGCATTAACTTTTTAAAAAAATGGATTTCTAAAAAATAAAAATTAAGTTTTACCCATCTGGATAAATAAATTATGTCTCTAGACAATCTAAGCAATAGTATTAATTATTGCATTACAAACAGGTTTAACAATTTGAACAATCTAACCTATTATTTAAATAGAATATAATTTTATGTACTAATAAAAATAATTAAAATAAATGTTTTAAATAATATTATAATTTTTTTTATTATTAATCTATTTTTTTATTTTCTTAGTAATTAATGGATGAAGATTTTTAAATAAAAGCTAGAAATTAACAAAGAATTAAATGAAAATGGTTTTTAAAATTTAATTAAAATACACTAAATTTCCTTTTTTAATGCTTTTTAAGCCTGATTAATTTTTAGATATTAGAAAAAAGTAAAATCCTATATTAATTTTTTGAAATATCAAACTAATTAATGCACTCTCATCTAGATTAAGAAATAAATTACTAATTATGTCACTAAATTGCTTTGCAAAATGAGTTTAATTCAATATTATTTCAAATCATTAAAAATATTTTGATGTTAGTTAGTTAGCTAGTTTGATGAGTAAAAATATTAATTAGTAGGTGTTTAATAGGTAGTTTTAAATAAAAAACATTTTAATTCTTTTTGATAAACAAATTAATTAAGATATATATACATTCCTGCTGATTTTATCATATTTTAGCAACATGGTATGAGTGTGTCTCCAAAAAAAACACATTACTAAGTAATATATGGAATTTAACCGCTAGCTCTTAGAGAAGGATATGAATTTTAAATTAGTACTTCATATGTCCCTTGATAAATTTTGATCTATTTAATAATTTATTAAAAAAATTGTATTTTATGGTTTCTGTTATCAATAAATAGTTATTATATCACTAAAGAATTAATTTGATTTATTTATCTTATAATTTTTGAGTCAGATTTTTAGCCAAAAATTAAAATAGAAAATTTGGAAAGACATTAAAATTAACTTTTTACAATGTCAAACAATAGAGTAAATAAATATTCATCACTATCTAATTTATGCAATTATTTCTTTATGAACCTTAAAATAGGCATAAAACTTAAAAAAAACTTTAAATGCTTAAGAATGTTTGATTTTTACCTTTTATTTCAAGTAAGTATCCATTTTTTATGCAAATATTACTTTAAATATGAACATCAGAATAAACAATTTCAAATCCATATTATACCTATGAGGATGTATGTATATGTTTTTGAGATAAGATATTTTTTATCAAATTTTGTATTTTTTGTTAATAAATAAAGCATAATAATTTTTACTCTTTTCCTTTATTTGTAGTGCATTAATTATATTGAAATAAAAAATATATAAGCTCGAATTAATTAATAAATGTACGTCAAAAATCAAACAATTATTTTTAGGCTTGTTTTGTAAATTTTACACTTATTCCACCATCCAAATATTAATTAATTATGCTTTAATTTGGTAATTTTTTTAACTTACAATCTATAAATTTAAAAATAATATTGTAATTTTAGTAAATTTGTAGCTTAAGCAAAATAAACTATAATAAAATGCAAAAGAAGTATGTAAGATAATCTAAAATATGATGAAGAAAATACATTTTAGAGAGGAGTTTTTGAACTTAAAATAAAATAAACTATTATTAAATGCAACAGAAATATGCAAGATAATCTAAAATATGATGAAGAAAATGCATTTTTGAGAGAATTAAATGAAAAAGAAGTATGTAAGATAATCTAAAATAGATGAAAAAAATACATTTTTGAGAGGAGTTTTTGAACTTAAAATAATATAAACTATTATAAAATACAAAAGAAGTATGTAAGATAATCTAAAATATGATGAAGAAAATACATTTTTGAGAGGAGTTTTTGAACATAAAATCAAATAAAATTTGATTTTTCTCTCTTCAAAATTACTATTTGTATAAATTATAGCGAATAACTAATTTAAAGAATTTTATCAATAAAAATAAATACTAAATGAAATAATATTTGAACTAGTTTAATGATATATAAATTCACAAGAAATAAATTTTCTTTCTTTAAAAATTACTTTACTAGATCTATCTTATTAATTAAAAGAAATACATAAGATCTACTCTTTATTTATAATAAAAAAACTTTCTTTAGAAGAAAAGTTATTCATTTTTTATGATATTTATTTTTTTTAATATTATTTTATTATTTAATTTCGCAGATATATTTTAATCTATTTTTATCTTTAAACTTTATAGACACCAATATACATACTTTTATTTAGTTGCAATTATGAAAAATATGGTTTAAATTGTTTGAAAAAAATCAGAAATTACTGTAATTGGGATTTGATCTTACTTTTCTTTCTTTTATAATTCTAAAGTTAATTTTGGGGCACTCAAGCTTGAGGAAGGGATAACTTAACTATCTATCTATATATCTATATATCTATCTATCTATCTATCTATCTATCTATATTTTCTTAAAGAGTTTATAAATTCTTATTATCAGCCCTTATTTCTAATATTTTTAGTTTTTTAAATCAATGATTTCTAATTCTAAAAAATACATAAAACATTATTGAATATTAATTTGATTTGAAAAGCTAATCTAATTTAGTTTATTTCCAAGCATAAAGATTAAAAAGATGAAACTTAAAAAATAAAGAAAGTAGGTAATTTATATTAAATAATAAATGAAACTTTATATGTATAATAGTAAATTAAAATTTTTTTAATTAAAATTTAATTTTTAAAATTGTTTGTTCCCTCCCTACCTACAGTTTAAATTTGAAAGTTATTTTATTTTTAATATTTAAGATAAATTAAAATAATTACAAAATAAATAAATAAATATCTTACTTAGAGTATAATTAAATTTATTTATGTTTTATTAAAAAATGAATATTAGTTTTATCCTTAAAATTTCAAATTCTCTTTCTTTGAAAATTATGTTTTTAGGTATCTAGAATCTAAATTATTTAACTAATATTAGAAATATTTATCTATTCAATAATTGTTATATTGTGCTTTTTTTCTCTGATTTGTTTATTTGATTGTTGCAATTAAATATATTAGTAAAGCTTTTGTAAAATATAAAATAGTTGTATGAGAACTGATGCAACTTATAATCCGATGTTAGTGTATCTAAAGACTTTTGTTAAAAAATTAATTATAATTTCAAAAGATGTTTAAATTATTTACTTTAGTGCATACTTTGAGATAGCTAAGAAGCATTTTAAGGATTTTAAGTATCATTTGTTGCTAAAATAACACCTAAAGTAGCAATTACTAAGGTATGTAGCAGTTCTTATAACAAAACTATATTATTATGTGATTTGTCTAAAAATGGTTTTTTAATACAAATGTAAACCATAAACGTAATATTTAAACTTATATGAATCCAGCAACTGAACTATTATTTATCTGATGTAAATATTAATAAGGATTATATTATGCTAATAATACATTTTTTCCATTCTAAGAGTATCCAAAATATCCTTGAATACTTATCAGAGATTTCAATGTTTTAAGTTAAACTAACAAATGAATCTAAATCCTAAAAAGATATTGATTGGTATTTGAATCCTACTTTAATACTCCAGAATAGCAACAAAGCAAAATACAATAAAATAAAAGTAGCCATAAAAATTAAATTCAACAAATCTAAATTTATTTACTGGATTAAAAAATAAGTAGTGTTGAAAATTAAAAAGCTTGATGCTAACCTAAAAAAGTTAACAAATAAACTCCATTTTATAATATAATAGATTCTTTAAATTCTACTTGTTTAAGAATTTAATTTATTTTAACCAAAAGAATGACATTTTAAGGCTAAAAATATTATAATAGCAGCAATTGTAAGGATTCCTAAAAACAAAATAGGCAAAAAGCAATTATTCTAAAAGTTATCTTCAAAATCATTAACTGTAATAAGATAAGTAAAAAGGTTGTATTAATATAAACTTGTTGCATTAGATTTCTTAAAAATATTAGGTATAATAGTAGAAATATGATATGCGTAGCTACTTTTCAATTCGAATTAATCCATCCACAACGAACTAACTTTTGAAGAGAATATATAATTTCCTAAAAGCTATAAATTTTATACAAAAATCTAGCCAAATATTGCTCCAAAAGATGAAAATATTGAAGAAATGATTGTCAATATTGAATTAGAAATACTTAAAATATCTAAAAATTTAGTTTATGATTTTATAGTTTCAAATCTTTAAATGCAATTTAAATCTAATTATTTTTAGGAATCTAAGCATCCTATTTTTTAGTTATATTCTTGTTCATTCTATTCGCTTTCAATTATTGAACTTAATTCACAATTATTTGAAATTTTACTTAAGGATAATCCATCAACACATATTTTACATTAATTTTTTGCTGGACCAGAGCAAGTTAGACAAGTATCGTGGCAATAATCACAGTTACCAGAAGTTTCATTTAAAAATGATCTTTCTTCACATTTATCACATCTACCAAGAGTAGGCTGAAGCACCAAACCAAATTTACAAGATAAACAATTTTTTTCTAACTCTCCATTACATGTCCTACAATTTTTATGGCATTCTATACACTTATCACCTGAAATGAAATATCCATTTTTAATATTACAGTTACTTATGCAAGTGCTATTACTATTTAATAAAAGTAAGAAAAATTAAAAAACAAAGATAGATAAAATAATTTATTTTGATCATCTGAATTTTAATTACATTTAATCTTTAAATAAAAGGAATATTTTATAAATTTTGTTGTGATTTAATATTTAAATTTGTATAAATAATTTGAATGTATTTAAAATAGTTTTAATAAAAAGTTAAACAAAAATTATTTATTACCTAGTTAATAAATAGTGCGATTAACTACATTATAAGCAATCAGTGCCTTTAGATCCTTTGCATGTTAAACAAGTCGGATCACATTACAAGCACTGATTTCCATTTATAAAATATCCATTTTAATCACACTTAACACATTACTTACTTGTTATTTATAAAGAAAAATGATATTAAGATTAATAATTTATTTTGAAAATATTTTTATTTTTTAAAAAGTTACTCTTAAGTTAAATAGTTTTATTCTGGACATGAAAGACAGTCATTTTTTGTTGTACCATCACAACTTAAACAAGTTGAATCACATTTATAACACTTTTTTTCTTTTATAAATTATCCCCTCTTATTGCATTGAATACATGAGTTACTAATAATAAAAATTTATATTTAGTTATTTTGGAAGTGCTTTTAATAGTATTTGATTTGATAATTAATTACTCTTCAAATAAATTATAGCCTTCTTAACATGAAAGGCAGTTATTTTTTGTAGTACCATCGCAACTCAAACAAGTTGGATCACATTTATGACATTTATTTTCTTTGATAAATTATCCGTTCTGATTGCATTGAATACATGAATTACTAATAATAAAAATTAAAAATAAATTATTTTGGAAATGATTTTAAAAGTATTTGATTTGATAATTAATTACTCTTCAAATAAATAATAGTCTTTTTAGCATTAAGTGCAGTTATTTTTTGTAGGACCATCGCAACTCAAACAAGTTGTATCACATTTATGACACTTATTTTCTTTGATAAATTATCCGTTCTGATTGCATTGAATACATGAATTACTAATAATAAAAATTAAAAATAAATTATTTTGGAAATGATTTTAAAAGTATTTGATTTGATAATTAATTACTCTTCAAATAAATAATAGTCTTTTTAGCATTAAGTGCAGTTATTTTTTATAGGACCATCGCAACTCAAACAAGTTGGATCACATTTATGACACTTATTTTCTTTGATAAATTATCCGTTCTGATTGCATTGAATACATGAATTACTAATAATAAAAATTAAAAATAAATTATTTTGGAAATGATTTTAAAAGTATTTGATTTGATAATTAATTACTCTTCAAATAAATAATAGTCTTTTTAGCATTTAGTGCAGTTATTTTTTATAGGACCATCGCAACTCAAACAAGTTGGATCACATTTATGACACTTATTTTCTTTGATAAATTATCCGTTCTGATTACATTGAATACATGAATTACTAATAATAAAAATTAAAAATAAATTATTTTGGAAATGATTTTAAAAGTATTTGATTTGATAATTAATTACTCTTCAAATAAATAATAGTCTTTTTAGCATTTAGTGCAGTTATTTTTTGTAGGACCATCGCAATTCAAACAAGTTGGATCACATTTATGACACTTATTTTCTTTGATAAATTATCCGTTCTGATTGCATTGAATACAGGTATTACTAATAATAAAAATGTATTAAAAAATTATTTTAAATTACTTTTAGATTTGATAATAAATAAATTACTCTTCAAATAAATAATAGTCATCTTAACATGAAAGGCAGTCATTTTTTGCTTCTCCTTTACAGCTTAAACAACTTTAATCACATTTTAAACACTTTTCACCATCCTTAAATTATCCATTTTCATTACAAGAAACACATTGTTTTCTTTAAAAAAAATTTGATAAAATATAAAAATTTATGAAAATATTTTTATCATATTTAAAATTTAAGTTAATTAAATAAATAAATCTCATAAATTTAAAATGAAGAATCAATTTAAAAATTTGTATCAATCTTAAAATAAATCTATAAAAAGAAACAGAATAAAATAAAAATGATTGATTATTGTTAAAATTATTTTATTGTGTTTTTACTCAGAAGTTAGGAAAAAGCCTTGAGTACATGATTAGCAGGTAGTAACATTATTAGTATTTTCGCATTTAAGACATGATTCAGGACATAAAATACATTTTTCTCCTTATATTTATTATCCTTTCTAATTACATTTTATACATTCATTCCTATTTATTTAATTTATTAAATATTTCAATGTAAGAAATTAATTATTGCAATTTGAAGATTTAAGAAAATTAAAATGATATAAATTACAAATAATTATAAATTTAAATAATCAAATTTTTTATTTTTTCAGTAATAATATTTTATTAAAATTTTACTTTTATGTTTTATAGTATCCTTCTTTACAGATTAAGCAATCCTTATTTGTTGCTTCTTCACAATATAAACAAGATTAGTCGCATTATAAGCAAGTTGTTTTGCTTTTAAGTTTGAAAGTAATAAAAATTTTTTTTTAAATACATTAAAATATTACTCTTATGTTTTATAATAATTAGACCTGCAGTCTTTACAATCCTTGTTTGTAGGCCCCGTACATTTAAAACAAGAGGGATCACAATTATAACATTTAGATTCACTTAAGTAATAACTAAGATAACAGCTTGTACAATTATTTTTTTAATTGAAGCATTCTTTACAATTATAATCACAGATATCACAATCATTACTAAAAATTAAAAAAATATTTTAAATTTTAATATAAAATTTGTTTAAAAAATATTATTTTATTTAGACGAAATTGAAAAAAATAATTAAGCTATATATTTATTGTAGTAAATTAAGTATGATTTAAAGTATTATACTTGTCTCAAAGATTTTTATTTTAGAAGTTAGATAATAATTATTTTAATAAAAAAAGAAGATGGGGAATCATTATTTTGAAATGAGATCTGTAAATTCTCATTAATTATTTTTCATTTTTATTAATATCCAAAATTTTAAGAGAGTAAAAAACCAGTGATCAAATTTAAAAAATTTTTTTCATTATGACAATTAAATTATCTATTTGATAACTTTTCCTAGTTTTAAATTAGTGACGGAAAATAAAATTTACATTTATATTTATTTTTTGCTTCATAGTAATGATAAGCTGAAGAATTTTGGACAGAGGAAAAAGAAGAAATTTTTAAAAAAGTAGTAAAATCAGCAAAAAAAAAAAAAACAAAAACTATATTTTGACAAAATAAAAATTTTCTTTCATCTAAATGATACCTTAAGACCATAAAGAGGAAAGTTTCCTCCAGAATTTTGAAATCACTGATTAAAGCAAAAAAAAAGTGAAAATTTTGCAGAGGTGGAGATGGTGCTCATTTATGAGAAGATATAGGAGTTAATCAATTTTTGTAATATTCTCTTACAAAAATATTATTTGAGTTAATAATTTTACTTATTTTAAGAAAATTTATTTGAAATTTCATATCTAATTTAATATTTGATTTCTTAATTTCTGTTGAAATTAAAGCATTTTAACCATTTTATAAAAGATAAATTGAAAATTTTTAAAGTTTTTAACATCCATAATTTCTATAAATATACGAGAACTTAGTGTATATAATTTTAAATTTAATAATTTTCTTAAAAAAGTAACTATTTTATGAATTTTAATCTAAAGTTTTACATATTAGGATCATAATACAAACCTTCACTGCAAATAAACAATACTATTGATGAAAGCTATTTATATTTAAAAAATTAAAGTTAATAATTCATAAATTTCAAGATAAATTATAATTTTATTAAGCTTGTTTTATAAATTTTTTATTATTGAATTTAAGTAATATTTTTTTTAAAGGTTATAGGTTAATTTATTTTTTAAATCAATTAAATATTAAAATATAAACTATTTCAATGTATTATATAATAACTTACAAATCTTTTTTATAAACTAATTTTATTATGACTAGGAATACATGGTCTTAAAAAAATATTGATTTATAAATTAATAAATGGTTTATTCTAGTAAAATGAAAAATTAACTTAAAATTTATTGTAAATTTTTATTTCTAAAAAAGTTTAAGAATTAAAAATTATTAATAAAATGGTGCTTAAATATGAATTAATAAATAAGATATTATCTATCTTTAATTGAAATATTTTTATATTAATCTAAATAATTACATTTGTTTTGGATTCTTCCTTAGCTCTACTAAAAAATACAATCTTAAGCAAGATAAAAACTATCAATTTTAATTTTTTTTAATAATTCATAGCAATTTATTTTTAATATCAATATCTTTTTAAAAAATATTATTTATAAATTTTAATCTTTCTAATGACTTTTTGTTTAATAATTTCATCGAAATATCTTTTGCTTGTGAATCATGCCTTAAAGTTGATCAATCAATTGGCTATTTTTTTTCTATCTTAAATATGTAATATAATTTAAGAGGTCTTATAAATATTGTTTATATTTTCACCATAAAAATGAAAGTACTCTATTATGTTTATTACAAAAAATATGTGGATAGAAAACAATATTTGTTAATTTTTTTTTCTTCTTATAATCTATTTATGGATAAATTATCATCATTTATTAATTAAATTATTGAAATTAATATCCTTTTTATAATTAAATTCTTGATTAAAGAAGCGTTAAATATCCAATGTAAAAATAAAACTATTAAACTTTGCTAAAATCATAAAATATTTTATGAAATCCAATAATATTTATCATTAATTTTATAATAATAAAAATACTATAAAATTTCATTAAAAAATTTATGAAGCTTATTTGATTTTTCCTCATAAATAAACTGTAAAAAGCTCATGCTTTCTATATACGATCAATCCTTTTTGATTACACTTTTATATTTAATTAAATTTCAAGTGGAAAAACAAAAACAATAAACTAAATATAACATTAAGTAATTTATATTAATTATAATTTTCCTCGCAGTTTAGAAGCTGTAAAATTTTTTGAAAAAGATTTAGATAGATAATGATAAAAGACAAAACAACTATTTTATATGCAATAAGTGATTAATTGAAAAATATATTTAACTATTGTAGGATATATTTTCAGACTAATAAATCAAATCATAACCTTAAAATATTAAATTTTATTAAATTAAAAAACACAAAGTAGCCATCCAAAATTGTGGGGGCTCCTTAATTAATGAGAAGTTAGGGTATATTATATTCAAATTCTATTTTTCCAGTCAAATTTACTTTTATTTTTCGATTAATTAAGTATTTCAAATATCTTACTTAAATTAGAATCAGATATTTATTCTACCATGCTTTAAGTGGTTACTTAATTTTAGTTTTTCTTTAAATACAACATTTAATAAAGCAATTTTAAGCTTCTCCATCCTTTTTACAACAAAAGTAGTGCATGTACACAAATAGATATACCTAAATATAAGTAATTTGCAATTCTATATGCTATTTAATAAATAATAAATAGATAATTAGATAAATTTACTTTATTTTATTTATAAGAAAGAATTTTAAAATAGATTTATTTATATTTTAAAATAAAAACTTAAATTTAAATTTACCCTTTTTCATATTTAAGTTTAAATCTGATACTTCATAAGGATACTTTTCATCATCTTAAATAAATACTATACTCAGAAAAACAATAACAATTAGATTTAAAAATTCTTAACTGATAACAACAAAGTTAATTTGACTTTCAATAAAAGGCTTTTAATTGATGATGTAAAGAAGAAATATAAAATTGATTCCTATATGAATCCAGCATGTAAGCGAAAGCTTCTCCTTATCGAAAATAAATATGGCTTATATTATAGAAATAATTATTTTTTTCCATTCAAATAAGAGCCAAAATATTCTCTAAGAAACAGAGCAAATTTCAATATCTTAAACTAGGTTTTAAAATTAAACAATATAATTGTAGGGCATAGAGTAGTATTTACATCCAATTTTTACATTCCAAAATATTTGCATGATAAAATAGAAACTTAGAAAAACTATTATGCAAATCAAATCGGAGCTATTGAACTCATTTTTCCAGAAGAAAACATATGCAGAATTAAAAACCAGAAAACTAGACATAATCCTGTATAAGTTTACAAACAAATTCCACTTTATGTAAAAATAAATTTTTTAAATTGTACTATTTTCCTAGTTTTTATTTTGTCTTATATTCAAACAGAAAAAAGTAAATATCATCACTAAGCAAAAGCCAAATACAAATAAATGATTAATACAATTATTTAAGAAACTACTCTCAAAATTATTTATTTTTAATAGAGTGCTGAATTAGTTAAACTAAAAAAGATTTGTTTAATTATCATCTTGAAAAGTAAATATATTAGGAACCAAAGTAAAAAAGTGATGAGAATAGCTCGTTTTCATTTCAAATTAATTCATCCATAAAGGTATTAGTTTATAAGCAAATATATAATTACCCAAAATCTATTAATCATTAATAAATATCCAACCAAGACTTGAGCCATATTGAGTGAAAATTGAAGAAGCTAAAATAAGTGATATATTTATTATAGCCAATGTTTCAAGATTTTAAGTTGAGGATTAGCTATTTTCGAATTCATCTAAGCAAGAATTATCTATAGATTGTTGAGTTTAGTTATAACAGCCTATTTCTTAGCTAAGTTAGATTTATTTTTATTCTTTTTAAATTTAACTACTTTATTCACACGTTTTAGTAATACTACTGAGTTTTAATCCTCCATTGCAATCTATACATTCATTTTTATTTTTGCCAGTACAAGTTAAACATGTTTTATGACATTAATCACAGTTATTCGTGGTTATATTAAAAAAGTATTCTTCCTCACAAATAGAACACTTGCTAAGAGTTGGTAATAAAGTTTAATTTTTAGGGCAAGATAGACAGTCTGTTTCTAAAGGGCCTTTACACTTTAAGCAGGATTTATCACAAGGATAGCACTCTACTCCAGTAAGACCACTGTTATCCTTTTATCTAAAAATTAAAAATTAAAAATTTTTAAAACATTAATTTATGAAACAAAATATCTTTAGATTTAAAAAATATTAAATTTTGATAATAATAATTTACTTGCTACTCTAATAAAAGTTTGAATTACAAGTTAGGCAATTTCCTTTAGAACCACCATTACAAGTTAAGCAACTAGCATCACACGGTAAGCAATTTTAATTTTCAATATAATATCCTTTATTTGTGCTGCAGTTAGAGGAACATGTGCTAAATAAAATACAAATAAATAATAAAATATTATGCTTAGGATAATACTAATTTTACTTATCAGATAAAAGATAATAGTTAAGGTTACATTTCAAACACTTAGTAGAGTCAATACAAGTTAAACAATTTTAATTACATTACAAGCATTTATTTCCAGAAATAAAATATCCATTATTTGTATTACATTGACCGCATGAACTATTAATTATATAAAGATATTAATAATATATATATTATGAAAGTTACAAATTTACTTGTCTGGTTAAAAATAAAGACCTTTATTACAATCTTAACAATTATTACTTGAATCACCATTACAAGTCAAACAATTTTAATGACATTGTAAACAGTTACTACCAGAAATATAATAACCATTTTGAGTATCACATTTATTTTAGCAAGTTCTGTTATTTTTTCAAACAAGTAAAAATTAATATAAAAAATTTTAAATTTTCAAAGATATGCTTTCATTAAAAATAAATAAGAATTTTTAGCAAACAAATCTTAACTATTTAAGAAGAGTAAGTTAAAATTTTCTTTAGTTTTCAAAATATTTTTCAAGTTTATTTTTGCATAATTTAGTAAAATTAATAAAATCTTACTTATTCTAATAAAGGTAATAACCAGATTTACAAGTTTTGCAACTTGAATTAGAACTATCCTAACATGTTAAGCAGCTTTCGTGACATAATAAGCAATCAGATCCTTAAATAAAATAACCATTTTTCGTATCACATTTATCTGAGCAAGTTCTATATTTTTTTTAATTCTAGACTTAACAAAATTAACATTTTCATAATAATAATAATATACTTGTTTTAATATAGATATGACCTTTATTTACAAGACAAGCAATTTGAAGCTAAACTACCATTACAAGTTAAGCAATTTGCATCACATGGTAAGCAATTTGAATTATCAATATAATATCCTTTATCTGTGTTACATGTAGAGGAACATGTGCTAAAATACAAATAAAAAATAATATATTATTTTTAGGATTTTTAGAATAATTATTATTTTACTTATCTTACAAAAGATAATACTTAGGGTTACATTTCTAGCATTTGGTAGAATCGCTACAAGTTAAACAATTTTAAGGACACTGAAAACAGTTATTACCAGAAATATAATAGCCGTTTTAAATATCACACTTATCCTAGCAAGTTCTATTATTCATTCAAAAAAGTAAATAATTATATTTGAATTCTTAAAATTTAGAAAAATTAATAAAATCTTACTTATTCTGATAAAGGTAATAACCATATTTACAAGTTTCGCAGCTTGAAATAGAACTATCCAAACATGTTAAGCAGTTTTTGTGACATAATAAGCACTTAGATCCTTAAATAATATAACCATTTTTCGTATCACATTTATCTGAGCAAGTACTATATTTTTAATTAAATAATTAACAATATTAACATTTTCATAATAATAATATACTTATTTTAATATAGATATGATCCAGACTGACAAGACAAGCAATTTGAAGCTAAACTACCATTACAAGTTAAGCAGCTTGCATCACATGGTAAGCAATTTTCATTTTCAATATAAAATCCATTATCTTTGCTACATGTAGAGGAACACTTTCTAAAATAGTAGTTATAAGTAAAATTTTATTATTAGGATTTTTAGAATAATTATAATTTACTTATTTGATAAAAGATAATAGCTAGGTTTACATTTCAAACATTAGATAGGATTGCTACAATTTAAACAATTTTAAGGACAATTATAACATTAATTAGCTATAATTATATAACCATTTTCAGTATCACACTTATCTTAGCAAGTACTGTTATATTTTCAAAAAAGTAAAATATTATTTTATGAAATATCAAAGATATTCTTTCATTAAAAATAAGAATTTTTTATAAACATATCTTCATTACTTAAAAAGAGAAAGTAAGTAAGTAAGTATTATGATCTTTTTCGAAATTAAAAAAACTAATAAAATCTTACTTATCCTGATAAAGATAAAAACCAGATTAACAAGATTAGCAACTTGAATTAGAACTACCATTACATGTTAAGCAGCTTTTATCACATTGGATACATTTGTCTTCTTGAATAAAATTTCCGTTGTTAATATCACAAATTAGTTTGCATGAACTATTTTTTAAAATTAACTCAGTTTATTAAAATTAAAAATTGCTAAGATTATTACTTATCTAATGAGAGATATTTTCCAGTTTTGCAAGACAAGCAATTTTATTAAGATTTGCCATTACAAGTTAAACAGCTTTCATGACATTTAATACATTTATTTTCTTGAATAAAATATCCATTTTAAATATCACAACTTTGTTAGCATGTACTATTTTTTTAATTTAATTTATTAATATTAAAAATTTTTAAAAATAATTTACAAATTTTCGTAGAGATAATATCTTTAATGACAAGACAAGCAATTTGATTCTAAAATATCACTACAAGTTAAACAGCTTTAATTACAATTAAGACATTTTTACTCTTAAATAAAATAGCCGTTATTTGTATCACATTCTTTACATGTACTATTTTTTTTAATTTAATTTTTAATATTAAATATTTCTAAAAATAATTTACTTATCTGGATATAAATATGTTCCAGTTTTACATGACAAGCAACTTGTAATTGAAATAAAATAGCATGTCTAACAACTTTGATGACACTAATAACAATATTTATTTTCTTTAATATAATATCCTTTATCTTGATCACATGTTTTACAACTACTATTTTTATTAATTTAAATTTTCATATATATTAAAAATCTCTACAAAAAAATTTACAAATCTTAATAGAGATAGGTTCCAGGATGACAAGATTAGCAATTTTGTTAAGAATCACCAAAACAAGTCAAACAACTTTCATGACATTTAAGACATTAATTATCAGTTGAAATATAGTATCCATTACTTGTATCACATTTACATTTTCTATTTTTAAAATTTAATTTATTAAAATTAAACATTTCTAAAAATTCTAAATCTTTAATAAATTTGATGGATGAATAATATTTTTTTGATAAATTTTCAATATTCTTTGAAAGATATCTGTTAAGCTTTTTCAAAATGTAATAAGTAAGTAAGTAAGTAAGTCACTAGCTTTCAAAGATTATTTTTTGTGATCTATAATAAGTAATATATAATTTGTTGTATTTATTATAGAGATAGATATTTATAAAAAAACTTGTCCTAAACTAGCTAAAGTTCTATTTTTGCATGAATATGAAATGATCAATTAATTTAACTTTGATATGAAATTTATGAATGCAATTACAAGATTGCTAATTTTTAACATGCGGAATGATAGAATTTCTTCTAAAAGAATGAGAAATATATGTGGTATTTATTCTTTAATAAGATAAATATTTTTAAATATTCCAATTTTATAAAATTTTGTTTGCTATAAGAGCATTAATATAATAAATAGTAAATAAATTCGTAAGTAAAATGGAATTATAGTATCTATTTTCAAGCAAATATATTTATTTATTTACCTTGATTTATCAACAAAATTAAATGAATATCTTTTTAAATCTAATATTAATATTTTTTGCTATAAAAATTGTAACAATTAATTTTGCTTTAAAAAAGCAGCTGATTTAATGTACAAAATGGTATATTTAATATTATGTGAAATTATTATATAAAATTAATACCTTCAATTAGAAGCCATCTTCTGCTCTTAACACAAGGATAGCTTTAAAAAATAATATTATCAATGTTTGTTTTAAACTCATTTTGATTGTTTTGATTTAACAAAATATGTATTTTTTAATCAAAATTTCGACTATATTGATTTTGAGTTTCGATGATTTTTCTTAATTGATTAGTAATATCTATTTTACGAAGCATATTTATATTATTTATTTAAATCTATGTAATCCATCCCGTAATTAGATTAGGGACAAATTATTTCCTTAACTTTAGTTTGTATTTTTCTAGTAAATTTAGTGAATTTTGTTAAAAGCAAATTCAACCATAAAATTAATTGATTGAATTATTATTGTTATTTCTTTTATATTAAAGTTAAAAATTAATAAATATTCTTTCTTATAAATTATATGCTAAAAGTAAAAATCTAACTCCATGCATTTTTTCAATTATCAAGAGAAAATGAAAAATATTTTTTAGTCTTTGATAAAAATAGTAAATTAATTATTTTTTAAAGATATTTTATAAAACTCCTTAAAGTACTTACTGTAAATAGAACTCATACTTTCTCATTTTCCAAGATCCTAAACTTCTAAATTAATTTATGTAAGGTAAATTTGTATATTATTAGATGTATGGTCATATTTAATCAATATCTTGCTTTCTAATTATTTTTTAATTAATTTTGATTTTCATTCTTTTATTTTCTGCAAATATATTTTAAATTTAATTTACACCTCTAACATAGAAAAATTCCATCAATATTATTTGCTTTGCATGTATTCTTAATATTAGATTTTTTACTTTTTATTTATTAATTTCAAAAAGGCTTTATTCTTCTGATCTATTAAAAATTATTAATTTTACAAAAACTAATTCATATCAATGATAATTTAATTGTTTTATTGAATATAAATAAAACAAGAATAAATAAATTAATTAACTTGTTGGTTGAATCTTGTAGAAATAGTTTTGTGAAATGATTTATATTGTAAAAAAAAGATAAAATAATTCATTATAATCAATTGTATTTTTTTCCATTAATTTACTTATATCTTTATCAAAATTTAAACTCATCAAATCTCCTCCAAGATAGAAATTATTAGATAAAATTAAGCAATTGGTTGGTACTATTAGCAAAAATAATTAAATCTGATAGATAAGAAAAGTAAAATCAATCTTATTTTCTGAATTAATTGATTGGATGTATGTATGATAATTAAAATATAATTACTTTTATACTTGTAAATTATCTTTTCTTTCATACAAATCGTTTAATTAAATTTTTTTATCAAATAGTGATATAAGAGGTAATCTAATTGCTTCTTTAAGTAAATGAAATCAAAATTTATTTTTTTATTCACAAATCTTAATGTTGGTTGATCATAATTTATTTAAGTTAAAGTTAATAATATTTATTATCAATTAATTTCAAATTGAGCAACTAATCTTTTATAACATTGACTTTTGTTCTGTATGACTTATAGAACGCTTGCAAATAATCATCATCAGATTTAAATTGGTATTAACTGATTTAATCATTTCAAGTTAAGCTAAGTTTCGCTAATTAAAGAGTAATGTATAACTTTAAGAGGAAAGCAAACAATAAATAAGTAAATAGTTTTGCTCAAAAATTTACAAAATTTATTAATTTATTTCCACAAAATACTCAATTGTAAAGAGGAAAATATAAAAATAAAAATTTAATTATTTTTTCCATTTACATTAATAAATCCTTTTTTATATATTGACTGTATTTTACAAATCAATTAGCTTTTATAAAAAATATTTAATTTAAATTAGAATTCGTATTTTAAATTCCAAAGAAGTATTTTTTTTATTGAATTATTTTTTTTAATAATTTAAATGATCGCTTAGAATTAATTTTATTGCCATTTAAATTAGTAGATATTGTTTTAAAAATTAAATTTCTTTATTTTTTTTAGAGATAATTTTTCTTATTAATTAGAAAATTTCTTAAGTATTATTTGAATAAATTTTTAACTTACTCAAAATGTTTATACTAGAAAATGATATATTCAATAGTATATAAAATAATAATTATTATCAATATTCTAAATATACCTTAAATATTTTTATAGATTTTTAAAATTAAGTTTTTCTTCTTACAAACTGAAATTATTTCTAAGATAAACTAATTTTAACAGAATATTATCTGAATAATTAAAAATAAAAGTTTTAATATTCTCCCTTAATTTTTAGAGAGTTTTCATTCATTTTAGAGATATAATATAATGTAATTCTGAAATGACGTGCAAGATTCAAATATAATTAAAGATCAAATAAATTTTATTCATAATAAAATTATATTTTTGCATTTAATAGGGAGAGAAAATAAATGATCAAATCAAAAAAATATATAACAAAAAAATTCACTAGAAAGTAGTATATTACAAATACTTAGTACATTATGTATGAATCTACATTTCTAATATTCAAATTTTATAAGCTAAAATCATAAAATAATTAAACAATATGAATAAATGAGTCTTAAATTTCTAAAAATAAATAAATAGTTTCTGTTAAAATATTTATTTTTAATTAAATAGTAGGAATTTAATTTTAATTGGCTTTTTAAAATAATTAGCAGTAATATTATGATGTCTAAAATTAATTTATCTGCTATCAGATTATTTTATAATCACAATATATGTATGATTGTTTTTAAAATTTATATCAAATTTTGACAAGGAAAAAAAGAGACTTATAAATAAATGTCTATTTGAAGCTTTTCTTGAAATTAATATTAATAAATTAATTTAATAAGTTTCAAAAGCAAATAATAATAAATAAAACTAATTTATAATTAAAATCAAATATAAAGATTTTATAAAATAATTAGAATTTTAAATATTCAACGTAGATAACATATATTCTTTTTAATTTGTATGATTTTTGACACATCTTTTAATGAATTTTAATATTAAAATTTTTTTTCAAAGATGTATTTTAATATGAAATTCAGTTAATTAATTAATGAAGATTCAGGGTATTCTAAATTTAAATAATTACTTCATCATTTTTTCCAATTGAAATTTTTTTTATTATTCTCTAACATTTCAAATATTTAGTTGATATTTGTTTCATTTATTTATTCTATTTATTAATTGGAGTCATCACTTGTAAATCTCATTTTATTTATATACAAAAGCTTCTAGATGTATCTATATAACTTCTAGGTAACCATTAATAATTATAACAGAATTAAACTTACTAATAATCCGATACTCAAATATCTAAATACTTTATAAAAAAACTATTTTAATGTTTAAAATTTAAAATTATATTTACTCGAATGCATGTTTTAAGATAAACTAGTAATATTTAAAGGATTTGAATTATTTTCTTAAGCTAAAATAATTCCTAAAAGAGCAGTCAATACTGTCTAAAATATTTCTTAAGATATTACTATAAAGTTAAATTATTTTTCTAAAAATGGCAATTTTATAAAGATGAAAATTATAAAAAAAACATTTAAACCAGAATGGATCCAGCAACTAAGGTGTTATTTATCATTAGTGAATATAAATATTGATTAAAAAACTGTAATAATAACTTTTTTCCACTCAAAAAGCAACCAAAAAATTCTAGAAAAGTTATCAGATATTTCAACTTTTTAAGTCAAACTTTCAAATGTTTATAATTCGTTTGAAGTTATTGAATAGTATTTAAATCCTACTTTAATATTCCAATATAGCTGTAAAAGTATATAAACAGATAAAGAAACAGCCATAAAAACTAAGTCTACGATATCAAGATTTTTATTTCCAATATAGAGCATACGCAGCATTAA